CACATGTTGTGTGACTGTGATAGTGATGGCTAGGTATCGAATCCTTGGTGTGTCCCAAAGCACGTGGAGTGGCGATGAAACTACGGAAAATGGAGGAATACAGTATAACCGCCGGTAAACTTGTTATCTCCAGGACACGGATGAAAAGTGTTATCGTATGTATAGTACCTGCTACCGGTACTAAACCAAAAGGAAAAGAGATGATGCGGAGAAGTCGAGGATATCTTTGGCCACCGGCTTTGGCAGCCGAGCAAAGCTTTGAAGAGGTCCATGCTGTCTAGCTTATGGGTACATGTATCCTATCCGCATCCCCGGTCGTCATCTAGCTGGTACCGTAAATGCTGTAAGATGAAAATACATCCAAGAAGAGACACGGATGAACGGCCCGGAACGATGGTGGCAAACTCACAATATGTGGCTGAACCCATGTAGAGCCTATGGTCTCACAATAAAACATCAATTGAGACAATAGAACATCGGCTGGATAACAAATTAGTATACTACATAATAGTAGTACCGGGCAATGCCCCCTGGTCAACCACCGCTGCCCCCATGTAGCTTTCTTTCCCGCATGCTACTCCAGGATGCTACGCCATGGGCTTGGTGATAGTATGCTGAATATGCTCCGTACAGTATTATTGACGCCTATGAGTCGTATTGACTTTGTAGTTGAGGGTACTATTCGAGAATTGTGAAACCGAAGAGCAACAGGTGTAAGAGATATGAATAGTACCCTGTTGTACTGCTTCGATGAGCTTATTATATTCAGCTTTGCGTGGGGGCCTGTAGCTGAAAAGCACACTGGCATATGGACTTCAGCCAATGCTGATCTTGCCACCTACGATGATCTGAAATCCCTGAGACTTTGAGAAATCAATACTACTTGTAGTTTGTCAACTTGGCGGGCGGGGCATTTTCATATTCCTACTTCTCTCGGTACCTATTTGGACACCTTGACCTTGAGCTTGCTGCTCTGTCAATATCAACAACCCTGCCGAAGCGCTTGGAGGCGAATCGCTAGAGACCGCTCATCCTTGGCTAGAGAGAGCCGCGTGAGTTCAGCCGCTCACAAGCTGCAGTGATGTACTGCAGTACAACTGGCGTATCTGACGAACAGTAGGTCTACTAGGCCGCCCGGGACAGGAGTGGAGTATTAAGCGGAGAGATTGCAGGAGCATGGCAATCGCCCTATCACCCATCACATCTCAGGCTAACCTGAGGGAGCGAGCTGTGCTAGCACGAAGAGAGCTGATGCGGTGGTGCTCGAATCGGTACATGTTTTCCAACGAGGACGTCAAGTTGCCCAAGCCCGTACGAGCAAAGTTTCAGCTGTAGTCGCGTAGTCTGTTGAGCCAATTTGCCAATTGATTAGTGGCCGGAGAGGTTTTCAGCTGATGACATGAGGTCCAAGTCCAGCTGTGGCCAACAGCCAATGCTAATGAAGCAACATGGCTCAAGAGGGCGATGATCGTCGCTCGCTGTGGAGAGTGCCCGGCTGCTCCCAAGTTTTCGACAATGGCTTGGTCTAGATTTCACGGCCCATGCGACGCAGTGGAAAATAGAAGCAAGCTTCAATTTCCGCCATTGCTTGTCGTCTCCTTTAACATGATTGCATAGCAGAGTGAGATGATCTAAAATGCCGTCGAGCTGCTTTGAGTAACAGCCGCTGCGGCCCTTGCATTAGTGAGATCCTTATGTTATGCACGATGCAGTGTTCATATCCTTCTCTCAACGTTCTTATGGAGAACCTAGCTTTAGAAAGGAAACATCACAAAATGAAGTGCCTGCAATCGTATCTGCCTTTCCATACGCTTGATTGTGTCGGTCATGCCGACCCCGACGAACAGGCGGGCGAGAAGAAAATCTCCAATAACCACCCCTGTGTGTTCTAATTAATTGAACGATACGGAGCAAGGTTGGCTCCCCTAAAAAAGAGCGCCAGGACCGTGCAGGCTCTGCCAAGCTCGGCCCGCTTCCTAGGCCAGCATAGTGTCGGGGACTGGTGGATGGCAAAGCAGAATCGACGACGACGACCCTGGTCCCGATTAATTTCCAAGCCAGCTAAAGCAAATGAGCAGCCTGGACAACTCCGTACCCCATACTAGGATATTGCGTGGGCACGGGTACTTGCAGCATCTGCCAGTACTGCAGCAGTAGGTAGGTACAGCATTCCCACAGACAGCATTCCCCATGCCGATTTTATGCCTGTACTGTACGGAACACTGGGAGCTGAACCTGCAGGACGATGCGAGGTACGCGTCCAGACGTCGAATGAAAATGGCCGAGCACCAGCATGCTGGGAAGTACGGTAATTAGCCCGGCGCAGGCACTCGTACTGTATGCTCTGTTGCGACTGTATGATTCGCTTATTGGTACGTTGATAGAGCACTCCAACTTGGCAGAGTCTCATCAGACTGGGTCGTAGCGTAGCCGACCCGGGCGAAGCATACCCCGAATAGGGGGAAAGACTGAGGCAGCCATCCTCTGCCTTATGGGGTACTGATGATAGTGATGACGATGATGATGGCTCTCGGGCCTCCGACGATGATCGAATAATGAGACTAACTCTGGACCAACAGCTTGCGAATACTCCCATCATTTCCTAGAAAAGAAATACGAGTAGCGATTGCCCGCCGTCCATCGCGCCAAGCAGTACTCCGTGGGTGGCATTATCCTTGAGCTCTCCTTCGCTGTACGAATTCCGAATGCCTATTCGCTCTAGCCAGGCTTGCCAGGGTACTCTTCCTGGCTACGCACGCAACTTCGGATAATGTCGTGAAGGCGGCCCTGACAGGGATCCCACCAGGTGATACTGCCGGTAGCCTTGCATATGTGATATTGCCGTGCATCCACCACACACAAGCTCAGGTACTCCGTACTTCAACGCTGGCGAGATCTTTAATATTGCCGTTCACTTTCAAGGCCCCTCTTCTTAGTGCTTGGTATCCGGTGCAGAGTGTGGATAGTGTTCACGGCTTTCCCTTTGTGCTATACCTTCTCAAGACTGTTGGCTCTCTTCACAAATTAAAGCTGGTCTCCATCATAACAAGATGCCGGCGTAATATCCCGCACAAGGTAGTAAAGGCAGCCCCCGTGCTGGTGATAATTACTCGTCTTTTGGCAGCGTGCCATCTGAAAGCTGCTGCATCATATTACTCGGTCTTGGGCTGGGCAATGGTGAAACGAAGAAAAGCCACAAGCTATTGGCGATCCTACGCTTTGCAGCCGGGAAAGAAACGCCACCGCGCCACCTGCCAGCACTAACAGCAGCCATAATGGTGCATCTAGCTGAAGAGGAAATCTGACAGGACAGCGAGCTATTAGAATTGGTATTAGCCACTCGTATGGAGCATATCTAGTGGGCGCTGTTGGTGTTGACTGAAGACCGCTAATCAAGACCGGGTGTGCGCCTAGGCCATCGCGGATGAGAGAACCGACAGAGGAAGCCCCTGGCAGCGTGTACAGGTAGAGGAGGGGAAGCAGGGTTGCAGGGGCAGAAGAAAGTCCTTTCGACTTGAGCTTACAAGGAGGGACAAACACGCTGCTGCGGTAGATTTGGGAGGGGCCCCTTGGCGGTGCATATCGGACGTTTAGACGTCAACAGCGTACGGTGGTGTGCAGCTGCAACCTCGCAACGGCGCGCGACGACTTCTGGAAGAAGGAGAACGCTCCAGGCTGTGTATTTTCCCCTGCAGAATTTTCGATTCTGGCTACGGCGAGAGATCGTGTATAAGCGTCGTCGAGGCCATAGAAGGCCCTGCTGGTCTCGGCCAAGTGCCATCAGCTTGGGAGCTTGTCCGGACGCCAGTTGATCAACCTCCCTCGACTGCTAGCACATCCATGGTATCATTAGCACCTTCATAGAGAAAACTAGTGCCAGCATGCGGTGCGGTACCCGTAGACTTCAACTGCCCGGCCCCCATGCTCCCAAGCTTCCAGCGTCCTGGGATCGCCTCAATCACCGGCCCACATGGCCAGAGTCGACCCCGATCGCGCATCAGCCAACGAGGCAGAGTGGATGTGGACAATTTATACTCCCTGCCTCCTACTCTTTCGGCACCCCGGCGGGATACCTCGTCATTATCTTTTCGTCTCGCCGTCTCCTGTTCTGCGTCCGTCGTCGTTATCGTTGGTCGAGTCGTGCTCGTTGGCTTTGAGCGACAATCTTCAGCCTCAAACAATCAACAGCTTTGAGGGAGATTGTCTGGGTCAGAAGCCGTTTTGTCTCTTTTTTTTTTTTTTTTTTTTTTTTTTTTTTTTTAATTTTGATTTTCATTTTCCGCCTCGATGGATTAATTGCAACCGACAACTTGCCGCCAAGCCTCTCTAGGCAACTCTGCTTCTTTCTTTCCTTCTTTCTTTCCCTTGCGTCTTTGTGTCTTTAGGTGAGTCTCAAGTGGCAGGAGCGAACAGCACCCTTGCGCACCAGCCCGCCTGTCTTGCGAGCTGTCTTTGAGAATACAAAGCTGATCATCTCTTGTTGAATCACCTCAGCTCTCATCTTTTATTTACATCACGGCATTTACGCGCCATCGCCGTCGAAACTCTTCCTTGACACCCGCCGCCTCCTTTGTGTTTCATTCGAAGTCCCTTTCGTTTTCGCTTTCATCAGTTGGCCGGGCCTTCTTCCAAGAAACCATTATCAGTCCAAGCATTCAATTTTTCAGCATTGAAACGGATTTCCCACCAACCATTTCTCGAATTTTTATCTTACCTTGCGGATTGCACATCTAAGATCTCAGCCAACACAAATACAGCATCATCAACCGTTTCTTACAGCAAACAAGTTTAGGCGCATTTGCATTATACGACGTTATCACCTGTCTGACTGGAGAAACTGCCTGTTTGACATTTACACGGAGCCCGGCGCGCCGTAAAGTTACTATAGTTCAACAGCGTCTGATATAGCCGCTTGGTAGTAAACTATATGAGCGGCTGGAAACTCGCAATTTCGACTTGGCTAATCTGATATTGTCATCATTTGGCCCAATCCAGTCAAAATGACGGCCTGGACAGACGATGAGTACATGAATGCGCAGGGCGCAGCCTCGCTGCCTCCACGAGAATATGTTCCTTACAGAACTCCGTCGACTAAATCAAGAAAGTCACGACGTTCGGCACGCTCAACCACTCCCCCAGCGAAGAAGAAGATATCGCCGTCTAGGAATGGAAACGCCTCCAAACGTTCATCAAGAGATATAACAACCGATGAGCAAATAAGTATCCTCGACCCAAGGCGCTTCACCCCTACTCTGCACGCCAACTTGGTGTCTGAAATTTTGTCACTACGAAGAGATCAGGAAGAGAAAACCAGAGTAATTGAGAGCCTCGAAAGCACGCTCCAGACAAGCAGAGAGGAGCAAGAGGCGTTACAGAACAGTATCAACGCATCGGCCAAAGAGACACGCTCGCTACAGCGACAGTTATCTTTACTAGAAGGTGGAACTTCCTCGGCCTTGGGCGACCTTTCGCGAGAAAGGGATGAAGCTGTTGACTCTGCAGCCGATGTTAAGAAGCGCTTAGAGGCTGCTCAGAAGAAGATTCGCAGCCAAGAGGAAGACTCCCAGCGAGTTCATGATTCATGGGCTGAAGAAAAAGAGATCTGGGAAGACGAAAAACGCAAATATGAGCGGCGAATTCATGTGGCCGAAAGCCGCCTCAAAATAGTGCTTGATGAGGTAGAGGCCTATCAGGCTAATCACGTACAGGGAGCTGCTCAGCAGGGCAATGGGCACGAGAGTGAAGGTGAAGACAGCGGTAGAGAAAACGATGTGGCTAGTGTCAGAACAATGAGCCTTACGAGCAGCATTCGATATTCTTTGGCCAACGGACCCGGATTTTCTCTCAACGGATTCTCCCTGGCAGATGAGCTCAAGTTCGACGATACTGACGACCAGACCGATATTGACGGACGTGAGAGTGTCTTCTCGAGCCCACGAGTCGCGAGCCCACGACAACATCGACGAACATTTAGTCGCGAGAGCGCTGTTAGCAAGTTCCACCGGAAGAATAAGAGCATTGATAGCTTGAAGCGTACTGGTAGCATCGCACGTGGTAGGGTTTTCATGAACCAGTCGGTTCTAGAGGCGCTCGAAGGCGAAGATGAAGAAACAGAAGGAGAAGATTCTCGTCCCGCTCTAGCTGCCGCTCCCGTTATAAGGCCATCATACGCCGACGCGGGAGTTCAATCTATGCCTGCCTCTGAAAACTCATACAATAACGCTGAGACCCAGTGCTCCCCTATCCCCGAGCATACGTACAGCGATGCAAGCGTTCAATGCTCCCCTGCTCCGGCTCCCACTCCAGCTCCTAAGCCTTTACACGTTGACACAGGAATTCAATACTCCCCTGTTGCCGAGCCTTCATATAGCGACGCTGGAATTCAGTCTTCTCTTGCTTCTGAGAACCCATACACCGACACAGGAATTCAGTACTCTCCTATTTCTGAACACTCATACGCCGATACGGGAGCTCAGTATTCTGCACCGCCTTCCCCTGTATTGGAGGTTGTCGAGCCTGTCGAGCTGGAGTCTGCTATTTCAGAAGTAGTTGAAAAGAAGCCGGAGCCAAAGACTCCTCCCCGTTCATCCGAAGTCGAAGCAAATCAGAGAAAGAAGCGTGTTAGCCTACCTCTTACCATCGAAACACCCGCTATTCTCCAGCGCATGGTATCATCCGCTTCCCAAACAGTTGAAATTCCTTTGACGCCCCCAAAGACGCCAAACTCGCTGCACGCCGTTCCCGAATCTTCGCCTGTCGAAGTCAAAACGCCAAAGGTTGAGCCAAAGATGGTAGCTTCGTCTACACAGACTGAGGCTCCTGCTCCTGCTGCTGTAGCAGCACCACCTATACCGCTACCACCAATAGATACACGGATTCCGAGTATCAGTATCCAGCCACCAACTAGTCGGCCTGCATCGCCGCACACACCCAAGCTACCCCAATATTTCAAAGACATCGGCTGCCAGGTTAATATCCCTATTAAAGTGGATACAGTTGATTCATGCTCCCAGACGGAGGCAATCCAAGTTGACAAGAGGCGGCTGGCCAATCTACCAGCACATCTTCAGCCCTCTTCTATCACCTCTCGGCCTACATCCCCTCATCCATCGGGCGTTGCTGTTCTCGACAAGAGTGCTCTTCCTGGTAATGTACCTCCTCGAAATCCTCGACGATTGGAAAGCAGCCGGTACAGTACCGAACTTCCATCTTCCCCCATCAGTATCTCGATGGATGGCCCAGATGTACACGAGTTCAATGACGATCTTCTCCTGTCCAACCCGCACGCTCCGATAATACCGCCTCGTCGATTCAGCAGCCTCTTTTCCGGCTTTTACACTGATTCAGATGAGGTTGACGAGTTTGGAGAACTGGACTTTAGTGACTCTGAGTACCGAACAGCTTTGACGGCACCTAGGCCTCCATCCAACTTGAGCCGAACGGGCAAGCGAAGTTCTGTGGGTACAGTGGCGACCTCACCGGATCAGCATTCCAAACGCTCTGGCAGGACGTCTGCAAGGTCAGTGAGGAGTGACCTGTATAGTGTTGAAGAAGATGGTCTTAGATCCGGCAGGTCGAGCAGGGCCACGGAGAAGTCACCTGTGCCTGCTGCAAGCACATCGAACCGTAACAACAACGCTATACGCAATGCTACCATGGTTCAGACTGGTATGGTCAACTATCCTACCATTGTTGAGCCTAAGAATCCACCACCGTTCCCTATACCAGCCCGAGCGAGTTCACGGCGGCCTTCACGGCAGCCATCTATCAGCACCAGCATTCCAAGTGATGGACGCAGCACTCCATCAAACACTAGCTGGCATCGTCGAAGCGGCAGCCGTACTTATCCTGTCAATAACGTTCGCCGTGTCCGCTCTGCAAATCAGCTGCCACCCCATGAACGCCACCAGAGGACAGGTAGTCGCACACCACCATTGTCGCCATCTACTGAAGCTCCTGACAGCCCTGGTCTCCCTCCCCTGCCTCGAAATGACATTACTACGCCGCGTAGGGGCGAAGACAGCAGCTATAGAAAACATCGCCACCAATTATCCAACAACACAGTCGTGACTGCCAACACAGAAGCCCCGTCACACACGAGCTCACAATCACCGGGAGTGGTGGATGCGATTGCGCAGACCATGGTTGGCGAATGGATGTTCAAATATGTTCGCAGGCGGAAATCGTTTGGTGTTGGAGATAGTGCGCATAAAGACGAAAACAGCAACGATAGGCACAAGCGATGGGTTTGGATAGCGCCGTATGAGAGAGCCATTCTGTGGAGCAGCAAGCAACCGTCTTCTGGTAGTGCTCTGTTGGGGAAAACGGGTCGCAAGCTGGCTATCCAGTCGGTGCTCGACGTTAAAGACGACAATCCATCGCCCAGGGGCATTACTACACCCATCTTTAACAGATCAATCTTGATTCTCACACCGCAGAGAGCCCTCAAATTCACAGCTTCCACAGCGGAGAGACACTATCTCTGGCTGACAGCTTTATCCTTCCTCGCCCATTCTTACCAAGCAGTCCCTGACGTTATAACTCCTCAGCCACAGCAACACCTTTCAGTTAAACAGCGGCCTCTTCCGAATTTTGAACCACCACGACCTACCAAGCTGACAAGAGGCGGGATCCGAGATTCCATTCGGCTAGCTAAAGGTCGGGCCGTTGCGCCAAAGGCCGAGCTGGCGAGCATGCCCAGCATTCCTGATGTTCCGACATTGAGAATGGGTGATGTAGCCAGCTTTCGAGTGGCAGAATCCGTATCCGGGCCTGGACACGCCAGGGAAGAATCTGTGGACCCTGCCCAGCCACCCATGATACGTCGCTTCAATAACGAGCGTACAGGCCATAACCAGACGAACCACGGCCGCAAGCGAAGCAATACGGGAGGCAATGTTCACCCGCCGCTATCCTTCCGAGGCTTCTCACCAGCTCTGGGTGAGAGCAGCCACCACTCTACAAACAGCACAGCCGGTGCTAGTATTGATACTGCTGGCTCTTCTGATATCTACGCCTCTCAGGGCTCTACCATTGGGAGCTGGGGTATAGCTCAATCATCCGTGTCGGCAGTATCGTCACAAGGCAACTTCTTTGACGCAATCGGGACTGTGCGAATGGAAGCATTCATCAGCCCTCATACTCACCAACAGTACGATGAATACCCAGAGGATGACCATAGATCGCTTGCACGGAAGAAGAGCAAGGAATTTCGCCGACGTACGAGCCGGCATCGACGTCGAGCCCAAATGTCTAGAAGCGCGCGAGGATCTGATGAATTCTTTGCCGGCAATAAGACAGCGGGAGAGGAAGACTTTTTTCAAGACGATCCCTTCAGCGGGTTTTAAACCACCCGATGAAAAGAACAAGACAAAAAAGTAAAATATCAAAATAAACACCAACCACGCTCCTTTAACCGATTTTATATACCATCGATCCGACTATAACGGATCGAGCAACACCACGACGGGATACCCTGTTTTTCTTTTTCCTAGCATACATACCAACATTTTGCTTCAAGCCTTGTATTGATATTGATACGAATTACGGTCATTGCCGCTCTAATTCACTTTTTCTTTTCTTTTCTTTTTTTTGCTGTTTATATCATCTCATACCATTTACGGTGCGCGGCGCTGGTTTGTTTTTCTTTTCTTTTCTCGAATATATATATCTTTTGTTTTCTTTGTCGGTGGATGTATGATGGGACGAGAAGAGTCCACAAAACATATACAAAAAAGGGTATACACAAGAACAAACGGAGCAATTTCCACCATGATCTAATGCTGTGAGAGGCGTGTTTGGCCTGGGCATGGTAACATAGATTTGGAGATTAGCAAGACGGAATGCTCTCTCAATACCTTGGTAGGTAGATTGGGCAGCTACTCTCTGGGAATACAGACGACTGAGAGGCAGCGCAAATGGATAGTGCAAACTGAGAATAGTATGCTCGTAATATTAAAAGAAGAATAAAAAAATTCATTAATCTATATCTTGAAAGTGATGTTGGCATAGTTGATTTTGCTGCTGAATTGCAGCATCTACTTCGAAGTAGGCTTGAATCTCCACATGCCAGGAAAGGCAACCATGTGTAACCCCGCCAAAAGGAAAAAAAAGTTTGAGCAGTACATTTTGATTTTGGAACGCGACCCCGCCATCAACACCTTTGCCGCATGTTTGGCTTTTGAGCGTCTGTTGTGAAAAGTTGTTTGTTTTGATGTGATTTATTACGAATATAGATCTTGAACGCCAGCACAGAGGAAAGACATTGGAGGAGAGCCACGAATATGGAGGCCGAGACATTGGAACAAATGCAGGCGCGGCACCGCCGCGAGCTGAAGGATCTCCAGGGAAGAATCACAAGCAAGAAGAAGAACGCCACAAAGAAGACGCGCAAGGGCGTCAATGATGAATGCGCCGAGATGGAACGCCAGTTGAGAGAGACGCAAGCTTCCGAAGTCGCCGCCTTGAACGGAGAAGTCGAGGAAGATGTTGAGGAAGAGGGACAAGACGACGAGACGCCCGGCGGGACAGAGGTGCTGGAAAATGCAACTGCGAAGCTCAAGATTGAAGAGGAAAATGCTCAGCAGCAGCAGCAGCCTGGAAAGAAGCGAAATCGACAAAAGGAGCGCCTCGCACGCCGCGCCGCCGAGCAAGAGGCCGCCATGCTCAACGCCGAGCAGGAAGCCTCGTCCATGACAGACCACCGCGCGCGCGAAAGCACATACATGAAGAGCGCATTTGCGACGCACAAGCTCACCGAGAAGGACATTCAACCAGACGGCCACTGCCTGTTCTCAGCGCTGGCGGACCAGCTCTCCCACAATGGCATCCCTCTGGGCGGTGGCGGCGACAAGGAAGTAGAAGAGCCTGCGTACAAGACGATGCGGAAGACGGCGACGGGATACATGGAGGCGCATGCGGATGACTTTGCGCCGTTTCTGGAGGAGGATTTCGGGGGGTACGTGAAGAAGATGCGGGACACGGCGGAGTGGGGTGGGCAGTTGGAGTTGATGGCCGTGGCGAGGCGCTATGGGGTTGAGATTAAGGTGATTCAGGATGGGAGGACGGAGAATATCAGCGGCAGACAAGAAGACAAGGAGGGAGAGGAAGCGAAGACATTGTGGTTGGCGTATTATCGACATGGATATGGGCTGGGAGAACATTACAACTCTTTGAGAAGGGCGACGACGACGACGACGACGACAGCGGCAACCACGGCGGAACGAGGATGATGACGATACTGACAATGATATCTCGGGCCTATTATTTACTTTATGTTTGCTTCCCATGTCTACAGGGACTTTGTTTTTTTATCCTCGGCTTCTTCCTTTTGCGATGCGGAAGATGAAAAGTTCACAGACGCCAAACTCCTTTTTCCTTTGGGTCCTACCACCACCCTCCCTTTTTTTTATACTACTGCTATATACGGAAACCCCCCCAGCATCCACCAGCACCGTTACTACCGGGACCACACGGAGATGAAGTCCCTGACGGTCCCGTCTTCATTCAAGCCCGCCTTGTGTGTCCTCGGCGGCTTCACCAGACACACGCGATGCAGCGCATCCGGGTGAGGCTGCTCGGGACTCGTGCTCGACTTGACGTTGCCGTCGTCGGTGTACTCGACAGGCTCGCCGGGATTGGCGAGGAGAGCCTCGTAGACCTCGGGCCAGACGCCCCAGGGGGGGCCCTGCAGCGAGAGAGGCTTTCCGGAGGGGAACTCGAGGCAGATGAGCTGGCCGCTGGGGGCGAGCAGTTGCGACATGCGCTTTGCCCACTTGGGGCGTTCGGAGGGCTGTAGGGCGCAGAGGAACTGGAAGAAGAGGGTTAGGTGTTGGCTGCCTTTGTTATAGACCGGGTGGTATCTTTAGATAGATGATGAAGCAGCATCTTGCAACTCAAAACGCACCGTGTAATCGTATATCAGGTCAAACTTTTGCGTGCCCTCGCCGCCCTCGCCGCCCTCCCACGCCTCGCCAAAGAAGTCGCCCGAGACCCACGTCACGCGACCGCACTCGACGCCGGCCTCGCTCGACTTGTACTGCACGTTGGCCTGGTTCTCCCTCGCGGCGCCGAGCGCGCGGTGGCTGTAGTCCAGGCCGACGACGTCGTAGCCCAGCGAGCTCAGCAGCAGCACGTCGTGGCCGACGCCGCAGCCCGGGATCAGCGCCGAGCGGCGGACGACGTGGCCCGAGGCGTCGCGGAGGGGGTTGCCGCGCGGGTCGCGCTCGAGCGACGGCGGGATCAGGTCAGTGCGCTGGGCGAGCAGGTCGGCGAGGGCGAGCGACGGGCCGGCGCGGTCCCAGGGCGTGAAGGACTCTGCGTAGAGGGCGTCCCAGGCGTCGTTGTGGGCGGAGACGGGTTTGGAGGCGAAGTGGTCGCGGAGTTTGGGCGCGGTGGAAGTGGCCATGGTTGCGGTGAGTTGTGTGGTCTGGGTTTTGAGAAGAGGTTGGTATGTTAGAATATAGGTGAGCAATAGATTAGATGTATAGAGAGAGAAGGGAGTGAGAGAGTGAGGTATATATATATGAGCAGCCTTTGGATCTCGGCTTTGGGGAAGAAAGTGAGGCTAGGCGCATCATCATAGAGGGGCACGCTTTGAACTTGCCTCTAGCAAAAAGAGTTCTGACAGCCACGCGAGAGTTGAGAAAGGATGTAAGCTTGAATGGCAAAAACTCAAACGACACCGAATCTCAATCGCTTACACTGAAATAACGAAAGAAGCGAGCGAAGCGAGTGCGTGGATGATTTGCAAAGGTGAAGCATGACGATGGGGGTCCTTTATTGGTGGCGGGCGAAGCTTACTAGAAGCGTATTGCGTCTTTCTAACTGTAAGTTTTAAGCCGGGAGGTGGGGCGGGATCTCGGCGCATGGGATTATTCGGAGCTGGGGAAATGGGGTTGGTGAGGCTTTGGGCTACCTTTTTGTTGAGTAGAAGCTGTCAATTGATGTAATCCATGAATCTATAATTTAATGAGGAGAGTTTAAGTCAATTATTATAAAGCTTGGGTATATATATCCATTTATTCTCTATGTAGACGCTGTACATTCAAACGTTGCATTCTTCTGGAGCCGCAGTGGGAATGTCATCTGCGGTCCGCGTATCGATAAGGCTAAGCTCGACCCAAAAAGGAGAAGAGCTGAAGGGCGAAACGGGTTTAGTTTCGAACTGCAGAGCATAACCATAGCTCGGTACAAGACTGGGCCGTGGGCCGAGGCACGCTGCGGATGACATCTTTGAGATGGTTGAGATGTTGGGTTTTTGATGACAATGTTCTTTGCATTCTTCTTCACATATCCGATTCGAATTGTTTGAAATTGAATTGATACAGCCTTGTATAAGCGCATATTCACGTCGTTTTACTAGATACCACGTCATCATGGATGTCAACAATCTATTCAGCGTCAAGGTACAGTGCTCTTCTTCCCCATTTCGTGCAGACAGAACAACCCACTATTTCATTCACAGGGCAAAGTCGTGCTCGTCACCGGAGGCAAGTCTCTCGTTGATCCAACCCCATTGCCTCAGCTGACCTTTTCCCCCTCCAGGCGCCAAAGGCATCGGCCGCATGATCGCCCAAGGCTTCGTCGAGAACGGCGCCAAGGTCTACCTCACCGGCCGCGACGCTCCCGCCTGCTCCTCTGCCGCCGCCGACCTCACGTCGCTCGCGCGCAACGGCGGCTCCGCGCACGCGCTGCCCGGCGACCTGCAGGACCTCGCGCAGGTGCAGGACCTGGTGCGCCGCCTGACGGCCCTCGAGCCGGCCGGGCTGCACGTGCTGGTCAACAACGCCGGCGCGGCCTGGGGCGCCGACATCGACTCGTTCCCGGACCACGCGTGGAACAAGGTGCTGACGCTCAACCTGCACCGCGTCTTCAGCCTGACGCAGCTGTGCCTGCCGCTGCTCGAAAAGGTCGCCCGCCACGACGACCCGGCCCGCGTCATCCATATCGGCAGCATCGACGGCATCCGCGTGCCCACCGTCTCCAACATCGCCTACGCCGCGAGCAAGGCCGGCCTGCACCACATGTCGAGCGTGCTGGCCAAGGAGCTGGGCCCGCGCTACATCACCAGCAACGTGCTGGCGTGCGGGCCGTTTGCGACAAAGATGATGCGGGCGACGCTCGACGCGGCCGGCGAGTATATTCGGAGCGAGCTGCCGCTGCGGAGGATTGGCACGCCCGAGGACGTGGCGGGGGCCAGTTTGTTCCTGGCGAGTCGAGCAGGGTGAGTTTTTGTTTTCCTTCTTTTCTGCTTCTTACTTTTGTGAGTTGGGGTTTGGTGTCAGTTGGCTGACTTTGGCTTGTTCGTATAGTGCCTTTTGTAACGGTGCTTTAATTCGCATCGATGGAGGCGCATCTCATGTGTCAAAGCTATAATATGGTGTATAGCGTGGCCTGTACTGTTTCTATTATTAGAAAAGCGGGCTTGCTTTGTAGGCGCCATATATTAATCACGTAGATGATGAACAAAAAGAAAAGGCCAAGAAAGGATCATGTTTGAAGCATACAGCTGCCTCGTATAGTTTCATTACCATCAAGATACGGGTATTTCTAGCTCGTTGTATATAATTTATATGCGCGAAATGATGGGGGAAGAGAAGGAAGAGGAAAAAAAGGGAAAGGAAAAAAAAAAAAAAAAAGAAGAAATAACCAAGACAACGTGTCCCTGTACGCAAAAAGCTTCCCCTTCCAAACAGACCAACACCGTCCCATCCAGCTGATAGAGCTCCATTAACCAAATAAATGAAATCTCAAACATTGAGCGTGTATAACTTTCTGACGCCTGATCTCCGATGCAAATTAAAAAAAGATGAAAGGCGAATATGTCGCAAGGTAAGAAGAACGGATTGAGATTGGTGCCATGTTTATCAAGACTGTGCTCGATTTGATAGATGGCATCGTATTATTGCCGCGGCTGACAGGTCAATGAAGCCACACCCTGGTTGCGAAACTCGTCCGAAATCCGTTCAAACGTCACGAAAGCTGGCCACCAATCTCAACGCGCCTGATGAGGCATTCTCCATCAGATGCCGACATCCTCAAAGTCGCGCACCATGACTGCGACCTGCGCTCGCTTGGCAGCCTCGGCGAGGAGGGTAAAGTCCTTCAGGAAGGGCTCGGTGGAAGGGATCTTGGTCTGGATGGGGGCAGGGGCCATGGCGGCGGCTGAGCTGCTGGGAGACGGCCTTGTTGATGAGGCGGCAGATGAGGAGGCGACTGTGGAGGAAGAGGGATCCATTGGCTGTGAAGTGAGGCGAAGAAAATGTTATAGGAGTCGTCGGGAATAGTATGAAGAGTTGATGGTTGGCGGTGTATTAGACAGCCGGTGGTACAGCGAACGATGGCGAATAATTCGGCTCGATGATGATTTGCTGCAGCTGAGAATCCGGGGGATCTGCACTCTTCTTCCCTTTTTGTCTTAAAAAAAAACTCAAAAAAAGGGACAATCTTGTGGCGACGATTTCGGATCTCGAGATCCAAGGCGGATAGAAGGCGACGGCTGTTTGTAAATTCCGGAGAAGACGGTCTTGGACGAATTCAGCCGGCGCGTGTGCGTAGGTTTGGCTGCTGGTGGGGCTGCTGCAAGCAAAAGGCGTAAAGACCCGAGATCTGGAACGACCCTTTTCGGTACTTTGAATAAAGGAGAGATGGTCGAGAGATGGAAAGAATAATAAAGTAAAGATGGGCGATACTTGGAGGGAATGAGACTAGAGAAGAGAGGGCACGAGAAAGCGGATTCGCACTCCTTTTATCTACTCGGCGGAATAAAATAGTTCAAGGAGGGTTGGCTGTTGAAGAGGAGAGAGTCTAGATTTGCCGGTGCTTCTCTGTGTGGGGGGAGAGACTTTCTTCTTACATATGACGACAGTGCAGCCACTAACTCGGAGTACGTTTTCGCGGGCGATCATGTCGGGGGAGCGACAAGTACCTTTTTCTGCGAATGGACTCGGGAAAAAGGGACTTTTTGGGGGGGAGAAAAGCAACGCTGTGGCCCGGGATTGCCTCGGCATGTACCGCCGCGTGATGCGACGATTCGTGCAGAAAGACTCGGGATTTTTTTCTTCAAATCATTTATTACTTTGGTTTAATTTTCCTTGTTCCAGTGGTGGTGGTGGTGTTGGATTGCGACGTCGTGACTGCTCACCTTGGGCACCATTGTCGCGTGTACTTTGCGTGCAGCAGGTATCTACATAGCTACAGAAGCCCGGGTATAAGTTGAGAGACAAAGAACGAAACTGGCCAAACCCCAACGTCTTGGGCGATCCAAGCAACGAAATCTACATCTTCAGCGGTGGCAAGTCTCGGCTACGGACAAGTACCTTCTTGCGTTTCTCCAGAGGGCTTACCCCGAGTCGGGGAAGCGTGGTTCGACGCCATGGCGCAGCTGCATCTGGCAAGTATTTCTGTGCTTCGCCCTTTGTAGTCTGTACAGCGAGATGTGGAAGAATCTGATGGGTACTAATATCTGCATTGCTGCTGTTGGTTTACCCCCCCCCCAATATGATATAAAAAAAATCAGCAGTTACACGCAGACAAAGCTCGGCCAGATCGAATGAGAGGAGGCCACATTGTGCTGCTTCCTGCACGGGTGATGCTGCTGCACGCCAGAAACAGCAATGCTACACAACCCAAGAAGAAGAAGTAACAAGAGATCGGATTTACCGATCCGAGGCGCGGAGCTACAGTACACAGCCAACAGCCAAAAAGGATAAAAAAAGAAGCCAAGGACTAGGCAGAAGCCATTTCTCACGCTCTAACCTCAGCTCTAGTTCATTTGCTTGATTACCTAGAGTGGTTATTCCGTCAGGTTCGGGGGTCGGCTAACCGCCTAGAAAATTGCATTTGGCGGCCCCCAGATCTGCAGATGGTCTCTCGGGCTGATTCCAAGGGTCCTTGGCCCTGGTCTGGGCTACTGCATCTGCATGCTTCTGCCCAGTTTGCTGCGCTGTCCATCTTTGCCATGCACGTGCAGGTACACTTTGGCGTCAAATGCGGCACAAAGGTACCTACATGCTTATGCCTCTCCAATACTACATGGTATTCAATACCATGCTGTCTGGAAAGCAGATGAGTTGGTACCGAAAAAAGGAGATTCATCACATTTTTGCAAGCAGCCAAACCATTTCAACTCTCTCTTTCTCTACGGGTATATCAAGGAGCGGTGAAGGCCATGGTATCGTTGTTTGCCGAAATTTACTGGATAGCGAGTGGAGGAAAACATTAGTCTCTTCTCTCATTCTTTATCTAGGGCCGATTGCGAATTGCGAGAAGGCAAAAAAAAGGCGGGTGGGAAATTAAACAGTAGGAGGAAACCACCCGACACATGCGTTACGACTCGTGCGTTTTTTACGCTCCCCCCTCCCTCCTCTTACTTGTACATCGTTGCATGATACGGGCTGCTGCAACTTGCAACAGTGGGTTTTGCGCTAGGCGAATCCCATGAATGACCTGATTCTGCTGCCGCGCTGGACGCGTTCGGCGCTGATTAGCCAACTGTGGCGGGATAGCATGTTGAAACAGATGCGCAGATACCGCAGATGGGCCTTTGTATGCAAACCCTTGCACGACACGACACGCTCTGCCATGCTTCTTATTCCAACGCTCCACCAATCGCCAGTGCCAAATAAAGCATCAATTCAATCCCAAACGTTTCCCAAAACGAGCACCGCTGGACCCTGAGCCCCACCTTTTCGCCCTGCCACCCCCGCTTTTTCCGCTTTCTGCCCCACGCTCTTTTCTTCACGCCAAAACGTCACTTCTTTTTTGCTTTTTTTTTTTTCTTCCGAGATTTCTCCCGAACGACCAAAGCTTCCAGAAGGCCAGTCTAGTGTCCACACACCCTTCCCAACACCTTTTACCTACTACTCGGTTTCACAAGAAACGTATCAAGTTTTGAATCGAATTGGTGGGAATATACCAACTACACCCAAAAAAAAAAAAAAAAAAAACAAAAAAGAGAAGCAAAAACTCACACCCCCCTCCCCGGGCTCAAACTCCGGAAAATCCTACAAAAAGAGATCCATACGCCCCCTCCAAATCATCCTCACATGGCCGCCGTCACCGGCCCCAATTCTCGCCCCGGCTGGTTCGCCGTGCCGGCCCCCGTCCGCGAGCTCTTCAAGTTATTCCCTTTGACCACCCTCCCCGCCGATCCTCTCCCCGAGAGAGCTCCCGAAAGGACGCGGCCGCGACCTCGTCTGTACGTCTTTGCCAGGACCGAGGAAGACGCTCGAAGCGGCCGGCCGAGCTTCAATCCGCAATGCTTGAAGTGGCAGGTGAGTAGTTTTCCAATATGCTATGAACAAGAGGGGCGACGGGGCATATCAAATTTGGATGTCTTTTTCACTAACTTGATTCTCATCTATAGACCTTCCTTCGCATAGCCGGCGTTGAAGTCGACGTTGTGCCCTCCACCAACCATGCCTCTCCCTCCGGCGCATTGCCCTTCCTCCTCCCGCCAACAATAACACAATCGTCATCGACAACGACAGAATCAAAAGCTGCTCCGGCATTGATACCTACAAGACCTCTCACCGGCAGCAAGATCGAGCGCTACGCCAAAGACCACTCCTCTCACGACATACCCGCCGATTCCTCCTCCCCTTCCCGACTCGAAGCCTACGAAGCACTCCTCTCACAGAGCCTTCGTCCCGCATGGGTATGTGAAAAAAACCATGCATACTACCCTCTCCCCTTTCATACAAGGGTTCAATCAAACTAACACTCAACCGATATATAGCTACACACTCTCTACCTCGATCCCCTCAACATCCCCCTCCTCAAAACCCTCTACCTCCCCCCCTCGCCAATCCTCCAGCTCCCTTCCCTCCACGTCCTCCGCAACGCCGCCACCGCCGAGATCCTCAAGACCACCCGCTCCGCCATCATATCCCCCGACCAGCTCCTCTCCGACGCCACCGACGCCCTGCGCTCGCTCTCCGCCTTGCTCTCCGACGACGAATGGTTCTTTGGCCGCCCCGAGCCGGGCCTGTTCGACGCCGAGGTCTTTGCGTACACCTACTTGATCCTGGATCCGCAGTTTGGCTGGGCGGGGGATCATCATTCGCTGGCCAAGTGCCTAGTAAAGTTTGGTAACTTGGTCGAGCACAGAACAAGGCTGTATGAGAGATGTTGGCCAGAATCTCGGGGTGAGAAATAGAAAGAAAATAGATCTAGTGGGCTGGAACGCAGCTCTGCAATAGCATAATATAACCAAAAGTAAATACTACTTCAACTACAATTTCAAATGGCTTCAACTGTACAAGACATTCAACATTTCTTTTCCAAAGATACTCCCAGCCTCCTCTTGATTACACCACATATGAATGCCCCTAAGCATATTCTTTAAACACAAAATAGATCTAGTCGCCCAGTCCGCCTGCCTTAGAACAACACAACGCTATGACTGTACATCATTCCATCACGTTTCAACTCAGCGTATGTCCAAGTTTCTTCTTATACGCTCACAGGGAAAGGAACCATAGTCACAGCCAGTCGGTATTTTTGACCCCGTCCCTAATATTTCCATTTAACAACTTTGACTTTGAACGCACCGCGTCCGACTAACCGCCGATTTCCCTATTAAATCTAGAATATTACCCCTCAAGTAGCAAACAAGGTAAGAAGATGGGAAGGAGAGAAGGAATAAAGAATACAAAGAGAGTGGGAGTCGGTAAATGCGTAAATGATAGAAGAGAGGAAATCCCAGCGCCAAAACTCCAAAGCACGATTATACCCATGAGAGGAGAATACAAAAGGGGAGGGGGGCCAAAGGACCAAGAACCGCTGCAGCTATGCACATCCCAAGCAGAGGAACGGCGATAGCGTAGTCTCTTCACATCTGTGGAAACTGCTGAATGCTATCTACCACGTCCTGAAGCGATACAAACGCACCTGGACCGCCATCCTTTCGTAAATCTTCAAGTAGCACGCTAGTCTGCGCATACAACGTTTCCAGTGATGCTCGGGAAGACTTTCCCAGCGATGCTGAAATTTCACGGCATGTTAGAAATCTGTTTTGGAAGCAGAAAAGGGGGGCCAGCCTTGGACTCACATAAAATGGCAGAGTTCAGCTCCTCAGCAACCGTCACTCGGCCCCTTTCTTCCAGCAGGTGGCTTACTTGTGGCTCTTTAAGCGGGTTCTTGTATGCCACCAGCGCCCAAATCTCGTTCAATGCCTTGCCAATCTCCTTTCTCGAATCGCCGGCATATTCTCCTTGTAGAGACTGGCCATATTTAAGCATCTTATTTTCCAACTTGGTCAGCTCCGCTCTGTGATCCCCACCGTCAGTGTCCATGTTGTCTCCCCACCCATGGCTGCCATTCAAATCCAGGTCCATCTCTTGTTCACCTCCTATTTTGCTGTCGTATTTCATGCTCAGCTCAGCAGCCTTTCGCACCATCTCAATAAATTTGCGACACCGTAATTTGAAATATACCTGCTCGTTATCTTGGAGCACTTGTGGATAAAACATGTCGGTATACTTGAGCGCCTGGTCTATTTCTCCGTCAAGAATCGCTTGCCTGATGCCTATTCAGATGTTAGAGTGGATTATATATATGAGTATGAGCCAACTTACGCTGTCTGTTATTTGCATCCTCATCATCTTTAATATTGACGCCATCCACCGTTACGTCCGGATTCAGGTTCAGGGCTTCCTTTTGCAGCTTCATATCTTCTGCAAAAGCACGTGCCGTCTCCACATAGCCGTCGTGCTGAAGGAACTGCAGTACCAAGGTTTGGATGAGATCCGTCTCGTTCATACCTGGCTCCAGATGTGAAGTATCTGTCCGTTGAATGGCTCTCTGGATGCTCTCGCGTTGTTCCTGTTGAATTCCATGTCAAAATTATTCTCATCATAGTCGTATGATTGGTTTGGAAAGGGGAATAGAAATTGAATGTATACATACATTCATCATGTCGTCGATATTGTAAACAAACGGTTCCTGTCCAAAGTTTACAGATATTTCCTCACCGTGCTTTTTCAGACTGACAGACGGATATAGCTTGCTCCTGGGAACATCCTGAACTGCAGAACCTGTTTTTTGTTGTATCCTTGGTCAGCAAACCATTGAACATGAGTATCTCCATTCACGCTCTCTCGCTCTCTCGCGGATTTGCCTACCTAGCATGAGTCCGTTTTTGGTCCAGAATGCAGTATGGTCTCGAAAGTTGACTCCGCAACCAATCACATCACCCGTCGTAAATGACGGTCCATAACTCCGGCCAATGTTTTGGCCTGTGAAGCACCGGCCATCATCGCCATGATAACCCCAAGTCTCTGGCTCCCAGCCCACAGGCCGTGATAGTGATGCGCCCCTGGCTGAAAATCCGATCGCAATGGTCGTACTAGTCCTACGGTTAGTTGGTACCTCTGTAGATGATGGCTGCTCTGGACAAGACGGCTACATACTCATCTTGTTTACCAGAAATAATGTGTACTTCATAATAGTATATCCCACACTGCGGGGGCATAAAATGGTCCGCCCGAATGGCGCTGGCTTCGTGGTCGCGCTCGTGATGGTTCTTGGGTCCTGAGAATTTGAGCCCCAGCATATTTGGCATAACCTCTATTGAAGTCCACATGTCTGCGGTGTTCCAGTGCCTAGGCAGAGGCGCTAGACTGTCGCCGTCATCAAACGGCGTTCTTTCCATGACGGTGTGCAGCATGCCTCTGTGAGCACCAGCAGGCAGCGGCGTCGTGCTGAGGCCTGAGGCGCTGATGTCTTGCCCATTCCCTTTACTCCGCTTGACTTCCTTTTGAGCTTCTAGCTTCTTATTGTATGCTTCCTCCAGCTTCAGGACATATGTCGATCCCTTCAAATACGATGGCACGAAGAATCTGTCGTCGTCTGCTGTGGCGCTCGCAGGCTCTGAAGCAAAGAAGTCGAAGGCTCGAGAAAAGGATGGCAAGCTGCCGCTAGAGGCCCTCCACACGTTGGCCATATCGCCTTGTGCCGCCGCATAATCCATCTCAGTCGAGTTTGCAGCCGGCGCGGGGCCTAGACGTAGCGTAGGATCGAGAATCAGGTCACCGTTGGCGTCTAGCACGGATGTTCGGGCAGGATGCGTATAGAAGTTGTAGCCGCCTCCTTCACCGGCAGCGACGGAGGTGCGGGTCGCTGTGTATTGATGTTCTTGAAATTCGAGGGATTCAGCAGACGATTCCGAGTCTGTGAAGCCAGATGAGCCATGCGGTTCCGGACTGGACATGATAGGGCAAGAGAAATGGAGATGGAAGAACAAGCAAACACTTCAAGGGTAAGAGACTGAGGGGGGAGTCGTGCCTGGCAAGCGAGCAGCTCGGCTACTAAAGCTTATTGGAAGCTTCAGTCAAACACGCAACTCGATCCAGGTGCCGGTCTGCTCCTTATACAGGCGGTTGGAGGGATGAATGGCGCCGGGGACGGAACCCAGCGAGTCGTCGGCGGTATCTGTGCTCAAATGGGAGTGAGGGTCGACAGGCCGATTGAGTGTATGAAAACAAGGCGAAGAGGACAAAGTCGGCAGATGAGATGTGTCGTGAAGGTGCCGTGCAGCTCGCTCTGCGTATCGAGGGAGGGGAATCGGCGTTGAAGCGGGCCGATGAGCTCGTGGCAACAGCCGTCAACCGAATGGCCGGCAGCTCAGAAGGCGGCAATGAGAGCAGCAATGGCAGGCACAGCTGCGCCAAAAGAGCAAGACTGTCAGGCAAAAGACGAAGGCGATGCTCCGGGTCAATCAGCTCGCAGGCGTTGCTGTTGGGCGCCCGCAATGAGGTGTCGTGCTGGTGGGTGTCGTCGTTGTCATTGAGGGTGGAGAAGTCGATTTGACGCTGGCACTAGCTCGCTGTTGTGCTGGGCTCTAGCACTTATCGCTCCCTATCGCAGCCGCCATCACGGGTTCTGTAGGGAGCAGAAAGGTGGAGCAGCGCCTGAGCCTGGAACCGCGAATTCCTGGCGCCGCTGATCAGATGCTCTACGTCAATATACTACTAGTAGCATTTATTGAGCTTTGCAGGCGGTTCATCACGCCAAATGGAATGATTGCTCAGTTTCAGCGCGCTTATTCCTTGTTTCCCATTTGCCTCGGGCTGATTTATGGATTGCCCAACATGCCACTTTCTGGTCAACGTCGCATGCGCTTCTTCAGTGACATAATCAAGCAGCCATACAGGTTCTTATCTGGCACCGGAACTGTAGCAGAAAAACCCGAGGGGTAAGAAACATATACCCGAGGCGGCATGTACAGACCAAAAGCTTAAGCTAAAGAGCACGAGCTATGAACATTACTACTACTCATGTTCAAACTCCTCAATGTACCGTCTAAGCTGTAATCGGCTTATAACACGCAAGGCGCAATATACACTGCCGTCCAAATTCGGCATAGCCCACTTGTGCAAATGACTAAGCTGCTTGAAGTACACGATCTGCCCAACTTCAGCAGTACCACGCGACAACACTCGGGCTTCCATCCATGGGTTAAATACAAATAGCATCCTCATTGCCCATCTACGGAAAATAGCCAGCATGTCTTCTCAGCAAATCTAATTTTACACGTCCATCCCTGCTCGGGTCGCAGCGCCCTGTGGGGTGGATGAGCGAGCAAAAAGCCAACCAGCCGCCACTGGTTAAAACGAAAATGAGAAGAGAAAAAGTATAAGCTGATGAAAATGTGATGGCGGTTTCGGGGCTAAACGAGTAATGCGGCCAAACCAGGAAACCTTGCTACTACGGCGCCACCGCGAGAAAGAGCTGGAGCCAAGAATGTAGCGAACAAGTGTCGATAAATGGCTCACCCTCCGCACGCAAAAAGTAAGCTGTCTTCCACAGCAGGGAACCGAGATTGGTAAAGGGGAAAAGCCAACTCGTCGGCCGCGTAATCTGGCGGCGCAGATTTGGAAACAGCGGCGTAGATGGTAAATAGAAATAAATTCACAAAGTCAACTTGCAGTAGCTTTGACTGCGATGATGCAGCGCTGCTGCTGCACTACTGTTCCAAATCCGAGACATTGATTAGAGACTGCACGGGCAGGGCTGTTCACCAGGCACGCGTAATGTAACACAGCGTCTACTCTACATCCGTTAGGCATCACCTGAAGATCAATAAAAGATGTCTTGATCGCCTCTCATCAGGCATTCACTCGGGAGTAGTATCAAATGAATACTGCAATATGAAATGAACAGCAAAGCAAAGAATTGTATTGCCCTGGCTGACCGACCATGCCAACCTGTCTACTCTGAAACCTTGAGTATACCGTTACATACATACAATTACGCCGACAATGATCCCGATACTCCAGTTTGCGCAAGTCCTTGGATGACCGGCAGTTCAATCCCTTCCGCCAACGCCCAGCGACAGCTTGCCGTCGCCTTGTAAAAAGACACGATATTATCATGTTGCCCGAGTTTCCGTCCACGGGGCCGATGAAGCAAAATGCAGATAACCTCAAGCCCGATTTTTTTCTAGGTTTGAAACATATTGAGAAATAAAATGAGAAAACCCCGTTGCATCGTGGGATGCAAAAAACAAAGAAGAAGAAAATGAAGGAGAAAGCTTAATGCGAGATGTTATGATGCAGTAGCCACAGCAATGGGTGCAGGTGATGAGGTCTGGATGCTGGGCGCGCTTTGCATCTCGACATCAGGGCCGCTGTTGCTGTTAGAAATGCTGTTGTCTTTGCCGGACATGCTGTTGGCTTCGTTTCCATTTTCCTTGTTCTCTTTGTTGCTACCTTCGGCTGATGGGGCAGCTGAGTCTTCGGTGCTAGACTCGGGAACGGTTCGCGGAGGAGCAGTCCATCGGGGTATTTCCCAGGCAACTCCGGTAAAGCTCTTGAGTCTGAAGCCACCCTTGGCCCATTTTCGACAAGGCTTGCCAGAACGGTCGAGGGCGCGAAGGCCTGCGTTGATGGCTCCCTGGTTGGCCTTGGGGCCGAGTTTGTGGGCAGTAGGGCGAGCTGCCGCACTGCTGTGGTCGATAGTACCGTCCTCCCTGTATGGGCGCACTCTGATTAACATGCAATTCAAAGAGTCCAGGCTGTTTTGAAAAAAAAAAAAAAAAAAGAATTAAGGGAAGAAGGCATATTGAAACTTACAATCGAGGCTTCTTCTTGGGCCCCGGCTTGCCTCTTGGCTTGGGGACTCCATCAATGGTGCCGTTTGCAGCAGCCGCAGATCGCTTGACTCCCTTCTTCTTCGCTCCCTCTACGGGAGGTCCCATTGGTGTCGGAGCAGGTGTGGTCTCGGCGGCCGGAGTGGCAGCATTGGAGTCGGATGCATTGTCTCCATTCGAGTTGGTGGACACAACCAGCGCGTTCGGGCTGGCCGGCGACTCTTTGATCTGCGAGTCCTCCTTGGAGAGCTTTGACTCTGGGGACTGAGATGCTTCTTTGACAGACACGGAAGGGAAGATATCGCGTAGAAGTTCCGGCGATACGCTGAGGGTGACGAGCAGACCGTGTTTGGTTGCCGACTTGCGGCGGCCGTCAGCTGCCTTGGGGGGAGCCATCGCGTCTTGGTCGAAGATTTTTTTTTTTCTTCTTCTTTCTTGTCTCAAGAATAGCAAATGGCTGAAGAGCTGGCCTTGTCAACGGTGCTGGCGCTCAAGCAGCCCAACGACGGTATGCTGTAGCCGACGGCGATGCAGAGATTTTGCGTGGGCAATGGCACGGCGGCAGAGCGACGCTGACGGTGCACGGTGGTGATGGCGGAGCGCTGGTGATGATGGAGAAGAGCAAAAAGCGAGGATGACGGAAAGGCCGCGCAGGTTTTTTGGTGGTGCTCTGAACCACGGGCGATGGGCTAATACCTAATGCTGGTGGTGATCCGGCGTGGTGGTCAGGGGGTCTGGGGGCCTTGCGTGGAGCAGCAAGCAGAGAGGCGACTCTGGAACTCTGGACTATATTAGCAGGCCGGCGGTGATAGTGTCATGTCATGAGCGCTGGTGCATCGCGGGCGAAGAGGAGGAGAGGCGAAGGGGAGAAAAAGAGGCGGGAGGCGGAGGGATTTTCATTTTCTGGGGTGTTGTCTCGTAAGGTTCGGGGCCTTGGTCTCATCCTCATTTTTTTCGGGCCAGAAGGGCGGCGGCGCACAACGCAAAAAATCGGGCAGAGGTTTCTTGTTCGTAGCTGGCGCAGATGGGCCAGCAGGACCGTGACGCTCCAACACAAAGGGCGAGGGGTGGAAGATTCAGGCCGCGCTTAGGATCCGCCCCGATACGGACTAGCGCGCGCCGCGGTCCAATCCGAAAGGGGCCCTTTTTCGAGGCAAGCTCGCCCAAGTGGCTTTTATTTTCGCATTATTTGAGGATCCGGCCGGCCAATCACGGGCTAGTCTGGCTAGCCCTGCGACGGACTTGGGAAGGCTCGGTTTGCGCCCGTCTGATTCGTGGGCTGGCGTTAGGTAAGCCATGGCTGAGGGCATTCCTTTGTACCCGAAACCTGCAATATTGGCGATTACATGCAGCACACTCAAGTATCGGCTACAGCCCATCGCGCCAGGCGGAGGGCCTTGAGATTTGAGGAGCCGTGAGCGTTTTGGCATCCTTTTGCACTTCTTTCTCACCCAAGAGCCAAGAGCCAATTTCCAATTAACCGAAGGCGACCTTGGCTTCCGGTTTCGGTGGCAACAGATTGATGCGGCAGAAGTTTCCATCGAACCTCAAAACATCCATCTCTTCCAACCGTAAAATGGCATTTGGAACACCCAAGCTTGCTTCACGGCATTGATCGTGATGCATTTATCCAGCAGACGTAACGACTTGATTGCGAACAACGGTCGCAGCGCGTATGATGCCCTAAGCTAGCTGCCTGCACCATTCCCGCCTATTTGCCTCCATACAGTGTTTATTCTCCAATCTACAGGAACTTTTAATTTGCGTAGATCATCTCCAGCACTGCTACCAAAATTGGTGGAGACAAAAAACTGCGCCAGCCTTCAATTGCAGGCGGCCGTTGATGACTTCATCAGTTCTATTGGCTTCTACTGCTGCAGAGCCCGAGCTTACCGGAGGCATCTCATCTGACCCCCATCAGCCGAACGCAAATGACAAGGCACTTGGATGTCATCCAACGTGCTGAATTTTTTTTTTTTTTCTTCTCAGGTCAATCAAGGGGCTGAAATCTCTTTCATCTGTACTTTTATGAAAAGAGCCTATCTCACCAATTTGGCGTACACAGTTGTCCATCGATAGCATCCATATGAACGAGTAACGCATACATGTAAATTTATATAGGGAACATAAGTCGATCCAGCACCCCAGTTCTATGATCCAACACTCTAGTGATCAATCGCATCGACTACTACATTTACTACACATATCAATTCTACTACTAATGCTATTACTTCTACCACTCCTACGACTGCTACTACTTTTAAGTAAGTATAACAATCATCAAATACACGTCTTTATATATATACCAAATGCCTTGTAGAGCTACAGCTGGGATTTTAGATAATGAGACTGGGGTGCGGGATAACTTTTCTTGAATGGTAAATAGACGTGATGCCTAACCAATGGGCCAGGCGCGGCCTTTCTATTATATGTTCGACTGATCAAATGACCTCACCAAAGGGCATTGAATCTGAAACAAGACTGTGCAATCTGGTCAATATTATCGATCGATGCTGTCTCTGATAGACGATTTGACCGTAGGTAGTTAAAGCGACATCCACCGTGTCTATTTCTCAAACAACTTTAAGTAAGTAGCCAACACGATCTTAGATAGAAGTGAGATTCGTGATAAACACATTTAGACGAGTTCGACAGATTCTGACCATTCGACTTAAACACAAAGGGTGAGGCAGGCCGTACTCAGTAGAAAGCGAAGCGTTGGTTATTAAACGTTTACGTTGCAACGGCCTTGTGCACGTCTCTTACAGATACCGGGTACTGGCGCATTGTGATGCTGAAATATACATGACCACAGGAATTCCTTGGTTCATATAGTTTGTTCTTCCTTCAAGGGCATCTTACACATGTCGCTTTTAGTTTTAAAATAGATGGGAAACCTTGCGGGACTGCAGCCGGTAGATCAAGCCTTCGCCGCCAAACAGCGTACTGACATGGTTACACGGATGCCACATCACTTGAATCGATATTGCAATGATAAACTTAATCCGATACTCTCTGCTATTTTGGAGTCAGGAGCAGTTAATTAAAGTGTAGAACAATAACAGAAAGCAAGATCAACTATCAACTCACACCCAACAACCCGTATATGGTCCATTCGAGGAAAACATATCGAGTGCCATCTTATAATTCTGAGACATTTCCTACCAATTGAATTAAGTCATTCATAGAGAACCGTACGGCAAAGCATCTTAAATTTAATACAGCGTGTTGATTATAATGCAAGTGCAACATCAACTTCGTATCTAACACATGATCTCAAAACAGCCCCGTTTTGTTCGCCATACTATCTTATTCAGAAAAGCTCAATTATTTCAGATAAATTGTCTTTGTGAGAGATAATTGTTTCATACTATACCCCGTTAAAGGGGACTGAATTCCAGTTGTCATGCAACAATAGACGCCGTCGCCGTCGCAGCCGCTGGAATGTGTTGCTCCTCACAACGACCCACCTCCACCGCCGTATATATATCACAATACATAGTCTTCATGAATTCTTTCACTCCAAAGTTGATCAAAATCATTCATCGCTACAAATCCATTTCCGTGTGATATTGTAACATTCTCTCAATCGTAAATCGCCGTCATCATCATGGTTCTTCTCGAGCATCTCCCCCTTCTCGGGCTGGCCTTGGGCCTTGCACACTTCCATCACGGGAGAGGATCTCATAGCCACCCACCTCACTTGAACCAAGCAGCCGTCCCTCAAATTTCTAATGGCTCATCTCAGCTCCATCAGGCTCCTCCTCCCATGCTGATTGCCTCGCGGGCGTCAGACGAAAGTCATGATGCCACGATCCAAGTTAACCAAACGCATTTGCAGGGCATCTTGGACAAACTCAAATCCCTCGAAGATGAAATTACTAATATAATGGCATCCAGAGCTAACTCGTTTCTAGATTCCTCTTCCACTCCCGTCCAGCACTCTGCACTGGACCCCGATGATATAGAGTTTTCCAAGGCCACCATGGGAGCAATGAAGCCCACGAAGCTAGCTGCGACAACGCGACAAGAAACAAAGACTAGTCCAGGCAAGCCTTCCCTTGGCCCTATACTACCACCATATGTCAACCACTAATCAATTTGTTGGGCAGCTGTTGTTGGAGGATTGTTCAAAGAGGCATCTTTCAACTTCAACCAGCAGTCTACAGTGACAATCACCTCCACGACTCATATCACACGCATGGTCACCATTGTACCGACGACAATCATCACATTAACCACAATTTCAACTATTCCTGTAAAAGTGAGTGTCAAAAGTCGATATTTTGGAAGATTATTGATGCGAACCTGAATTAGGAAAGCAAATTCAAGGCTTTGATTCCCTTTTCCAGCGAGATGGCTGCCGCGATTCCTCCAAAAACCGCTTTGGCACATGGTCATACTATTCGACCCTTTAGCTCGTCATCGTCAGTATCATCGTCAGTATCATCATCTCCACCACCACCATCATCATCATCAGCAGCAGCAGCAGCAGCAGCAAGCATTGAAACAGAGCTGGGGCAGCCAATGACTACCTCTCTCCGTTTTAATTCTTCAATGACCTTCCATCATCCATCACTTCCGAAGATGAGCGGGTTCATGACCGTTCGGAGGGCCGCTTGATCTGCATGAAGATGGCTGATGGATGGCTTGGGGGATGGCTTGGAGGATAATTTGGGTCGGTTGTTAGATAAAGGCGGCGTTACAGGCGGTTCTGTTTGTTCATCATACTTAATTACACAAATACAGTCATCTTGTCCTGCTTCTTCTTTGGTTGGCAGACTCATGCTTACTCCGCAGATCCTAATGAGAAAACCTGGCCATCTTGGAACGCCCCGGTTCCTCCCACTTTTTGCTATCCAGGTAATAATATTTAACGAGCGAATCACAGCTTTTCTATTAATCAACGTTTCCCCAACCCAGGCCTCGACTGGTCCGGCCCCGGTGTAAATCAGCTAGTAGAGCGCCGCGGAGGGCGCACGGCAGCTTCACGGAGGGGATCCCGCTCCTCAAGGTACCCAGGGTTTCTTATTGTATCTGCCCAGGCTCTTTGTACCTGATCCATTGAAGAGGACAAGGGGCCGGGTCCGATTTCGTTGTGTGGCCGGAATCATTCCGGCCAATGGTCCAGTAAAAAGGCCGGGCAGTATCGGTAGCCTGTGGGGCTAATCCTCCCCCAACCCGGCCCCTCCCCCACAATGGACGAGCTTTGTCTTACTCCAAGATAGGCGGGCAGAGGCGGCATACAGAACCAGACGCTGCAGGGTCTTTCTTATCAGGACCCTCGCGGTCAGTGTCTCACAATGACTTCCAGCTTGCCCCTGAAAGAAAGATGGCGATAACAGCTTCTTTCCGTTATGTATGCTTGTGCCACTGTTATTGCTCCATAAAGAGATGACTGTTTTCGTGAAATTAGCAAGTGGTACCGAAAGGTAGGGTGTGTGTAAGACAAGTACACACAGTATAGCTCTCCTTCGCATCATCTTCTTGGTCATGCTACCCCCTATCTCGCCCGATTGACGGTGTTGGGACAATAGATAACGGGGTTCCATTTGTTTCTGTTACGTGAAGTCTTCGCATTAGCCTCCGGACACCTTCCTCTAACGGAGACAAGGGCTGTCTCGACCCGCCTGTGCTGCCCGTACATCGTGACCTCATCCCCACCGAATGGCCGGAATGGATTCCGGCCACCGGGTACTTAGGCGGCGGCGCGGACCCGGACTGACGATGAATGTCCCCCGAATCTCTCAGACTTCACAGGGCAAGCTTCTTCTTTGCCACCTGCTCTTTCTACCACTCCTTGGCATCTTGGCCCCTGAAGACCGCCCCTCAGCCAACCCCTTCTCCAGAGCACTTACACACTTACACACTTACACGCATTCCACCATATCATATCATCTCCTGATACCATCACATCCCTCATCTACACAATGGGTTCCATGGGCACCGCCGTACCTCCATTCGAGGTCCTCACAGATGCTCGTCCTCATGACAACTCCCTCCCTGCCTTCTTGGTGTCCACCACCAGAGGCTTCCTCCCTCGTGCAGACCCTGTTGTCACTCTGCCCAAGGAGTTTGATGCGCTAGAGTCTATCCTCCAGCGTATGCCCGTCAAGACTCTGTCTGGCGAGCCAGGTCTTCTCGCCCACAGCAAGCTTGGTGAAGAAGTTGACAACAGCTTCCCGGATCTCACTGATGCAATGGAGCTGTATAAAGGAAACCTCCCTTTGATGAACGCCCTCTACCGGGACTACTCGTTCCTTGCCTCTGCGTATCTCCTTGAGCCTTGCCACCAGCGATTTCTCAAAGGCGAAGGCTATGGCTTGGGACGCTCCACTCTTCCCAAGAACATTTCTCGCCCCATCGCTCGATGTGCTGAGCTGTAAGTTCCAAGCCGTTGCCATCAACTCATCCCGGCCTTCATGCCAATGCACTTGTCCAAGTATCAGAGGCTGACTTCTTCATCGCAGCACTGGCTTTATGCCTTTTATGGAGTATGCTGGATCTTATGCGCTCTACAACTACCGTCTTGAAGATCCTGCCAAGGGCTTGGAGTATGACAACATTCGTCTCATCCGTGCCTTTGAGCATGGCCTTGACCCAACTTCATCCGAGGCCGGCTTCGTCCTTGTCCACATTGACATGGTCAGGAACTCGGGTCCCTTGGTTGCGGCCACTGTGCGTTGCCTTGAAGAGGTTTCCAATGCCTCCACCAACCCCGATCCCGTCGAGGGGCGTAGATCCTTCAATGAAGGCCTCTCTGATATCGTCACGGCGATGAAGAAGATCAACTCTGTCATGGAGACCATGTGGGGAAAGTCTCGTCCCAGAGACTACACCAGCTTCCGCACCTTTATCTTCGGCATCACCGGCCAATCCATGTTCCCCAACGGTGTCATCTATGAAGGCCTCTTTGACAACAAGCCCATGTCGTTCCGGGGTGAGTCTGGTGCCAATGACTCCATGGTGCCCCTCATGGACAACTTCCTTCAGCTTCCCCTACCCAACACCCCTCTGACGGCCATCCTCACCGATTTCCGTGAGTACCGTCCCAGCAACCACAAGACCTTTTTGCAATACGTCAAGAGCCGCTCCCTAGAGCTGGATCTCAAGGACTATGCTCTTGGTAACAAAGTCGAGCCCACCTCGGACGAAGAGAAGGATCTCCTCCGCCAGACTTGCAGTCTGTGGATCCAAGTTCTCAATGAGGTGCGAGACTTCCGCTGGCGCCACTGGTGCTTCGCCAGAGAGTACATTCTGAAGCAGACCTCTCATCCAACCGCCACCGGCGGCAGCCCCATCGTCACTTGGCTTCCTAACCAGCTGGAGGCGGTGCTGGCGGAGATGGTGAATGTGCATGATATGACCAAGGGCAAGCACCAGAAGGGCCTGGGCACTGTTGCTGAGGACATCATGGAGGCAGCGCTGCGGCAGAGAGACACCCTGCGGAAGGAGGTTGACAAATTCTGCGCTGACCGCGGCGTCGCGAGGGAGAATTGATGAATCAAACCATCTTATCTGGGGGCAAAACGGGAGGAGAGGAAATCTCCAGTCAGTAAAAATCGGATTATACCAGGTTGAATTTATTGCGCTTCCTCATGTATGAGGCTCTTGGGATGATGTATGATAAGACAGTTTTCGGTATTTGTTAGTAAAGTGTCTATTAGTAGCAACATGGAACGTTTGAATGTTTGCAATTGCCCGAGACATGACTTTTTGCGTGGACGCCCGTGACTTGCACGTGTAAGCACTTGTGCCTCACTACACTGCACTTATTCCCAAACGCACCTAGGACCATCTACATCAATGTTGTTAGGCTCGAAAATGTAATCCGCAGTAATTCTCCCATTTGCCAAAGGATCCGTCTCGTGAGCACAGCCAAGGGCTGCCTCGGAGCAAAGAGGGGACCGACAGCCTGTTCATGCACAACAAATGAAATCGCATCCACAACAGCGCCGATGCATCCACCCACCAACCAGCCTTTGTCGGTTTGTCCAACAGCCAAGACACGCCTCCCATCTCGAGGAAAAGGCCGAGTGCCGCGCATTCAGCGACGAAATGTCAGCTCGCAGTTTTGCCCGAAAGCTGAGCGAACAGGTCGCTTCGGTCATTGGGAACGGCTGAGGACGATTATGCCTTGGGCCGCATCCAATCCTGCCATCTGCGTATGGAAACGGCGTGTGCTCGGTGACTATGCGGCGCCAGTGATTGTTGGACGGCAGCAGATGGGCATGTCACTTATTTTCCATTGTGCCTCTCTGGATGAGGATGTACAGCCCGGATGGGGTCGCATGGGGCAGGGATAAGCTGCGAATGTGGGCAATTGGGGTCCTTTAGTTCGCTGTCGCCAGTTAATCCCTGCACAAAGGACACAAGGCTGTGATTCAGTTGGTGCGATGGGATTTCATCTTTCACCTCGCTGATTTCTCTTCCTTCATCTTGTTTCTGTTCCACGCAGATAGGTGACAGAGGTCTTGCCGTAGAGATCCAAGCGGCATTAGCTGGGCAGAAAGGAAAAGGATGCAACTGTCGCCCAGCCATAATTGAAGATGAGGCTCCTCTTCGTGCTCTCGCTCTCTGGCCTCGCCATTGCCAGCGCCGCCCACGAGAGATACGCGGCTCTGCCAATTATACCAGAAGGCTTGACGCCGCGATATTCTTTCGATAGATCACAGCCGCTCTCAAAGCGCGACGAAAATTGTGGTGACAACAGCCATCCCTGTAAGGCGACAACCCCTCATCTTCTGCTTCTCATGCAATGCGACTGATATTGCCATCATTTTACACTCTCTCTTGCACGCGTTGCTCACCGCTAATACCAACTTCATTCACTAGGCCTCGATATCGGCCACGGCGACATCTGCTGCAATAACGATAGCTACTGCTTTTTAGACACATCTTTCAAGCCAAAATGCTGCGGCATCGGCCTGACTTGCGCTCCCTCAAACCCTTGCGCTGCGTCTGCTGTACGCTGCACCGTCACAACCACCCTCACCTTGACCAGCACGTCTTCGCTCTCAAGGGCTCAGGGGAAAGAAACTACCATAACGAGCAAATCCACATCCGTTATTACAGGATGCTGTGGGCGCTCCTGTCCTAGCACGAGCCAGTATCTTTGCGCCAAATCACTTGGCGGCAATTGCTGCCCATTTGGCACCAACTGTCAGGAAGACAAGAACTGCGTCTTTGTCAAGACACAGCCTCCGCCAGGCGTGGTTCCTGCTGTAACTGGAAGCTGTACGGCAAGCCAGTTTAGATGCTCTGATGGCAACGGATGCTGCAACAACGGCGCAACGTGCACCTCGTTCAGCGGGTCGGCGTACTGCTCTACCGCTACCGGTGGTCCTACGAGCACCCTTGCCGCGGGCAGTGACGGCGGCTCATCTTCTTCTGGAGGGCTCTCTGCCGGAGCCGAAGCGGGTATCGCTGTCGGAAGCGTGGTTGGAGGTGGACTTGTTGTCGCGGCAGCCGTGTGGTATTTCCTCAGAAGACGGAGATCGACGGCACCGGTGAATGGCGTATACAACGTCGCTGAACTACAACCCGGAGACGTCAACAGAGATGCCGGGGTGGCTCCGAGTGGTCCTACCATGAGTACCGCGCCAGCAACGCCTCGAACCTGGCGACAGCGCTGGACAATGGCGTCGTCGCTCACTCCTTCAGGGGCTGTAACCGACGCAGGAACGATAAGGTCTCCGTCGTCGGCTCCAGATCCGGTCGAGATTGGCTCGGAAGGGCTGTCAGAAATAGCCGGCTCGGAGGTTATGACGCCCAAATCCGAAATGACCGGCTTTGCTTTGACAGGGCTTCGGACGCCGGAGACGATAGACGGCCGGTTTGAATTGGGTGGAACGGAAATGCCCTGGCCGCAACCCTCGCCAGCCAGTCCCGAACCCAGTCCCCAACCGCAAGAGCCGAGTCGAGATTCAAAGTCAAGTTAATCATGATGGCCGAGAAAGCAGCCTTTGTCAATTAGTCTAGTTCAAGGAGGATAACGGAGTTTTGTTTCTTAGAAAGCTTGCATGCCATTTCTATTGAGTCAACGCCTAGCCTGAGAATACATGATACCGCCCAAACTCATAGGTCGAATTAAAAATCCCCTTTGGCGAAAACGATGAAGAATACCAAATAGATCCTTGCATATGTTTCCTTCATACTTGCAGTCGTTTTGATGTAAGTGACTGTAGATTTCCGCCTAATCGAGAGGCTAGCTCAGGGGAAGAAAAGGAGAGACAAGAAAGTAATGTGTTTGAAGATTAGAAAAAAATCACATTGAATCCTTGGCGGCGATCAATGAATAAGAAGAAAAAGTAGAAGAAAAATGCCCCCAAGTTCCCATCGTCCATTCGTCACTTTGGTATGCCGGTACCAGCTCAGCATACAATACCACCGAATGGTGCGCAGTTTCTCAGATCCTTGACCAAGTCTTCCACGCTACTAAGGTGGCGACTCAGAAGTTGCTGTTTCTCTGCAGTAGTCAAAGTTGTGACCCCGTTGCTGTTGGCACGCTTGCGTCCGTTTTTAGCATCGACGTGGAATGCGCCAGAAAGCTTTGAAGGACTGCGATGGAACACAGACTCTCGCTGGTCAGCGCGGGGGGCGGAGGGTGTCTCGGGCATGAGGTAGAAGTAGAGGAATTCGACGAGCTTTAGCTTGACCTCGCGAGATGTTGATCGAGACTTGAAGAGAGATGTGACGGTCAAGAGGCCATCAAGCCCTTCAAAGGTGCGAGTGTTGTTCGGAGTGTCGATGAGAGCGACAACCAGAGTCAGGAGGGTGGCCGACTGAATCGCTGGGCAGTTGTATGGTTCGAGAAGATCTAATAAGAGCTAGCCGGAAGAGTAAGCTCAAGTATTCACTATGACGGTTGCTGGGAATTCCCTCTCACATTCATGTTCTGCTCTCGCGCAAACAACGACTTGCTAGGAGGATGCAGCAGGGTGACGCCTTGGATGAGGTCCAGCGCACTGAGAATCAGCAAGTCATTCTGGCCATCGCTACCCTTTGCCATGAGCCGATCCAGCGTGCCAACCAGACGCATGGCAACGTTCCATTCGAATCCCTCCTGTAGCTTGAAAAACTCTCGAAAGGCCGGGTCCTGGGTGAGCTGGGCAAGATCTTTGCGAGGAGCCGTGCCGGATGCATCTTCGTAGGCATCAGGCGTAGGCGAAGACGTGGACGTGGACCGTCCCCGGCCTGAAGACCCGTTGGACAGGCAAATCTGTGCCAGGAGACCCTCTACTTGGCGCAAGCCCTTGCGAATCTTGGGTCCATCATATGACGAGAGGTTGTCGAAAGCGAGTGACAAGAGGGCTTCCATTGTGGGTGAAATATTGAACAATGATTGATTACGCCAGGTAAATTCTGGTTGGTAGGGGGGTTCTGATCTCTTTCCCAGTAGCAAGAAGCAATAATGACAACAATCTAGAAAAATTTTGACGACGAATAAGAAAAAGAGCCCTTCTAGTTTGTTTTCTTTTTCCAAGTGGGCGGGGAGGTGGGCTGAGATTTGCTTCTTAAAAACAAAAGTAAATATCGAGTGGGCTAAAAGATAAAATTGCTTCTGGCAGACTAGGTGGCTGTGCGTGTCGCAAAAGAATGTTAATACAAGACGAGAACAAAGAAATAAAGCATTGACTGGATTTGGGTATCAAAAGCCGACTTGGCGACGAAAACAAAACATGGAAAAAAGAGAGTAAACTGAAGATCAGGGATGGAGGATGAGAAATGCGTTTCTGCGGTAGTGACAAAAAGGTTGACTGCCGGGAAGAAGCTCCCAGAGTGCCGGGTTTGGAATAAGGTGTTGCTGGTCGCCCATTTCCCCGGCAACCATGAAAGGGAGCCGCTGCGGCATGCTAAATTGTAGGCGGGGAGGGCAGACGTTTAGTGGCCACGGGCAGCTTGGTATAGCGCGCGGGCTCCACTGGGACATGCCCATGGCAGAGGCCCGTCATAGGCTGCTAGCGCTGCGCGGGACCGCCGAGAAAGCCTGATCAGACCCTGAAAGTGCTGGAGTGCTTGCAGCACGGTCGCTGCAAGCCATTTAACGATTGGACAGGATCCCTGAACCCGGCATGATTCGATGTCCGCCGTCTGATTCCACGGGACTGGAAATTGCACTGGCATTGGCGACTGGGGATGCTTGCTTCATACACCAATGATATGCCCAAGACGAGAATGACGATGATGCCATCTGCATAAGCCTGCCAAGCACCCTGCCCAGCTCCAGCGCCTCTTTTTCGTCCGAGGTAGGATTGCACCGCTATCGAGATATCCGCGGGCATCGTGTATTTATAAAATCCCAGGCGCCGCTGCTAACTCAAAGAAGCAGCCGACAATAGTGGGTGCCATGGATTTATAACCCACGCAGAGGCTCGCCCAACGACAGAGCAGCGATCTTGAGAGGTTGCATCAAGGCCAACGATCTCGCAGCAGCTGAAATCCATCCCCTACCCCTCGCTCTCCCGGTCGTGGTTCTCTTCCTTGTCTTATCCATGGTTTTCCGCGCCCATGACCAAGCGAGAGATTTCTTTTCGAGGCACCAGCGATCCTCCTCGTAAAAGGAGCATTCAGCCTGGGCAGATTGGGTCAGAGAAGACCTCGAAACGCTCGGAATGGATATGGTTCATCCATCCCCGCATTCCTTTTGGAGTGCTAGAATCGGCGTCTTGAGGTGAGCGTTCGCCGCAAGAGCCGCAGATGAAGTATAGTAACGCAGCATAATACCGCGCACATCAGCCCTTCAACCCCCGGCCGGTATCCTTACAGTACTCCCTTGGCGAGCGAAAGCCCCCAACTGCAGCACAAGAAGCCGGGCTATCATGCCGTTGGACGTAATCGTCACTCTTATCAATATTACGTGTCTACTCTCAGCTCGCCATCACCGCTATCACAGGCTTTAGTGCCCTCTGGAAGGCTCGGTAAACCTATCGCCAAGTCACGAGGCGCGGCCAACAAGCAGTCAGGCGATTGATCAAGGGCCAGGCATGCAGGCAGCCTTGCTCGTTGAGGCTAAACTCTGCAGGAAACAACGAATCGGGCATCCTGATCCGATAGAAGGCGTCGTCGATCTGAAAGGCAGCAGAGAAAATGTCCAGCTTTCTCCCGCGTATGCCCCTCAGCCAGTAGAAACCCCGCTGCTGTGCAGATACGATAGCCTTTTCCAAGAATCTAGGACTTTCTAAACACCGAAAGCGCTGTGCACAAAAGTATATTACACGGCATGTTGCGCTGCGTTTTTTTTGAGTGGTGGTGTCTCAAACCGCCCCGCGATATCCACCTTAACCTGCAGCGCCACTTTCACGTGTACTTGGAAGCATAGCTTCAGCCACACATTGACATTCCAAGATGCCATCCAACATCAACTTCTCTCCCAACGCCCTCCCTCCGATAACCTCCGGCACCGGTCTGTGCTCTCAAGCCCTACACCAGAATTTCACAATTACCAACCCTCTTGGCTCGTCCCTCTCGCCTCTCAAATCCCTCACTCCCAGCGACCTCAAACCCCTAATCGAAAGCGAGGCTGAGCAGCTAGGCAAGCAATCCGGATTCGGGAAGCCCTCGGGACATACTGGAAAGAGGTCTTTGCACTCTGAGTCGCCGCCGCAAAGGAGCAGCAAGAGGATAAATCGCGGCGTGCTCAGCATGCAGCACCAGAACAATCCGGGGCCGCCTCCCGACCCCTCGCGGTTCGCCAACGAGGACTTCGACTTCAGCAGCCGAGGAACATGGAATGACGACAAGGAGAGGATCGTAAGGGGTCCCTTTGACTATGTCGTCAGCCATCCGGGTAAAGATTTCCGTGCCCAGCTCATCTCCTCCTTCAACGCCTTCCTTGATGTGCCCACCGCGAGCCTCGCAATCATCACCAAGGTCGTGGGCATGCTTCACGAGTCCTCCCTCCTCGTTGACGACGTCCAAGATTCATCCGAGCTTCGCCGCGGCTTCCCCGTCGCCCACAACATCTTCGGCGTGGCCCAAACCATCAACTCAGCCAACTACGTATACTTTGCTGCCTTGCAGGAGCTCGTCAAGCTCGGCAACCAGAATGTCATTCCACTATTTGCCGAGGAGCTCATCAACCTACACCGCGGCCAAGGCATGGACCTATTCTGGAGAGATACTCTGACCTGCCCCACGGAAGATGACTACCTCGAGATGGTGGGGAATAAGACGGGTGGCCTGTTCCGCCTCGGCGTCAAGCTGATGCAGGCGGAATCGAGCACCAACGTCGACCTAGTGCCTCTCATCAACCTCGTCGGCCTCATCTTCCAGATCCGCGATGATTACATGAATCTTTCTTCAAGCGAGTACAGTCACAACAAGGGCATGTGTGAGGATCTGACGGAAGGCAAATTCTCTTTCCCCGTCATTCACAGCATCCGCGCCGATCCCGTAGATCTTCAGTTGATCAGCATACTGAAACAAAAGACTACGGATGAGCAGGTTAAACGCTATGCCGTCTCCTACATGGAGTCCAAGGGCAGTTTTGACTATACTCGTAAAGTGGTTGAGACTCTCATCGAGAGGGCGCGCAAGCTAGTCGAAGAACTAGACGGCGGGTCTGGAAAGGCCGCTGGCATCCACAAGATTTTGGATAAAATGGTCATATCGTCATGAAAAACCGAGATGACTTGATCATTTTATTTTTTAGATGAGTGACAGAGCCAAGGGAGGGCTAACGATATGAATGAATCCAGCAATAGCCACTCATACGCATCTGTACCAAAGCGAAACGAACTGACTTTTCTTACGACTTTTTGTTTATTTTAGTTGGCGTTGTGTTTTTTTCTTTCTCTATAGTATCAATCAGAAACTGCGCATGCAGTTAGCGGTAACATTAGACTGTGAGACAAGTCATCGCATATGCAGCAAATGCCTACATGTATACTGTTATAAGATGTCGCTTCTTGTCCATCTCGTGCAAATTGTATGGTATATGAGAGTGAAGATGCTGTTCTATCAATTGTCTTTGCCCCACAGGAAGGCAAAAGCTCAACTTTCAGACACATTAGTAGTCTCATGAACCCAGCATAGATTGTCTGAAAAGAGGGGTGGTTTCTAGTTAGCAGAGACAGTTGTTCTCTAATCCATTGTAGGCAATGATGGATATCATATGATGCCTTTTAGATCAAAAATCTGCTGCTATCAGAGCAGATAACCCTGCATGTGGCTTTAACGTGAGTCTCTACTAAATAATCATATGCATAATTGGCACGCTGGCAATAGCGCTGAAGAAGAAAAAGGCTATGTGGTTCCGGAGCTTCCGTGGATACTCATTGGCAAGCGGAACGTACTATTTTGCGCATATGAATACCCGGAAACTCTGAGCATGTTTTCAAGACTTTCATTTAGGTCAAGTCAAAAGAAAAGAAAAGAAAAGAAAAGAATATGCGCCAGCGAGATAATTGTGGAAAGGTCAACCATACAGCATCTGCGATATAGTCATTTAGTCTTTAGAATGTAGGTACATGTAAGTTTCATAATATACTCTCCTCTACCTTTAAGATGAATAGGGACGCGGCTCTTACAGTGCTTCGCTTATGGGGCCAACAGCCTACCTATGTCTTTTCAGGTATCAGATTGCTTATACCAGGTGGATTATTCACTTTCAGTCCTGTAAACTACTTAAGAAACACCTCTCTAATTATGCTGATGCTGATTCTCTCCATACCAACTCCTCTGTCCGCAACAAGTACATGGCCATAGGGCAGCGAGGCGAGTTTCTAACTCAGCGGGCTCGCTGCTTGTGCTTCATAGCGACTTTTTCTCCTTGTAGGATCTGGTTATGGACTGCAAAAGCGGGTACTTGAGTAATCGCGCAATCTGCTTGGCTTAAGCGCCCACCTCAATGCGCTCATCTGTCTCCGCATATACTAATCCAAAGTACGAGCTACACGTAGTATCATGAAGATATGAATTCGCTGTTTCGGTAGCGCTAGGGAAAACAAAACAAAAAGGAGCATTTTTGTCTCCATCTGGCGTCTCTCGTCTCCTCGTTTGTATCTCGCCCATCATTTGACCAACTCCACACTTTAACCCCTCCATCTAAATATCGTATTACAGAACACGACGATGAGACGTTTTACCCAGAGGCCGTTTTAGGTGAAATTCGCAGGCTGGGGTGTTTCATTCCCTTTTTGTGCGCCTTGCTCGGTTGATCATCATGTGCAGGTCATGCGGTTCGTCGCCATCGGCTGTCATTTGTCATGTACATACACATAGATATACTCGGGCACGGCGCATCCTGATTCGCCACGTCTTTACATTTGAAGCCACCGACACTGGAGGGCTTTGCTTATTTCCATCCAAACTTGTACATGGGCTCATGCTGTTACCAACGAAGTACATGCTGTCAGTTTTCACCGCTGCTCGTACCAGTGGCAATACCAAGGGTGGCAGTACATGCAGTCTGTAGCAACAGCACCAACACAGGGTTACCATCTTGCAACTCCAAGTATCTATATATGCGGAGTAATGCCTACTTTGTGTAGGTGAGGCCGTTGCTGTAGTTGTAGCTGCATGGATCAGCTCTAGGTGTTTGTTGATGCGCCGTGGCCCAATTAGGCAATGCCCTTTAGTCGCCAGGTCTCCGTTTTCCGTCTGTTTCCCGCTTCTCAATGCGCCAATGAGGTTGTTCTTGAGCCCGCAGAGTGCTGTCATGATTGGCTGCAGAGCGTCAGATCTTGCAGGCGCATAGAGTGCTGCAGGCTGCAGTGCCCCCGTTCCTAGTACGGAAGCTGTCAAGTTGTGATTCCCTTTGCCTTCACTCGTCATCTCCATTGTTGGGTATTGCTACTTGGGTGTTGGGTGCTTATGGGCCTCATTGGGTCGCCATCTACCGGTCTGCTGTTCTCTCCGTGTTGATGGAAAGGTGAGAGATCAGCATACGCCTAGACTGTTGGCTGATTGGACCTGTAGCCTCTTGACTGTCTTGTTTGGTGCTATTCGCTACAACGGACAGTGTGCAGGTTAGCTACCGTGACAACGATGTGTTGTGTAAACTTCAGACAGCGTGCGGAGAAACAGACATGGGAATGCCACGGCCACGATATTTTCAGATCACAAGGCTTGTCCGCTCCATATAAGCATCTGCACAGTTGTGTCATCGGCCCGCCACGTATCGTCGAGACGGAGCTGTAGCAACGGCCGACTCTAATCCACAGCGTCTCAAACCGTCGTCGTGCATGTCGTAGCTCTTTGCGGTGAGAGTCGACCTGCATCTTACCTGGACAGGCTCCATAAAATAATCCAGGGTGGACATGCCATTACTCGTAGCGGCAGCTATTGTTAGCGGTTCAATGTCACCGGCGCAATTTGCTCATGCATACTGTCGCCAGCTCGGCGGCTACATCTTTCATCGTTGCTTGAAGCAATTGCAAGCTACACAGAGCTGTTGCGTCGATGCTGGGCGTTCAATTGCAGGTATTGCGGCACGCAGCGAGCCAGCTGTCAAGCCTCTTCCTAGCGGCCGCTGGCTAGCGCTCTCGGCTTCCCCAGAATGGACGGCTGGTTTGGATCGCCCATCTCGGGTGTGTCCTGGAGTGTGTCCGTGTGGGTGTGGCGCCGCTACGCCACAAGTGAGATCATCGCGTCACATGCTAAGCTTAACCTCGACCTTTCGTGTTGGCATCGTCGCCATCACCAACAAGTTACAACGCATCACGGCAACGGCATGGGAGCGCGCTGAAAGCAGTAGTGCTGCCGGCTAGTAGCTCTTCATCTGCCATGGATGACTTCGCGGTAGAACTACTAGCAGCCCGGCGCGATGAATCGCCAGAGCGGCCGCCGGAGCCGAAGGCGCCTTCAGAACTGGATCCGTCAACGGCGTCACCCCATCGATCTGGTGGTTTGCGAAGCGGCCTTGCAGCCCTTCGAGAGAAGGCGAACATCCAAGATCGCTTGGTAGAAAAGTCTGTACTACCAAGATAGAATAGGGACTAGACAAGACAGAGTGCTGATGTTGGATGCGTAGATTACTTCAACAAGTCATCCCGGCCGAAGACGATCATGGACCCGATGTTTCGATATCGTCAGACGGCGCGGCATTCCCGCAACGGCCTGGCTTCAATCTCACCACAATGTCCAACAATTTTCGCCGCTTCAACGCCCGAATCGGAGTCGTGTTCAAGTTTCAGGCTCGAATGACCCGCATTATGTGCTGGCGCAAGCCGTCGCACACGCTATCTCTGCTCGCCACCTACACCTTTGTCTGTCTCGACCCATATCTCCTCTTCGTCTTACCCATTGTCGGGCTTCTCCTGGGCGCATTCATACCAGGATTCCTAGCGCGGCATCCCGCGCCCCCAAAGGGTACTCTATCTAGCGAACAGAGTATGGGATATTCGCCAAAGGGGCCTCCTCTAGCGCCGGCGGCGACGGTACGCCCTGCAAAGGAGCTGAGCAAGGACTTTTTCCGGAACATGGGCGATTTGCAGAACTGCATGGAGGATTTTACTCAGGGACACGATGCGGTGGTTTCGTTGCTGGTACCCATTAGCAATTTCAGCAACGAGGCGCTATCCTCGGCCGTGTTTCTCTTCCTCTTCGCCGCCGGCATCTCCATGACCATTGCAGCACACATCATTCCATGGAGATTTGTCTTTCTTATAGGCGGATGGGCCGCCATCTGCTCAGGACACCCTGCCGTTTCCCGCTTGCTGATGGAGACCCGCGAGGAGCACATCCAGCCAAGAGAGGAAAAAGCAAAGACCTGGATGGACGGCTGGATTGCTACTGATGTTATCCTCGATTCGGCGCCCGAAACCCGGGAGGTGGAAATCTTTGAACTACAAAAGACATCCGGCGCAGGTGAGTGGGAGGCCTGGCTCTTTTGTCCGTCGCCTTACGACCCTCTGTCTCAGCCTCGCATCGCTGGCGAGCGACCACGTGGCACGCGCTTCTTTGAGGACGTGATGCCACCAGACGGATGGGAGTGGAGCGAGAAGAAGTGGGCTTTGGATCTCTGGAGCAGGGACTGGGTCGAAGAGCGTATCATCACCGGAGTGGAAGTCGAGACGGAAGGAGAACGGTGGGTTTACGACATTTACAATGAGCGCGAGGAGCGCACAGGGGTGGCCGACCAGCCCGAGAAGGGAAGCTTTAAAGGCGTATCGATGCCGCATATGAGCTGGGAAGAGGGTGATGATGGGACGGGTAAGAAGGGGGAATGGAGACGGAGGCGATGGGTGAGGTTGGTCAAGAGAAAAGTGTCTGCGGCTGCGGCTGCATGATGCAGTAGTTGAATGGGAAAATGATGGCATTTTCGATGTCTTCTTCTTTTATTTTAAGCGTTGGGCCCAGGAGTAATATTTAATAATTGACGACAAATGTATTAACCACAGCCGCTATGAGGCCACTGATGAGATGAAGAAATTGGCATCAGTCTTATCTTGGTGTATAGCCGCAGTGCCTACCTAGTAGTGCTGCAAGAGGAAGTAAATTTGCACACACAGAGCACAGTATTAGCACTACCTAGAGCTACGAATGCTGAAAAGTAGGTAATTAAGAAAGGCAATTAGTATCCATTCAATGTTACATTACATCTGCTGTTTGACTTTTTACCGAAAATCATAAATTGGCAGGGGTCAGTTAATTATTGGACAAGGGAAATCGTGGCAAAACAGATCGTGAAATAAAACGGGACAGGACCTGAAATTGACAGAAACTCGTTTCATGCTCCTCATTTTATAAAATGGAGTTTGATGCGAAAGCATGTATGGTCGTATCTGGCATGGGCCTAGAGTAATTTGGTACCTCCCAGCACGTACCCGTAAAACAGCCAACTGCAATTTGGTATCAATTTTCCAGGTAGGCAAATGCGACTCTGGTTGTTTGTAGCCGCCGCCAAATCAAAGACACAGATGCAGAGAGGCAGTATTCTGGGGCTTCTGGACGAAGCAACGGCGCTGGAAGGGCCTGGCGAAAACAGCCGCCTCGCTGTACCGGTACTTGCGCTGCCCAGCTCCTCCTCTCGCCCTGCAGCCTTCCCTCCACACAAAGCGGCACGCGCTCCACCAAGCGAGGTACCGCGACCTCCCCACCCACCCTCTTCCCTGTGGTTGCCCGTCCAAGCTCCAGCCGCTAAGTGGCCACCGCGCCCCAGTGGACCAGGCTGGCCTTGGTAGCACTGCTAGTGCGGTGGCAGCGCGAGCGTTCCTTGGCCTACTGGCAGTAGGTGCTGCCACCGGTACGGCCACTGGCGCTGGTGCTGGTGCTGGTGCTGGTGCTGGTGCTGGCCCTGCCGACGGCCACTGAAAGCGTGCAACCCCCGATTCACGCAAAACAACGTCGTCGTCTAGCAAGCCGCCCCTTTCGTTTTTTTCCCTTCTCGCTTCACGCATCGCCGTCGGCAATCCAGACATCTTGGGAGAGGCTGCCAGCCGTCGGCGTCTCGCGAGCTTCGACACGATCCGCGCTTGCCTTGCCTTGCCTCGCAGCCACAGCCCCAACGCAGCACAGGCCCCGGGTCGGAATGAGGTAGCTATTCGATCGCTCTCAGCTCCCTGACCGGACTGAGGCTTGACGCTGCTCCCAGCGGAATCGACCCTCTTTGTGTGTACGCAGCGGCACACCCACATCGCCCGCTCCCATTCGCGACGCTGCTTACTCTATGACCTTAAAGCACAAGACGCCCGCTGGGCCCCGACCGGCAAACACGTCTTCTCGCCTGTAAGATCTCGACCTCCCACTAAGCGCCACAAAAAGAGAAGAAGGGGGGGGAATAAAGAAAAATAAAAATTGAAAAATAAAAATAAAAATAACAGAGACATTCTTGCACCCGGCTCGTCGCTTCTCTCCGCTGGGAGGAGAATGAAGAGAGGCCGGATAGAGCACAAAAGAAGAGCGCTGACCTGATGCCATGGCAACTACAGATCCTACAGCAGACCTGCAAGCCGTGTACCGACGGCTACCTCGAGGAGCAACAGCTCAATCTCGAATTCTCCAATGCTCAGCGCTGCATCTTCCAACAACCACTCGCATTTTTCCTACGGTCGAAATGGACAGGCAGGCCAGACAGAGCAAAAAATCACTTCTACCGGCTCTTACGATTTCCTGCCCTCTGTGAGCTTCGACGACTTCCATACCAGCATCGAATCCGCGGCATCTAGCGGCGAATTCAAGCCGAACAAATACCCTTCTCCAGCCGCGTCACGCAGTGACGTCGAATCTTCGTCAAGCATGGCCGACAGGAGATTGTCCGACAGGACGGCCGTCAACCCCAATGGCAGTGCCACGCGCGTGGGTGTTTCAGCCTCGTCCTCTCGGGCCACCAGATCGGGGTCCATCCTCCACCGGCCAAGCGCGTCGAGGCAGAACAGCGCCTCGTCAATCTCAACCACATCCGGCTCCATCGATGCCTCCACAGCAACTATCGGGGTGCGCGCTCGTCGCCAGAGCCAGTATCCGCCAGTCTCTGGCTCAGGTGCCGCTTCTAAACCCCCTCGAAAATCCATTGGCCCTGGCGTCGTTGCCGACGCGGAAACAGTCACGCGGAGCGCCTCAAAACGCCGCCCCAGCCTCTTCTCCGAAAAGACCAGCGACATGACGAGGACTTCCCTCGACATAGGCAGCGATACTACCCGCAGCTTTGCCAACACTACTAGGAGCGCCAAGGCCAAATCGGTGGTACAAGCTTCTCCAGTGGTCAGCCAAACAAACATTACTTCGCTCACTCCTGAGCACCACCGAAGTTCTTCCAAATCACCGCTTCCAGGCGGCGCAGGATTAACGCCATCCTCAGGCCGTCGGGCCTCCATCATGCCTACCGGCCATGCCTCCCATGCTACCGGACTGGGCGCTCGAACCATAAGCCCAACTGACACTAGAAGAATGAAGCGTATGTCCATGATGCCACCATCTACGAGTTCGAATCAAGTTTCAAATGCAAATGCACCGCCGCCCCCGCCGGTTTCGATGGAGACGCGAGCCGCCTCCAGGTCGCCATCAATGATTCCGAGGAAGGCATCGGCTACACCATCTTCGTCCAGAACAACGCCAGATATTAGCAGAAAATCATACAGCTCAGGTCTCTCCGTTGGTTCTACTGTTAGCTTCAACACCGTGAGGACATCAACTGGCTCTTTACAACCGCGCTTACCGCAGCCGGCTGCTGTTTCTCGACTACCAGCTCCTAAACATGCTACAAGCCACGGTTCCCTGCCATCGGGCGATGAAGAAGATGTCCCCCCTGTTCCTGCAATTCCCAAAGCATTCGAATCTCCAAAGGATACTCCCCCAGCCGAAACGTACTTTTTGGCTAAGAAGAAGGCTAGTGTTGGGACTCTCGATAGCATCAACATTAATCTCAACAGCAGCAACTCTACCACGAATGTTTCAGCGCCAACTCAAGTAGAAACCATCAAATTGCAACGCAAGCCGAGTGTCAAGACTGCGCAGCATACACCAGCGGCGCCCAAGAGCGACGATAAGAAGGGCGGGCCGAACAAGAAGAGTCTGGAACCCCTGCGGCTGCCGCCTTTGAATCTTCTCCCATTGAGCATACCCACCGCAGCGAAGGTGGCTGCGTTGCAGGAACATGGCAAAGATAATCGACCCATGAGCCCGCCGGCCTCGCGACAGCTTCCCAAGACGCCAACAACACCAATGACCGCGTCGAAAAGTTCGTTTTTCGCAAAATCGCGATATGATGACAACTTGGAACCACTGCCGCCCATACGAAGCAGTACCTCAGCTCATCGATCCCACCACCGCCGAACCCCAAGCATACCAGATGCGACAACATCTTCCACTGATTCTTCGCTGGTTTTCAAAGATTTAGACACCAAATCCAGCATCTCACCGTTCCTATCTTCGTCTCTTCCCAAAAACGAAACCACGAATGGATTCCTCAAGCGTTCAAAAACTGGTTCTGATCACACACGCGTCAATCGGACGCTTTTTGATGAAAAGGCGCCTCAGAAACCTGCTGGACCACGCCCACCAAACACAGACAAGCCTGTTCCCAAGTCTCCTCCGCCGGCTCCACCTATTGAGCAGCCTCAAACACCGTCTTCAATGAGTACGCTGAGGAGAAAGTTGAGTTTGTCTTGGAAGAAGGGCAACTCAAAGGGAGGCATTGTCCCACCCCAGGATGTCGTAGACAAGGCGCAAGGTCTGAAACAGGAGAGCATACCGACTCCTCGCATACCCGCATCTGCCACAATGAACTCTCTCCCGACCGCGAAGCAATATGGCCCTACTGTATCTGTTCCTCATGGGCTTGGCGATTCGAAGAGAAGAAAGAGCTCCGCCACTAGCTTGAACAATACTTACCTCTCCCATGATAGAACTAAGAGCGATCCCTGGAGCGGCAAGAAGGATGTCACTGCGGCCGATCCTACAACCATGCCACCAGCTCGCCATCCGTCTGTCATGGCTAAATTCATGAGACCAAAGACGTCTTCCAGCGGCATGCCCAGCGCGACTTCGTATACTGCCGAAATTGACAAGGACGATATTATTGCGGAGGAGGAAATGCGTAAACTGGGATCTCGACGCAAAGAAACGGAAATTGCGGCTAGAACCCTCGATGCTTTGAAAAGAAGAGCCTCGCCCAAAGAGCGGGTTGGTCCTCATGAGGCAATCCGCATTGCTATGCTCAACATTTATGAACGGGGCGAGATTATCGATTACAACGACGTGTATTTCTGCGGCACTCAGAATGCCAACAAGGTGGTGGGCGATCTGTCATCGGATGCCCCGAACTTTGGCTACGATGATGAGCGTGGAGACTATTCGATTGTGATTGGTGACCACCTTGCATATAGATATGAAGTCATTGATGTCCTCGGAAAGGGAAGCTTTGGTCAAGTTGTCCGGTGCATCGACCACAAACTTGGCGTTCTCGTCGCCGTCAAGATTATCAGGAACAAGAAGAGGTTCCATCAGCAAGCCCTTGTTGAGGTTAACATCCTGCAAAAGCTTCGCGAGTGGGTGAGTGTTTAAACACAATTAGGCGACAAGCCTCCAACGACCCAGTGTAGTATAAGTGAGCTAGCTAACTGACGTTTTTGTACAGGATCCTCACAACAGGCATAGCATGGTAAACTTTACCCAAAGCTTTTACTTCCGTGGCCATCTTTGTATATCTACGGAACTTTTGGACATGAATCTTTACGAATTTATCAAGGCCCATTCCTTTAGAGGATTCTCCTTGCGCATCATCAGGCGCTTCACCAAGCAGATCCTCAGCTCTCTGATTATACTGAAGCAGAAGAAGGTAATTCACTGCGATCTTAAACCAGAGAACATTCTGCTGCGCCATCCGCTCCACGCTGAAATCAAAGTCATTGACTTTGGCTCGAGCTGTTTTGAAAGCGAAAAGGTTTATACCTATATTCAATCTCGATTCTACCGGTCACCAGAAGTCATATTGGGCATGACCTATGGCCTACCTATTGACATGTGGAGTGTGGGATGTATTCTCGCTGAGCTGTACACTGGTGTTCCCATTTTCCCTGGTGAGAACGAGCAGGAACAGCTGGCATGCATTATGGAGGTCTTTGGCCCCCCTGAGAAGCACCTCATTGAAAAGAGCACAAGAAAGAAGCTCTTTTTCGATTCCATGGGCAAGCCCCGGTTAACAGTCTCCTCCAAAGGCCGCAGGCGACGCCCGTCATCCAAGACTTTACAACAGGTCCTGAAGTGTGATGACGAGGCGTTCCTGGATTTCGTTGCCCGATGTCTCAGATGGGACCCCGACCGCCGGTTGAAACCTGAGGATGCCATCAGGCATGAGTTCATCACCGGCATAAAGGTGTCCACCCCTACCCCTCGTTTACCGATGCGCGAAGCATCCCCCGTGAAACGCTACAACACGATATCAGTGTCTCGTCCTCTACCTGATCCGCCTGGTATTTCAAGCAAGGCAAGCGTGGGCGCCAGCCCTGGAAAACCCATTCCTGCCGCGGCACGCAGAGCTTCAGGGGCTACGGCCGCCACAACGGCAAGTCTAAACAGGCGAACGAGTGCTGGAGCCATGGCAGGGGGTATGACGGGCATGGCTACTTCATCAAGCTCGAGCAATCTGCCACGGGCTGCGGGCCGGATTATGAGTGGAACTCGGGATATCGCTGCCGCGGGCGCAACTGCAGCTATGAATCGACGACCTTAGGACCAATTTTTCGACTAACTCGAAAGAAAGTGTACGAACTATAACATATTGGGAGTTTAAGAGGGTCATTGGCATTTTATTTTGATGATCATCATGACTCATTGGTTATTCGCTGGCTTGATTTTGTTTTTAATTTTGCCTTTTTTACTTCTTTGCATTAGGGGCTAGACGAGATGATACACAAGTTTCTTCTGTTTCTTTGTCGGTCAACTAGAACGAGCCGCTGTTCCTATCTTGGTATTTTCCCCTGTGTGTGGATGGAAATGAAGGAGACGGAAGAAAGGGGGAAAAGACAAGGAGATGGGGGAAAGGCTTATACTGGGCTTTGATGCAGCTATCGAAATTCGTTGGTCGAGGGAGTGAGTGTATTACCGAAAGATATATCACACACACACCAGAAGAAGAAAAAAAGGAGGCTTTGTCTTGTCTTGTCTAGTCTAGCGTTTTTTTACGTGCTTACTTGCCAGGTTTTTCTTTTCCATGGCGTGCCGTGGTGTATGATGTTTCTTTTTCCTTGTCTTGTTTAAAGCCACCCATTTTTATTCTGCTATTACAACTTTATTCCCCCCCCCTTTATTTACACCCAGACACCCCCCTATTAATTTCTTTGTTATTATAAAAAGCCCTTTTTATACACTGATTGCAACGCAAAAAAGAACCCAGCTGAGAAAGAGGAAATGGGCGTAGATTAGGTTCATATATATATTTGGACTGGATAAATACCACACACCAGTTCCTTGTTATTAATGCGTGTTTTTTTCATTTTTTTTTTTTTTTTACTATTGTTGCATTTTACCCTTTTCTTCTTCTTTTCTCTTCTTTTGCCTACTTTGGCGTGTGATAACTCCCATCCTTGCTATAATCTACCCATCACTTTCCAATTTTGTTTTTTGTTTTGCAATGCCCCCCCGTTTACGGAGATACCTTCCGAATGCTACTTTACCTACCTTGCATGGGAGGATTCATGACAACAAGTATCCATTCTTTAGAAAGTGAGCAGTTCAGAAAAAAAGAAAGGTGTAGAGGTAAGAATAAAGTCAAAGAAACAGTTCTCTCTTTATGCCTGCGCTTTTGATACAGAACTTTAATTAAAGACATAAAAAAAAGAGCAAAGTGTTGGAGACAAAAACGAAAAAAACTCCAAGTTTTCAACCCCCCCGGTATCATCATGTGTCCCCTACAGGGAACTTTTGTCAACTGCCTACTTGTCTCGCTGGAAACAAAAAAAAAACAAATAATGATTAGTAAACTCAATCACGGAAAAAATGTAGATTACTATTCATTTTAGAATTCAACAGCCCAACAAATGGAAAGATCAATAGTAAAATGAGCTGAACAAGTGGTCATCTTGTGGTAATTTACGTCTCGGCCAATCAAAACATTTCCTCTCTTTAGCTAGGACGTATAATGAAACGCGACACTTTTCTAAGGGAAAAAAAATTCCCCATTTAGGCAATGAAAGGATAAAAGATCCGCAAACTGTCTTCTTTTCTTTGGTCTTCTCTTCTTTCCCTTTTTTCCAACCTTGCCATAGGTGCGACGTATGTCCGTATGACTCTTTCTCCTGATGATTACTTGGGATATTACATGCAGATGAAAGAAGAAGATGGGGCCAATCAGAAACGCGAAACGGGCTATGAATAGCCAAAGTTGCGGAAGAAGCCTAGAGCAAGCGGGAAAATGTGGGTGTCCATAGGGCTGATTTGGTGGAGTAGATGCGACGGGCCTAGAAGTTCATGGAAGCATGTTGAAACAAGGGGAGTACAGAAAAGAGGTCGTTGATCGTATGGAGAATGGGGACATGTGCAAACAAAATACTACGCAGAATAGTACGCTGACGAGGGATGATTACAGCGGTGGGGGTGATTGGAGGGTTTGTGCGTAATCGTTGTTGGCGAGTAGACATGCCGAACTGCAAGTTGAGGCGCGCTGTCTCTAACAAGCTGAAATGCAGCTAATACAAGTGCAATGATACATCTCGCCTACAGTATACAATACCATCTTGGGTATACTCCGTCTGAGGCCTCCACTGCATGCGGCAAGGGACCGCGGATGGCGCCTGCTTGTAAGACGAATTGTAGGTAGGGCTGATCTAGCTCAAGGAACGGCACGCGGCAAGCCAATTTTGGCGACAAAAAGGGGAAAGGATAGCAAGAGTCGACAAGTGCTGATCAAGTTATGGCCTGCTTTGGCGATAGTCAAGTGAGTCAGTCAAGATGGTGGAGATAGGCGAGCGCATGCATACAAGACAAGCAACCAATGTTTCAGAAGTCGACATATAAGGCGCACAGAAGATCAAAAGAGCCGAGGAGGAGGGGGGGTGTAGGACATCTATATCTGGTCAGATTAAGCGCCCGAGTTAATTGCAGCAAGGTGCTTGAACCCGCAAGCTAAGGAAGACCCAGAACCGTCATCTTGGGCTCGATTTCTGATGTGCAACCGCTACGGGAGATCAATGTTTCGGCTCATCTGCTGCGGAAGTTGAGCCGCCGTCAGTACTGTAAGAACAGCCAGCCATACCCTCCCCTAGAAAGGGGGGTCCCAACCCAGATTGGGGTTTATTTTTCAGAGCAGAATGAGCCTCATTCGTCCCCTAAAAAAACCATGGATCTGCTAGGGCATCGGCATGGAAACGGCAAGGGGGGTGTATCGAAGAAAAACCATGATGCGGGATAGCGGGTCAAGTGCTCGCTACAGCAGCAGGGGAGTTTGCCAGGGGTGGGAGCGTGCAGAGTGCAGCTTTACTGTACAAGTAGATGCAAGAACCAAAACAGCGAGAGCCTTGTAGCGATACCATACCATACCAGATATCGACAGCCGGTTGGAGTTGAGGTACTGTATCAAGAGTTCGATGGGCAGGGATCATCATCGGATTCGGATGCTGACAAACTGCGGCAGGAGCACAGCAGGCATGAGGTAATCGTTGCTTTACAAATGCCGTAGAGCGTAGTTGTTGCATACGTTGGTAATAATAGAGCCAGCATCCTACGCTGTAGATGGCGCGGCGAGGCGCGGGGGCCGACGGCTGCCTGATGAATCGAATATGGGGAAACAGTCGTTGGCATCTCGGAACCAGAGCTCCTGGACGGCCGGTGAGAGTGTCTTGTGTGCCTGATCTGCTGGCTCATGTGGCGATTGACGTGTCTGCCGACAAAGATTTGAGAAACAAGGTGGCATGGAATCCTTCGCAGAGCCGGACTCCACGAGTCATCCCCTCGTTTCCGCAGGCTTCGGAGCCCGCGATTTACCTCACGAACGATTGTGACGATCCCGCCGTTCTGTTTCGTCGCCGTTTAGATTTGGCGTGGCCGGCAACTCCGGGGCGGATACCGGATGCGGACATGGACGGTCGACGGGGGTTCGAAAGGCGGGCCAGTCCAGTCCAGCAAGCCACAGTGAGAGGCGCAGCGAAGATGGGGCGCGAGGCCGGACTGCCAGTCACCGCTGATGCGTGCTTGCTAATGATTGACTATCGCGTAGAGGCGTGTGCAGCAGTCTTGCGAGTTAATCAGCAGTGCCCAGAATGCCGTGGAAGAGGACAGCGCTTAGCTGCGCAAGGGCTACACGCGCAAAGGGCTGCTTGGCTGCGATAGCGTGGCAGGGGAACAGAGTATGAGCATGGAGATGACGACGCCGGTCCAAGTCACGCGCAGCACTTTGGGAGTAGGGCTGGTCGCCGGTCGATACACTTTGCAAGCGAGCAAGCAGGCCTCATGGAGCAGACAGGCCTCATGAGGTCATCTGGGCGACCGCTCGCAAGGTCAAGCAAGAAAAGAACAGAGCATGGTCGTATCGTGCTCGTCGTGACCGCAGTCTGGGACAGGTGATGCTCCCTTCGAGGCCTAGAGAGCGGTGGATATCTGTCCGCGCCCAGGCGAAGCTTTCCGATCGCAGCATCTGCAGTTGCATGCAGTTGCATATCGAGCACCGCAAGTTGTGAGAGGACCACGCCCCAGCCCGATCGGATTCGCCAGCCCATCGTCTGCTCTGTGCTCTGCTTGTCTAGGCAGCCCCCGTCGCTCCTCGGCATGCTAGAACCGGCCCCGGTTGCTGCTTCTCGCTGACGGTGGTTTTCTGACCAGACTACTGCTTCGCGAGAGACAATCTCGGAGTGTTCCTCGGCTGTTCAAGCCATCTCACTCATCAGCTCGTTCTCTTCTCCACCAATGAACGACTTGAAGCGCGCCTGTCGCTTAACTGCCTGCAATCCTCCCTGGCATGTTTCATAGACGTCCAAGCCATGGCTTCAATTATCCCGATCGACAAGTAGAAAATGTGGCGAGCTGACAAGCTATCGGTCCCCAGCCCCTCCGGGTTGGTCCCACTGTATAGACACCATCTCCCTCCCGAGACATGTTGCAGTAATTGGCAACTTAGTGTTGAGTTTGAAAAAAACACCTATAGAAACTGAATTCACAACCACCAGGCGCGGGGTATGAGCAACATGCCCTTCTAGTCATCCATCTCCTTGTCGCCGTTGCATTTCATTTTCTTAAAAATTGTATACACCAATGAATCCGTCGTACGTCCATCTGTTGTCAACCCCCGATGAAATGACTTGATGCCGAGCTTGGTAGCTCCAGATCCTGTTTGTTCTTCGTAGAATGCATCATACCGCGGACTGAAAACTATTTTTACTTTAACCTTGTGCTGCCTGCCTGCTAGCAGTATTTGGCCGTGCCGGCTTCCAGGGCGCTACGCCAAGCAGGCAGTGTCGGAAGCAGCATCTGATAAAGTCCGTGCAAGGAAAGGCGTCGAGAGGAGGCCCCCAGACCGGCACGGGTACGGAAAGATTAAGGTAGGAACCAAAATGGAAGATGAGACGGAAGGGAGGGTAGCGATACCAAGGCCTTGGGTTTGACCTAACAGGCGATCCAGTAGTGTGGTTCCTATATTTGGCATCAGCCTGCCAGGGGCCCCTGTCCATCTCCCAGAGCCAAAGTCGTCATCCGTTCGGCCGTTGCACGATCGCCCGTCAGCGGTGATACGACAGATCTCAAACTGCTGCTCAGTATGTGTGTATCGTGCATCTCTTTCTCTTTCTTTTTTTCCCGGTACGTAGTCGGTGATGTTTCTGTGTTCGAGTCGTGTAGGACTCTGCTCTTGGCGACTTCCAACCATACACGCCGTGCTACCATACAGTATGACATGGCACCGATTGCTCACACGCTTCACGTGCCGGTATGAGTCTTCCACTACCCTATCATTGCCTCTCGTGGCCCCCAAAAATGCATGTCTTAGACAAGGCAGTATAATCCGCATATGTGTGCGCTACTCTCGGCCAAAGTATCATACTGTAGTGGTGGTGGTGTCTGTAAGCTGCTCCACGCAGCCGCGGGGTGGTGGAGATGGCGGTGTAAATGAAGGTTGTGTTTCAGGCACCAGGCCCTTGGGACATGATGGTGTATACTTATTGGAGCAGAACTGAGCGGTCCTTTTTTTTTAACCAGTCGATGTGTGCAGGTAAGTTTACCCAATTAGGTCGCAATGCGATATGATACGTAGACTTTTAGCGATGGAGTTTGTTATGAGTGTGAGCCAAGCAACCTGGTTAGTTGGATGTCTGGGAACACGTGAGGTCAAGTGCCGGCTGCCTCCGCATTTCCTCACGGCGCACATGCCTTGTCCTTGGCCGTCTTTTCGGGGCGACTATGCTGGTTTGAATCTCTGAAGAGCGACCATGGGGAGGGAACGGAACAAGAGGGTCGGTGGTGGCCGGGTTGTGAGGCCGCCTCGTGGCTTATGGGGACAAGGACGGGATGGATCGCTTGGTCCCAAGTTCAAGTGTTGGTGGTTGCCGGTTAATATGTCGTCGACTCCATGTGCAAAGCAGCTGCAATGCACGGTTAAAATGCGCTCCAGACGGCTGAGGCAAGCGGCCGCCAGCAGGACCAGTGTCGAGTCCCGCAATGCGCGCAGTTCTCAATGCCGTCTGGTTCGTCTGCTCCGCGTAGCTGACCAACGTGCAGATTCCCGTATTGGACACAGCACCTGGCGTTTTTTTGCTTTACCTGTCCTTTTTGGTGTTCCGCAGCATCTTGCATGACATTGCCTGAATAGGCCGTAAGGCTGCAACTGCATCTGTGTTTCATCCCAATTGGGGTTCCTGCAGAGAAGATGAATGGAAGCTTCTCAAGCCGTATCACAGCATGGAACGTGAAACACGACATGCTCAGGATGCTGCAACCACGCAGTAGAATGAAATCTGTCCACCCAAAAAGTGGATGGGCGTGGATGGGTAAGCGCACAGGAATAGCGCCAGTCCACTGTACAGCGTCCAAAGCTCGAAACAAAGCCAGTATGCGACAGCCCATCGTACTGTACGTTGCTTCCACAGGCGCTCGGGTCACTCTCTCATCCTCCGGTATCCCTCTTCTAGATGTAAAAGGGTTTCAATGTTGTGTAACGTGAGCGACACTGCCATCGGATACTGCGACGCGATGAAATGACGATGCTGACGGGCCAGTGTGATAAGAGTGCATCATAACCACCTCATCCCGTGATGACGGCTAGCGAGGCATTACAGAATGATTCCCTTGCCGTGACCTGCAGGTAAAACGGGGGAGATGGGGGAAACAAGAGCAGCGCTGTTGAATCCACGATGTCCCTTGTGGCTCAGCACGCACTTGGAATTGAATGCATGCTGGCAGGCTGTTTCTGCTGCGTGTATCCACATTGCATCTGGCTCTTCTGGTTGGTCACATCGTACCTGCATAGATCAGTATAGGTAGTGGTGTACCCTGCACCGTCGCACCCGTTTGCATAGTGTTTGCAATGTGCAGAGTGGTGCATCCAGCACGTTAGCAGGTAGAAGGGCACATGCGCTCGATTCGACTCCTTTGCCAAGCAATAGCAACTAAATATTTTCTGTCAGCCAGCTTCAGCGAACGCTGAACACAGAATGCCACTCAGCTGCACTGCAGCAACATCGATTTTCACTAGGCGGGCAGGAGATCGTCGTGCGTACCTTGAATGCTCATCGAGATATTGCAACGGAAAGTATGACGTGCTGCCTCGAGCACTACCCGGCCCTTAGCGCTCTAGCACTATATCCGATTTTGCGTCATCTGACGCCCATATGGACATTTGCGAAGTGCGACGGCTTAGGATCGTAGCTAGTATTGGTAACGAGATATCCGGCCCCATCAGGCATCTCGAGCCAGCATCAAACCTTCCCCCTCGGTGCACGGGCTTATTGGGGCCGATATTTTCTTGTTTGTCGTTGTTGGCTCTTTTTTTGTTCTTTTGGTCGCTTTTCGCCTGATTCCCAATGGTAAACGAGCCTTGCTCGGAAAAGTCCTGCTCCGACTGCTGATGCTGACGGCGCCGACGACTGCGGACGCATTGCGGGGCCGCGATTCCATCTCAGGGCCGGATTAACGGGAAGGGCGCATGGAACACTTTAGACGGTGAGAGACGCCAGCGTTTGGCGAGAGAGACAAGTATCACGGCTCGCAGCACCGCGTGCTTTATTGGGGGCTTCGAAATGATGGTGTTGTGCAAAGTACTAGTGGTAAGCAGATGCAAGAATCGCGCAGGGAGAAGTGCGAACCTGCATCGGGCCGGTAGGCCGTTCGAGGTTCGCGGTGCAGCGCGCCTTCCCGGGGCCGCGACTGCAAGTGTGCGAAGCCGCACCTTCCATATCAATGCAAAGACACGACGGATACTATCGAGGTAGGGAGTGCAAAATAGCTACAGTGCGTCAACGCATCCAATTAGGTAGCTAACTGCTAAAGTAAATGGCCCATTATTGAGTCGATGTAATGGCTGTATCTGTCTCTGCTCTCATCCACCACTTTGCTGGATAGTATTTGATATAGGCCGATAACTACAGAATACACACTACCGGAATGTATGTACCAAGGCACTTTCCCAAACAGCAGCACAACAGTTACCAGGTTGAGATCAAAAGTCACATCTGTGCGAATACAGGCAGGTCCACGCAACTTGTTGCCCCTGCCATGGCCAGTAATCGAGGTTAGTAGAGGTGGCTCATACAAGTACGTACACACTGGCTTCTCTCTCATGACGCATAACCCATCCCAAAGGAAGCGGTTCCTTGGGAGCCAAGTTATCGAGTGCCATAACATTCCATCTGTGGCATGTGCCTGGTGCCGCGGAAAGCAGCAATCAGGAGGAATGGAAGCAATACGGCGAACTGCGAGCATTCTGTCCGCGCCGAGGTGCTCTGTGTCTGGCTTCCATCCCAACCTCACGGGTCGGGTGCTAAGCAGCCGCTAGTGGTGCTAGCTGCAGCGAATGAGCCCGCCTGGACAGGCCGTTGGTGGGTGGAAATGTGACATCAGAGGCCCAAAATGCTCCCTAGGCAGCCTTACCAGCGCTCCCGAGCCACCAATCCGAGCAGAACCCACCGGGCCGGCTGTCTCTGCGTCAATGCCAGAACGGCTGTTTCGCGCATACTGCTTTTGGACAATACCAGCGCAGGCCTATGCAATACAACATGTATGTTCATGTATGAACCACTGCCTATGGGTTTCCCAAAAAGTCTCATATTCCATTTTCTGTTCCAGGAGATGCTCAATTAATTCCATTGCGATATTTTATGAGCAGCCTCTCCCGCGTGTTTTCGCCTCGTGGCGTCACCGTCCTGGCGTCGACTGTTTTGCCCGGATGCAGCAAGAGCCATTGGATCTCGTTGCCGCAAGGCCTCACTCGACGTCTGGCTATCATGATGATGCTGATGATGCTGATGATGCGCGCCCTGGATCCGCAGGCTCGTGGCCCCTTGCAGTCTGCGCTGCACTGCACGCACTGCAATGCAGGCACTCCAAACTGCTAGCATTACCACTTCTGGTGGTGGTCGATTAGAGCCACGGAAGTGGTGGTCCCAGTAGCATCGCCGACGCCTCCAGATTGCTGAGGACGAGCTGACAAGCCGCACACCACTGCGTCCCCCTTCCCCCCCAGTTCAGCCTTGCTGCAGGTCAACTTCCAGGCCCCCAAAGGCTCTTTTGCTCTCCCACGCCCCTGGTCAAGGGCCAAGGACCCGGGTGACTCTTCCAGGCCCCGAAGAAGCCCTGCTCGCCGTCCTACTCGGCGACTAGCGCACCTCACACGAGTGCACCCGGTCTGGTATTTGTATTTGTGTATTTGTGTATTTTGTATTTTTGTATTTTTGTACCTGCGACTGTGCAGCATCTGGATCCCGTTGCAGGAAACCTGCTCGCCGAAGCGAACGGCTCCGAGAACCGCCACGCCCTATAGACGTCCTGTCTGCTCCGTATTCCGCGCGCCAACCCTGCAGCGGCCGCGCTGTTTGTGCTGCTTGGGCCTGCGCTCGTACGAGGCGAGTGCGAGTGCTTGTCGCTGCAGAAGCGTCACCTGTCAAGCAGCAACGGTCAGACTCGTCGCTTGGCCCTCTTCGGTCGGCAGGTTCGTTTTTCGGGGCGCCATGGTTCGTCCACGACTGGCTGATCCGCCACTGGCATCACTTTTGGTGCCTTGCGCCTTGCAGCTAGCTGCGCTGCACTCGATGTAATCCAGCGCTGGGGTCGAGTTATTCCAGTTACTGCCGCAGCGTATTAATCAGTATTCGAGCCCATTCCGCGCCACTACTCGTCGTCGTCCCCAAGCTTGCCGACGGTATTCGGGGGGTACAAGATACTTGACCTTATGATAATGCCTACTACCAACTGTACCACTGCCACGAGCATTCGTAACCAGCAGCACATTCATCAGACTCGCAACGCCGCTCGCTACTCACTACTCAGTGGCTGGCGGCGCGACTCAGTCTACTTGCGAGAACCCTGCCGTTCTGGTGCTGACCTGGGTCCTGTGTGCAGCGCCCACCTGCTTACCTTACCTTACCCTCATCTGCTTTAGTCAGAGTCGAGGTGCTGCGACTACAGTAATACCGCCAGTACATGTAATCTGCGTCTTCATCTGGTTTTTTTTCCGCCTTGCCTGGCGCTCCACCCGCGCAGCCAGCCCTCCCGCAATCCACATTTATACATGCACGCGGTCCAGAGACGAGGGTTTGGGACCATGGAGGGACCCTTGCTGCCCTTGCTCCCCAGAGCCATCCGATGGATTACATACTTGTACTGGCCTGCTTGTGCCTCTGGCGTTAGCTCAGTGCTAGCAATGGCTGGGGCGTGCAGCTATCACCACCTCACCAGCTGCCCGTGCGTCCCAGCCATGCCGGCCGCACGCCTCCCGCAGCGGCCCTGCTCTTCCAGGATCGCTTTTGAAGACGGCCAGGCCCCTGCTCTGCACGCCTCAGTCCTGCTCTCAGGCACTCCTCCATCCTGTATCCCGTACACCGATCACTCCAACCTTGACACCTTGACACCTTGCTCCGGCTCCCGCCTACGCTCTGCCCAGGCTGCGATGCACGAGCTATAAGGCTGCGATGCCTCGTCCCTCCAGTCCTGACCCTGCCACTACATCCTCAGTCACACTCCTACCTCATCATCGCCCCCCGGCAGTTTCCTTTAGAGATCGGTTTCCTATTCCCATTCCTATTCCTCTCGTCTCGTCTCGTCTAGTCTTGTCTTGCCTTGTCGGTCCCTTTCCTCTGTCCTGCTCCTTGTCCTGCCCCTTGTCCTAGCATTGCTCGTCTTATAAAGAGCTATAGCGCCAACCTCGAAACCAGCATCAGTCTTTTCGAGGCAATCAATCTACATCAATCAGCTCCCAACCAACACATCACAACACCGCACAGCACAACAGCTCTCAACCAACAGCAAGCAAGGGCAAACAACAGCCGTCAATCTTCATCTGCTTGCGTCCAACAACTGCTGTCGGCCCACGGTATCAGACCAGATTCTCTCCCCGCCGGCGTATCTTCGCCTTTTTCAGCTTGTTGTATCTTCGGATGCAACCTTGTCCAGTTTGTCGACCAACGCCATATACTCTTGTTCCGACACCAATATAAGCCACCATGTGCTATCAGCTTGTTGAACTCTACTCGGCTTGCCGCTGCCTCTACTACCAGCACGCCATTGACCGCTGCGCGGCATACGGAAGGCCAGGCCACAACATTGAGCAGCGCACAATCTACGTCGGTTATGCCTGCAGCGCGCATACCGGCCACAGCGCTCAGTACGCACATGAATCTACATATTCGGATTCTGGCTACGGTAGCGGCGGCCGCTCCAGCCGCAAGAGCTACCGATGATGGGTGTTGTCTTCGGTAGCGGGCCCTCAGATATTGCGCTTCCCGCGGCTTCTTCGCTTCGAGCTCGACGACTGGATCTCGTTTCTCTACTCTGCCAATCCGTCGTCGATTGTCCTTATGCTCGTCCGCCACCGCCGCCAAGGCGCAACGTCTCATCGTGCTCCCACATGAACTTGATCTTGACAGAGATCTTGACACCTCTCTTCCTCGCTCGACCTCCTCCAACCTCCTTCACGACGTTACTGAAGACACGGAAATGAGACATTGACGAATTGACTCTCCCTTCGGAGCATGTTCCGAACGATTTAATGATGCGCCACAAGCGACGACTCCATCTCCTTCACACGACCTCATACCTTGGTTTAGGCATTAGCGATTGATGTGGAATGAAGCGCCCAGTACCTATATCACTTTCTCATATACGACATTTCGAGCACTTTGGTTTTCATTCGATCGCGAAACTTGTCCGTTTCTGTTACAATCATCTATCTGCCTTTTTTTTTTTTTTACATTGCATAGCATATGGGATTGGAATTGGGACTTTTTCTTTTGTCATCTTTTGATTTTTGAGTACGATAAATGAGGGACACGGCCGTTTCTGGGAACGCAATGACTTTCTCTCTTGAGCCTTCCTTTTTCACCTTGTCTCTTTTTTCTTGAGACGGGCCTTGTCGGATCGCCGCGAGGCGACTCTGGAAGAGTTCCGTCCACTTTTCTTGGGCCCTTTCGGCCAACTGGATTGGCCACGGGATACATGGGATACACGGCATGGCATGGCATAGACTACCTCATCTCATTCACTTTGATTTGCACCTTTATCTTCCCCCTTTTTGCCCTTTTCCTTTGGTTATTGTTTTTCTTGTTTCGGGACTCTGGATATTTTGGACCATTTACATTGGGGCTTGGGAACTTCTTTTTCTGTTCGTCAAAGGACCACGTCATGCGCCTGGTGCTGCATACGTTGATACTTGGTAATGTCTTATTTGGGCGTGCTTCGCTTGTTGGGTGTGCACCGCAGGGAATGGATCTACTCTCTGCTCAAATAGCCATGTTTCACTTTTTTTTTCTTTCTTTCTTTTTTCTGTGCTTTTAGTTGTTTCTCAGTTTGTTTTGCTTTCTTTCGCTTTTGTTTGCTTTACAGCTGTACTACCAGTCCTCTCAGTTGTTGTTTAGTTATCAGGTACGTGTACCTACTAGATGAGATGCGCAGCGCGCAATGTCTCAGTGACATCGGGTGGCTGGCACCACCATTTCTTTCATAGCTAAGGCGAGCATCAGGATGCTTGCGAACCAAATAGAATAAACATTCTATATAACTACATTCCCCCTGTTTCAACATCTTTTGTAATGTGATTGAGTTTTCTGTCTCTTGGTTTTTTCTCTCCAACCGATAGTATCTACTAGTACTGTGGATGGCTTTCCGTGGGGAACCAAAAATTAACGGGGTAATGGTAGACCGAGAAAAAAACTAAAACGGCACCCGCTTTAACAACTGCCGATATTCTAGATTACAGGAACGGCAGCAACTCCGTCACTACGGCTTCAATGAAATGTGCCAAGTTGGCTAAACTGCCCCGCTGCAATATAACTTTTTTTCGTACTCTACTTTGGCGTATCTTTGCCTCGATATACCTTATACACAAAGATCAAGATGAGGCATGTTGATATTTTCCAAAATTCTTAATTTTGAGTGTCTAAAAAAAAAAATTCATCAGTCGCGGCAACTACTAATCCCGCGATTACCGTCTACTAAGGTTCTTAGTAGTACAGAATATTGAGTGTTACCAAGTCGGGCTACTATACTTTGGTACTTGCCTAGTATTTTCGAGAGGGGCAACATATAGCTTCAGGATGAGTCGTGAAAATAAGCAAAGGGCCGATATGTGGTTTCCATTTTTTCGGAGTTGGAGAGGAAGATAATAATGGGGCGCAGTGGTTTGGGGTCGGAACCAACCTTGTTTTACTTGAGCACTCTGTATGATCTCTCTCTCTCTCTCACTTTAATCTCGGTGTAGGTCCCAAGGGACAGCATATTACCAAAAAGAAACTGAGACTAAAGAGCGGAAACCTTTATGCTGTGCTATTTTTAGAACATCTTGTTTGCGTCTGTCTCAGTACAGACAGGATTCTTGCCAAATCGGGCCAGGTGTGGCGCGTGGGTTGGCTGGGGCTTTTTTAGCAGGCGGCTGCGCGCTTGAAGGGCAGGGAAGTGGAAGTGGAAGGGGAATATTTTTTGTTTTAGACTGAGAATTGGTTTGCCGCTAAAACATGAGGCATGAAAGAGCTTATTGCTGGGGCAAGGTCGGTTGCTTATTATAGAAAATGTCTGACAGCATTTTGGCCCTATTTCCTCTTTTTGTTTCGCGCCTATTGTTTGTTTCGCTTTGTTTCGAGGGCAATGGTTAAGCGATGTCACCTTGGCCAGAGAGCCGAGATGGATGTAGACTAAGCCGATGAAGTAGAAAACATATGCATCATCTTCTGTCTTACAAGTATGTTGTGTGCAATTCTCAGCACGGAATGTCAAGCGGCGGGATCCTCTCCCATGCTGCTGTTCGCCGGCTTGCGCCTTGATTGGTTCCAGGGCGCTGGGATAGGGAGGGTAGGCGTGAGATTCGGCCTGTAGGCGCATGGGAGATGCATACAGGCAGATGCATCAATGCCATATCCGGCTTCCACGAGTGCATCCAGGTCGCCGAACGGGACACCGCTGCCGGGGCTTTGCAGTCGTACGAACGGCCCCCTAGGGCAGATTTGCAAGCGCGTCTGGGCTAGGCGCACATTGACGCGGGCGATCGGATGGGGCGCAAGATGACGATGATTCGCGTGCTGTATCCGTATACCATACCATAGGTACTGCATCATACCATTGATACCAGACCATTTGATGTATGCAACCTTGCTAGTCGTCAGATGCGCCGTATGCGCGGCCGCGCTTGTTTTGCAATGCTAGCCTGGTCCTAATTTTATCTGGCGGTGGATCGCGCTTGTCGTCCAGTGTTTCCCCAGCCGAAACAGCAATCGGCATCACATCGACATCAGTTCAGCGCTGAGAACGCTGGGCGTGGGCTGAGCCGAGCACGGGGGTACGCGCAGGCGGCCTTGGGAACTGGACGGGGAACCCCTGCAGCGCCGCCCAGCGTCTTTTTTCCCGGCGCTGGGCTTCCCCTACCAACAGCAGGTACTAAGACAGACGTGTCACATCTAATGCCTGCACCGGCTCCGTACTGGTACATGCTCGCAGCAGGGCTCCCTGCCACTTGAGGCTCTGTGCAGCAAATAGGGCATAGGCCGGCTGCCAGACCAGATGCCAATACGGCCATGGTGGTATTGTCGAAATTTCCGCATCTTGGGTTTCGCATTTGACTCTTAGCCTTTTTTTCTCTTTGGCTTGGCTCTGCCGCTGGGAGAATCCATTCGGCATGCCGTAAACGGATAGTCAAAGTCCTGCCTCTGATTAGGGCCCAGTGCTACAGTAAGTATGTAGTCATCCGTCTGGCTGACTGTCACGGCCGAGTTGCAGCCTGCTGCTCCAGGCAGAAATCACGGTATTGTCTAGATACAGTATATGAGTGGCGTAGGACTGGCGTACACCGCGCAGCTGTCATAGCGAGTCATGCCTCGGGAGGATTCTTTCTGGACTTTTTCTTTTCGCCCAGCACTGGCTCGATTCACGTGTCCTACAGGCCGAAGTGACAGCATTCGGCAGCATGTACGGGAGGACTCTGGCCTGGCGTGTGGCTGCATGTAAGGAGGGGGTTGCATCGGCCCAAGCGGCTCGATTCGGACGCAAGAGTGGCAGGTAATTTAGGACATGCGTTCTGGTGCCTGGCAGCGTTCTGTGAGAGGGTGTCAGCGGCGATCGACATTGGCTGGATGGAAGATTGTGCTTCGGCCGACGAACTGTCTTCAGTTCTTTTTCTATCCGCCGAGCCGAGCCGCCCCAGAGCCACGCTCCTCCTTCTCGTGTCCCTCTCGTGTCAGTTGTTGAACACGTCAGACTGGCACAACTGAAAATATCACTTTGGTGGTTGTGCGGCCCGACTGAAGAGGGCGTCTCCAAAATGTTGTCGGGTTGTGCTTCATCAGACGGGAGGAGCACGCGGAGGAGGTGGAGGGGTGTGCTTTTGGCTGGAGAGGCTTCAGCTGAGTAGTCTTGTGTAGCATGAGGCTTTGGCTGCATGTACGCCCGAAAGCCTCCTTACCACACGGCTAATAGCCATAAGGCTGAATGGCTGGCTGGTGTGTGCGACCGTATAGTCGTGTAGCGAAACATGCTATACGTAGGTACGGGGCGCCTCAGCATGCTTGATACTTGCAATAGAATGGGGTAGCAGCTGCAGAAAGGATTGAAACCGTTGCATGGGTGGGTTGTTGCAGTTGCGAGAAAGGCGGCTGATAAGGAGAGACTGTTACGACAACTGCTGGGGGCCACGCCTTTCGAGGATACGTAGGTAGGGAGACGACGAGTGGACGGATTTAGACCAGCTTCGAGCACTTGTACCAATTGCCTAGCAACACCTGGGTAAATACTGTGGTAGCTGCTACTTTTCATGTCAAGTACCTGCTCGAGCCGTGAATACTACTAGTATGCATGCAACATGCATGCCCATCGGACCTACAAGGTATCTGTTGCATCTGCTCCGCATCCCCCAGCTGGCTGTATTGCGGTGAGAGATGTAGTCTGCGTCTACCTGGTCTTTGAAGGAGCAAGTGCTAAGCTGTGTGGCAGAGCATCATTTAGCCAAGTTGTGGTCCTTGTAATCTCCCAACTCCTCATTGGCCGGGCGTCAACTATGTAATCTTGTCTTGGCCTTGCCCCTGCCTGGAAGGCATAGATAGACACTAAGCCACCATTTATCATCTACTGACCTATCTAGTAGTTGACTCTTGGGTTCTTGGTTGTCGTAAGAGGGGAGACGGAGCAAACTCGTGATGCCAGACTTTGTTCTCTCTATAGATCGCGTCACTTTGTGCGCCGTCTCTGGGTGCCAGCTCCAAGTATCAAACGGGATAGGCTTATGTTTGCCTAAAGGGGACATATTATGAATCCTTTGCTGTTACTAGTCAGGCAGCTCAACTACCTAAGCAACTTTCCCAGCTCTTCTGCCGCAGCTTGTCATGAAGACCCGCCGCCGTTGCAGGGCAGATGTTTGCCACTGCTACGCTGCCGTCCCGGCTCTGAGGTCGCCCCTTTTGCCCCCTACCGTCCCTGCATTTTGAAAGGCCATAGTTGGTTCCGCCCCCAAGCAAAAAGTGACGGAGATACCACGCACAGCGGGGGATACATCACAAGGTACATGTACATGTACCCAGGCAGTTGAGATTCACGCGGAAGGCGCATCCCCAACGTCTCGGCTCGGCCTCGTTTCGCATGTCAACAGACGCAGATAAGGATAAGCTGCATTTGGCTGCCAGATTGCCACTCGCCCGGCTCGACACTCTCCTCACATCATTGCGTCCATCTCCGACCTCTTCCGCATCTTTTCCTCGTACTACATCCCTATTCTCTTCGTCCTGTGCACATTTCATATGTATTTTTAGAACAGAATCGTTACTCAAGCAGAGGCTGCATGGTTTCGGGGCTTCGTCTGCACGCTGGTGCCGAAAGGCCATCAGTCTTCTTCTTCCCTGCCGCGCCATCCAGTACCGTTTAGCCACGATATCGCCGCTTACTTCTGAATAAACACTTCGACGAATAGCAGATCCACCAGATCCGAGCGAACTTTTGAAATCTGTTGCCCCCGGTCCAAGCCCCCTTTCTTCGCTCGACACTCCTGCGCCTGCTCAACACACGCCCTCTTTGCCCAGCCTGTATACGAGCATCTATACCATCTACCTACTCACAAACAAGGGTGGGAGTCGACTAGGTGGAGATGCTCTTGACATTTTCCCACTACGCCCAGGTCCAGCAGCCCCAATATCAAGTCGACATGGAGGCTGGCGACTTCGATCACACGCCCGCCCCCAGCGCCCGCGCTTCCCTTACCATGTTGAGGCCCGAAGAAAGCCACGAGACGGCTGATATATTCGAAGTACCCGCTACCAGGAGTGCTGCATTTAGACACCACCTGTTGAAAACTTCAGCCAGCGGCCCGAACCTTGTCGACAGAGACTTGCCCGCGCCACCGGTGGTCAGTCGATCTCCCCCTATCAAGACGCCCTCCCTACCGTCCAAGCCAGAGCTCGAAAATCGAGGCGTCGTCCCAAGCAGACCTGCGTCCGCGCTTCCCCGGCTAAGTTCCCCTGCCATTCGACAAGACAAGATACTTCCTTCGTTCCAAATACGGCCCAACGACCGAGAGCGTGTTAATGCTGCTTTCCTGCACAACTACGATACACATGCCGACACACACCATCCTGGACTGCTGGAGGGTGCCGATTTCTGTGATTATGGAATCCAATCCACAGGATATCGAAGCTTGGTTTCTTCGACACAGTCGTCATCTCCAGTATCCGATGTTTCCATGATAAGCGGTGAGATGCATCGGGTGCTATCCAGTGGTGATATTTCCGTCACCGAAGTGGCAGTGCCTATCCACCGTCACAAAAGTCACAGCATAGCAGTCAAAGTTCGCCCTGCATTCTCCTACTATCCTTCACATCATCCAGTAACTCTCGGAGGACTAAACTATCACCGCTCTGCCAACAAAGTCCAGACGTTTGACTCAGAGGATGACCCCGAGCTTACAGTAGGACCAAATACAAATGATGTTGAGAAAGATGTGAAAGAAACTCTGGGGCTTGTGTTTCCATCTTCCAAAATTCGACCTTTCTTGCCTGAACTACACCCAGAAGATGACCATCAATACCACAGCCGTGAGTTCAAAGCCAGGCCGTGGGCTGAAACAGATGGCGACGAAACCTCGCATCATCATCAGTTTTCTTCAACAAACATTGGCTCAGAGCACCTTGCAGTTAGAAGTAATGATCAACTCCCCGGCCGTAAAAACCAAGACGGAATCTTGCCAAAGAGGATTATGGGAGAGTTTGAGTCGGCACTTTCATACAGCCATCACGGCCCACAGATAGAGAATGAGGCCGAGATCCGAGATATTGGAGCCCAAAGCCCTTATGAAGACAGAAAATATACTCCTTCTGAGCATCTCATCTACTCTCCAATTCCCGTTTCAAAGATCCGTCCCATTTTCACAGTTCCACCTTCGTCAAGTGGGCACGAAAGCCATTCTTCAGCATCCAAAATTGGGCCTGTTCAACAAGTCCCCTACGCCACGGGCACTGAAGATAAGCCCCAACTCCAGGTGGGATTGGGTCAGTCTCTTCACTCATAGGAGGGAAATTTGCAGAGACAAGTGTCCGATGGCTCGTCCGCGCGAACGCAATCTCTTGGCTCAACGCTGGATTACAAGCGCACTGCTCAATGGCTACGTGAAATCCTCAAGTATCCCGAAACTTATACTTCCAAATTCACAGAGTTACCGCCAAAGACTCAAGCCAAAAGATCCTCGTCAGCAGAGCAACGAAGGCAGTCTGATACAGCGTTATCCAGCTTCCACCCCTCCCGCCGTATGACGGGCCTTTCGTCGCATTCTAGAAGATCTGAACCGAGGATCGATCCATTGATATTTCAACGCGCTGTCAATGACCTCGAGAAGCTTATGAATGAAGCTATCGCATTGGCTTCAGAAGTGGTGCAGGGTGCTGACAGTCCCTCTTGCCCTAAACCTCACCAGGCATCAATCACTCTCCATTCTCGCTGCCATAGTGTACCTGGTGGCCAGGATGGAGCTTCCCTAGATAATGGCACATCAGACTGTACTCATGAGAGCCCCGGTAGGCTCGAGGATGTGGACATCCACGACGACAGCCAGCAGAAGAGGCCTTTATACCAACATGCAGCCACATATACTGGCGCTCCCGAACGTCCGCGGCTAAATGAAATCTTGCAAAACTACTCCAATACATGTGACAATGCAGCTGTTACGAATTTCCCGGTTCAAGAAGCGGCACCGCCTCAGGCTGTAGCCGAAGCATCATTGGCTGTACCAGGAAGAAGATCCAGCATCAAAGGAGTGGGCTTTGCTTCACAAGGTTCTCGCAAAGCGTCAGACAGGACACAAAAACTCAATCGTAAAAGGCAGTACGATGATTTGGCAAAAGGAACAAAGGATGCTACCGTAAAAAGCCAATCTCGTCAAATCAAATCGAAACCAAAGGGTTCGCATGCACGGCATGCTTCACACGAGTCCGGGGAGGACGATCCTCCAGGGCGCGAGGCTGCCGGCCGTCGACCGCATGCTGATCACGGAATCAACCTTCGGCGCCGATCGCATGTCAGTTTACGGGGTGCTCAAGGATTCAGCTTGGCCAAATCAGCCAAACGGCAACCCACAGCCAGAGATTGGTCGCCAATTCGCAAGAGATTCGTTGCTACTGTTGCCTGTATCAGTACCGCTCTGATTGGCGTTATTCTGGGTGTTTATGCTGGATTAGTCCCTTCAATCCAGTACTATATCATCGATCAGTCTCATGCTACAGTACATGGAAACACTGGCTGTTTTCTGGGTTTGGCCTTACCAACCTTCTTTCTGTGGCCACTTCCACTGTTGCATGGACGGAAGCCATACATCATGACGAGTCTCGTCCTTGCCATGCCTCTTCTATTTCCTCAAGCACTTGCAGTCAACGCTCAGAGGCTGACCAACACAGGGATGTGGAGAGCTACACTTCTTGTATCTCGAGCATTAATGGGAGCCTCGCTTGGTTTTGCCAGCATGAATTTTCATTCAATACTGACAGATTTGTTCGGCGCATCGCTCATGAGCACAAATCCCCACCAAGAGGTAGTTGATCACTACGACGCAAGACGGCATGGCGGTGGCATGGGAGTTTGGCTGGGCATTTGGACTTGGTGCTGGATTGGTTCCCTTGGCGTTGGTTTCTTTGTTGGCGCTTGCGTAATTGACAAGTATCCGCCAACATGGGGCTTTTATATCAGCATCATCATGATTGCTGTTGTGCTCTTCCTCAATGTCCTATGTCCCGAAGTCCGCCGGTCTGCCTTCAGAAGATCGGTGGCAGAAGTAAGGACCAATGGTGACATTTCTCGTCGCGTGGCTCGGGGTGAGATCATGATGCACAGAGTCAAGACCGGCCCCAAATGGTGGGGGCAAGAGGTCTATCATGGCATTCTTCTCACTCTGGAGATGCTTCGCCAGCCTGGTTTCTTGATCCTCGCCCTCTACTCCGCATGGATCTACGCACAGGTGGTGCTGACCATTGTACTGCTGGGATCGCTGACGTCGAAATTTTATAAACTTCGATCTCCAAACGTAGGCCTACTTGTTGGCAGCGTTGCTCTTGGAGCCATCTTGGCCATTCCATTTCAGAAAGCCAGTTTCTTTTCGCGATCCCGTCAAGCCCAGCTAAACACCAACAAGGCAACCATGGACAAGAAAATTGCGTGGTCATCGCATCTCGTTCGACGCACAATTTTTACCATATTACTGCCTTTGACAGGAGTATGTTACGCTGCCGTATCTTCTGGACCTCCGATGCATGTCGGAGTGCCCACCGTCTTTGCATTCTGCATAGGACTCCTATCATGCCTGGCAATTGCAGAGTGCAATGGTTTAGTGATGGAGTGCTTCGACACTTCTGATCTTTCACCGGGAATGACGGGACGCCAACGCAGCAAATCAGGAAAGTCTGAGAAGCGCACCAATTACTCATCTTTCCCGAGAGTCACTGCTGGTTTTGCAGCTATCCATACTCTAGCATTCATCTTTGCAGCGGGTGCTACCGCCCTTGGTGGGTTGGTTACCAGAACCCTGGGTCAACAGGTAGCTACTGGCGTAGTAGCAGGCATTCTTTTCATTCTCACAATCATGCTATTGTTAATCTTGGCTCGATTCACAGAGGTGCAAATTATACCGAATACCAAAATAGAAGAAATGGATCGGTTGATTGAGGCTCGTCGAAGATCGACTATTCGACGTGCGTCTATGCCCAATGACAATAAAGCGGCTGTTGAAGAGGAGAAAGCATGGCGGCCTGCTATGCTCGGAAACCCTATTGGCAAAAAGAGAAGGGTGAATGTCTTTGAGCTCGGGAGCAAGTCACGATGGCAAGAGATCCGAAAGAAGAACAAGCTGGTTGATGAGAATGCCCATCTGAATCAGGCAGCCTGGAACCAAGGGCTGGAGGCTTTGGACGACAAGCTAAGCGATATCCAGAGCGACGTAGAAGACTTTTTCGGGCTGGGAAGTGTAAAGAAGAGGGGCTCAAGACGATTACGTCGATCAGACGAAACCAGTGAGTCAGCTCAGGATATTGAGATGGTAAACATGGGAAGGCAGGCATCGGGATCAAGGCCATCTCCAAAGCGCTTCGTGGAGCGAGAATGCGTCATGAGTCAAACGGTGGCAGAAGAAAACGAAGGTCAGGATGATCATCGAAGGAACCGCTGAAGCTCACCGGATATGTCACAATAAAGCTGTAGTGCGAGCAGTAAGGGAAGAAGAAGAGACAGGGAGCTTTTGAATACTTAATTACCTAGGCTAATCACTAATAATATTCTTAACATGCCGATTCTCCTTGACCTATACACGAAAGAACAAGATATGCTGCTACTAATGAAATGAGGACTCTCCCTGCGCTGTATTTATCTATTGTACATGAAGTTCTCTCCTGTAGGCCAGTTGCCACAAAGAGGGGGAAAAAAGAAAGGAAATATTAGCTATACATAACTGCTTGGTGTTCTTCAACCAGATGTCATAACAAAGCATAGCATGTGAGAGTAACTGGGGAGAATAAAAGACAGAAAAATTAGAGGGTAGCAAACAAACAAAGAAAGAAACCAATTTCATAAACCCAATGATGACCCCTCTTCTCTTCTCTTCTCCTTTTTATCCATTCTTCAAAGTCGTGTTCTTCCGCTTGACTTGATATGTGTACATGGTGCCGAAATGAATGTGATATATATATATATACGTGATAGGTAAGGAATTCGAGAAAATATAGCCAGTTTCTTCTTCCTCTATCGCGCAATCAAGTACAAGTCATCTCCGCGCCTCGTAGGCGTCAAACGCGGCTTCCACACGGGCGTTGCGGGCAACTCGGCGGGCTGCTGTGGCGGCGGAGGCATTTTCGGCGTGGATGGCTGCTGCTGCTGCTGCTGCTGGCCTTGCTGGCCTTGCTGGCTTTGCTGACCCTGGCGGAGCCATTTGTTTTGCGAGGATGAGGTTGTTATGGGCTGGGGGACAGGGAGGGCCATGTTGGCGGCGCGGGAGGTGCCGAGGCGTTTGGCGAGCAGGGAGGACGACTGGGAGTCGGTGCTGGAGGTGGTGCTTGTGCTGGTGAGGAGGGGGCCTTGGGGGATGTCGCTTGGGTAGTGGGAGGAGGCGGAGGGGGGAGGTTGTTGGAGGTAGAAATCGTGTTGCTGCTGTTGCTGCTGTTGCTGCTGTTGTGGCGGCATGCGTCCTAAAGATGGGGGCCGTTGGTATCTCTGTGCTCGCGGCTGCTGCTGTTGCTGAGGCTGAAGCTGAAGCTGCTGCTGTGGCCGCTGGCTAAATTGTTGCCTTTGTTGCGGTAGCTGCGAAATTGGCTGGGCAGAAGAGGGCTGCTGTGTAAAGGGAGGCTGGTGATCACGCGGGTGGTGGTGCGGGTATCTGTTTGGCTGAGGCGCATAGGGCATGTTGTAAGTCAAAGGGCCCTGGTTGAACTCTGGGAGGCGAGTCTGATACGGATAGCCAGAGGAATCGATATTAGGCCTGTAGGCAGATGGGTGAGGAGGGAGCCGGTATGGGATGTGGTAGTTGTTTGCGCCCGTCGGCCTTTGGTAAGCCGGTGCAGGATATTGCTGGTTTTGCTGCCGGGGGTATGGCCGAGAAGAGGCGTTTGGCTGTACGAACATGGACGGATTGGGCTGCTGGGATGCTTGACTGCGCGACCCCTGGTATCGTTCATCTGGTCGTGACGTTGAACTTTCCATTCTCATCATTGGCGAGCCGGTCCTGATGGCATTGGGAGTTCCCACGGCATCACTACCCATGGGCCTCTTCCCCTGTTGCTTTGTCTTGTCGTCATTCGAAGACATGGTGCCAGCGGCGAGCGGTGCTCCAAAACCTGGGCTTTTCTGCGCAGGGCGATCAGCTGTAGCAGCAGGTTTGGTGGGAGGCGCAGCTGCATTTCCGCCCTTGGAAGTGGCCATGTCAATGTTCAAGTTTCCTGAGGAGGGTATCGCGGCGTTGAGGCTGGCTGGGATCTTTGGATATTGCGTCGGCGATTGACCCCTTCGAGGTCGTAGAGACCGCGGAGACTCAACTACAGGAGAGAGGCTGCCCAGCTGCTCCATTCCGGGTGGTGATCTCAACTCAGCATCGTCTTCTGTGGAAGTTGAAAAAGTGGTCACGCCGCTATCGGTAGAAGTAATTCGGGGACGGGTCAGAGACCGTGTCGAAGACCGACGGTGGGATGACAAGCGGCGAGGGGCGTTGCTGCTGTTACCGTTGTTTGAGAAGAGAGGCCGCGGGGCATATGGTTGTTGGTCTTGTTCCTGCTCTTGAATATCTTCGTCTGAAGAAAGCGATGGTTCAACGGCTCGGATCGTTTTCTCCGGGGCCATTCTTATGCCCAGGCTGTCTTCCCTGGATTGTTCAGCAGCCTTGATTTTCGCGGCTGCTTTGGTTGCCTCTCGTCTACTTGCAGCTTTTACAAGCTCCAAAGCCTCAGCTGCTCCCGAGGCTAATCCTAGGCCGGCGACCAACTTGGGCGCTGCAGACCTAGGAGCGGCCGTCAATGGGCTTATGGAGGCCTCGAGCTCTGCAATCTCCTGAGCTCGTCTTGGGTCGCCAAGTTTCCAGTTACCATTCCTATCCGCAACGTAATAAGGGGCCGCCGAGAGAGGATCGGCCGAAGGTGGCCTCCAGATTTGGCCACCCGGTGAAAGCGACGTCCTACCATCCTCCTCAAACTCCGTAGTTGAACTATCATGCCTTGTGTTGGTGACGGGTATGGGCACAAAGGGTTTGAAGGCCCCTTTCTTTGGGATGATGAGCTTCAGTAAAGGCGATTGAGGCTTGCTCCGAGGAGATGCAATATTCGGAGGGGGTATCACGATTCGAGGGGGTGTAAGATTTCGAGTTTGGGTCAACTGCTTGGCCACCGTTGGCTCACGAGTCGCGGGCTGCACCATAGGCCGTGCTTTGGATAGAGGTGCAGGTTTGGGCGATGAGGACGTAGCCATGGCACCGCTCATGACAGCTCCTGAAGCGGCACCGGCTGCGGCCGTGCCCATGAATGCTGCGGCACCGAAGTGAGAGTCTCCGTCTCGACTAGGCAGCGATACTTCCAGCCTGGGTGGTCCTTGGCCCATGACTGGTTTAGCTGGAAGCAGTTTAGAAAGTGGCCTCGCCGATGTTGGCGTCGTTGCCCGAGTTACGTCTCTTGTGCGTGCAGGTGATATTGCCAGTCCAATGGCGCTAGGCCTCCAGCTCGCTCGGTTATACCAGGATTTTGTCGGAGTAGGCACGGGGCCAGGATCGAGAGGCGCTCGAAGTTGATTCACAATCCATGAGTCGGTACCTCCGCCGCCGTTGGGCTTTTCTGGGCCCCACGAATCTCTCAGTTTTCGTCCATCCTTTCTCATCTTTCTACCAAACTGAGATCTTCTCCTTCGAAGGCGGCAGAAGACTGCAATTCCAACGCCGATAAGTCCTGCGCCGATAATACAGCCGATAGCAATGCCAGCTACTTGTCCATTGCTGAGAGATGCCGAGGCCTTCTTTTCATCCTGTCCGCCAACTATGCCATCGGGAACATTGGTACTGGTACTGGTCTCGGTTGTGGCTGCGGTAGTCCTAGTGAATGCCAAGCCTGTTGGATCAGTTGTTAAAATCTCGACCTGAGACGACGTCGACGATCTAAACAAGGTAGTCGATGGCTTGGTTGTTCGTCTAATCGTGGTAGTAGCCGTAGGCTTGGCTGTGGATTCAGTCATAGACGGCCTGGGCTTAGATAACGAAGTCGTATCTGTAACTAGCGTTGTAGGAAGCGATACCGATGACCGAGTCTCTCTGGAAATTGCTGTCGGAATCGTCTGGTGGCTAGTCTTGGCAACTGCTGGGAACGTAATCGGCCCTGTGCCATAAAGCGGCATAGCAAGGGTAGCTGTGATGACGGTGTGAGTGGGCGACAGAGCACTAGGCTGACCAAAACACATAAAGTAGGCTTTATCAATCATCGCATCTTTTCCACTAGTCAGCTTTGCATTCACATAATCATCCCAGTCGTTGTTGGAACCTACTGCTTGCGACCTGATTCGAACAAGCTCCTGCTGCTCTCTCCGCGACCAGACACTGGACGGCCGCCTCTCCGATTGTGAATCCATATGCTCCAATGAGGGGGCAAAGCGCTGCCAACGTTCTCGCAGTTTGATCTCCATAGCTGATATTGAGGAATGAATCGAAACACTGAATTGCGCAACTGGGAACGAAAGAATCGAGGCCTCCCGGCGAATTTAGGGGCGCCGCTGTTACGGTGTAAATGAGTGCGATTATTAAGAGTAGCATATAAGAAGGGAGCCCCCTAGACATTCTATTAGGAAACATCTGCAGAGCAAAGAGTTAGCAATGAGAAATGAGAAACCTTTCGTCCATCCATATGCTCCTTTCCACCTTTTTTTTTTCTTTTTTTTTTTTTTTTCATTAAACCATTTTTTAAAGCCATGTGTTTGAAATATGATGATCCGTTTACATGAAGTCGATAGAACTTACCTAAAGAAAGATCCGATATTATAAGAGAGACGACCAGCATCTCAACATGACTCGACACGCTAAAAAGCAGAAAAGAGGGAAAAATAACGAAGGGTATGGTTCTCGCCCTACTGGAAACCGGTATGTCGTACAAAAAGGAAAGCAAAGAAATGAAACGAGCCGGAGTAACCGTCACGGAGACAAGAGTAAGAAGAAGAAAAATAGAAAACAAGATAAAACAAAAAAACGGAAAGGAAAATGCCAAACAGGAAAAAGAAAAAAAAAAAAAAAAAAAGGAAAAACAAGGAGATGGAAAGATGGAAAGAAAGTGGTCAAGGAGAGAGAGTTGGTAGAACGAAACGAAGAAAACGGAGGGAACCATTTGATTGAACTACCATCTACCAGAAACACGATACGCGCCCGTAGCAGCCCAAAAGCGTAATTCGCTGGCCAGCAACGTCTACGTCTTTTCCTCTCCTGCAGAAAAGACACGCTCCATGGCTTGTTTGGTTTGCCTGGCTTCGCTGCTCAGCTGCAGGGCAAATCAAACGCCCATCACAGCCGCCCGGCCCCATGTCTGTCTTTCTTATCCCCTGTTTTCTCTGCATATCAGGTACCATCCGTCAGCAGTGCAGCAACAAGGGCAAAACGGAGAAACAAATCTTCTTCTGCTTCACCCCAGATTTCTCTCTCCGTCTTGTCTTGCCCAGCTCATTCTGCATATTCCCGCCCCGGGCGCTTGACTGCATATCAGGTCCGTCTCGTCCAATAATGGCCATAAAGCAGGGGAGGGGCCGGTTTTCCAGTGGAGCTTCCCGCACTCCAAAGAAAGCTCCAGGGCGCCTAAACAGCAAGCGCGTAAAAACGGAAGAGAAAAATAGTGGTGCTGTAGAAGGTTCAATTCGCTGGGCGGCTGGAGGAAAAGGTCCCGCAAAGGTCACGTGCATTGGTCTCCGGCTTTGGGAGCGGCTTGGCCCGTAGGAACGTTGCCGCTGGTCCAATCGTTCACTGGCGGCGGCTCTACGAGTGAAGTCTCTTTGGTGTTTGGGATGTCAGTGGCCCACGGCGTCTTGACCAGACGAAAGACCCTTGTCGATGTGATCCAATAGCCTATCAGTATGTAGTATATAGACCTATGTACTTACAAAATGATTTTGATAGGCAAATGGTCCGTCACGTCACCGCGTTTATTTCTGGTGCCACTATGGGAGTACAGCGTGCATACAGGTACGATGATGACTGCATCATCAGCCTCTAGACCTGCGTCACTTGAGAAACTCAGGGCAGTCTTCAGCTGAAAGCCGCCCAGCAGAGCCGTAGATGTGGCCCAGTCTACGCTTGTTTTGTTTCTTCAAAACCCCGTAGCGACCTTCGGGCCGGCTGCCTATTCTAATAGTCCATCATTAAGTTGCCGCTGAATGACACGCAGCCGCCTCGATTATGTGATTCTGCAGATCAGGAGTGCATCGGGGCGCCTACTGAAATCCTCCTAATTTGAGATCATCTTTACCGCCTACTCAAGACTATTTGAAAAAAGACATCAGGTAAATATCGACAGCAAAGATAATACTGCTCAACCATCAGCAGTAGACTAAAATCTGTAGCACAAAATTAATAAATAAAAACAGAAAAGTATTCTCTTTAGATTCGATCTTTGGTTGGCATCTAATTCTCTACCAAATCAGCTCAATAAACCCTCGGCTACCTAGAGCCCCGTTCTTCCCTTCGTCACAAGAGAGCGCCAAACTGTCATTCCCGTGATGAGGCTTGCTCAGCCTCAAACGGGAGTACTTCGCTGCTCTTGTCCTCCAGGATAGAATCCGTTGCCCATCACACACCAGAAGAAACATTAACCATGCCCTCAAAGACGCCAACGCCAGGGAAACAACACCTCTTGTGTTAAAAAAGGAGGGAGGGGAAAAAAAACAGAAGAAGCCAGTAAGTCAGTCTGCGTAAGAATTACACAGCAAATATGCTCCTTCAACAAGGTAAAATGAAGCAAAGTGGCCGTATTCACAGAATCACTACATCACCAATTACGCCGGTCCGCGAAATGCCCATATACTGTGATGACTCGTAATTCAACAGCAGGCAGCTCACATTGCCATTTCAGCCTGAAGCTTCAAAAGCTCAGCCTCCTCGTCATCCTCCACGGCGACCTTCTTGCTAGATATAGCTTTTTGAATGTTAGCACCATTTGCGTTGCTCAAGTCCCAACGAGTATACTCACGTTCTGCATGTGATGGTGTGGGCATCTTGTGAACTGCATCTGCGAAGGGCACCTGGCCCGTGTTCAGCATTTGCTCGTCGAGATTCTCTTGCTGCATTTGTTCCAGCTCATCCTCCAGCTCGGCGTCGTCAAACTGCTCGCCGATCGGGTTTGCCGTAATCGCATTGACAATCTCATCGCTAAGCGCATTCTGTTCATTGATTTTATCCCTACGCTCTCGTCAGTTCATCGGTACCCAAGCAAATTTGGCGCCGCAGATTGGCTCAAGAGTCACACACATAATCTCATCCACTTTCTCCGGCGTCAGACCTTGGTGAATGGCCTTGATGGCATCTGAAGACTTCTCCATGACTGCCAGGGTCTCGCGGTTGATGTTGGCCGATTCGATCGAGTTAATCTGCGCCTCCAGCGTCGCAATCTGCGCGATCGTCTTGTCCAACGTCCCCTCTTGTGTCTTCTTGCGTCGCAAGGCAGCCTTGGCCACTAATGTTTTCATCTCGTCAATATTGCCGCGCCGCCACTTCCGAGAGGCATCCAACAATATCAGTTTTACATACCTGTCTTGTTCGTGTTGACGTTCTTCCTGGCGATCTGATCCTGCTCTTCAATCTGGTTCATGATGTGCTTCTCGCGCTTTTGCAGCATATCAAGCTGCGCGCGCAAGCCGAGAATGGCATTCTTGGCCGAATCCTTCTTCTTCTGAGCGGCAGCGCCGCCTCCAAACCAGCCCCACATGATGGATGATGTCGAGAAGACGGGAAGTACTGAGTCTGGGGAACAGGTGCTAAAGATGATGGAATTTCGAAATCGTCGATAAAGGTGATTCCCGAGCAGGTTGGTCGGTCGCAAAATGACGGTGTGATGCCGCGGCCGACGCAGCAGGCTTTGGTGGAGGGGTCAGCCTAAAGTCGTCGTCGTCGACGTTCGTTAGCCCGGGATGCGCAGAAGCGACTAGGCAGCCATGCAAGCACCAACGGTGCTGGCCGCACGGCACTTACCTGGTAGGAACTGTATGCACAGAGATGCGTCGTCAAGTCTCGTCGTCGGGATGCGCAGCCAGTCGCAGGCGGCTGATGTGATTGCACTCGTCCAAGGTCTAAGTTGTACGTGTTGCTGCTATGACGGCACCCGGCGACCTAACTGGTCCAACTGATGGGTTTAACCGAAGCTCTCCCGCGCGCCTGTTAGACTTTCTCCTTATCTGAGAGCCGAAATTCGGGCGTCGGTCGGCTGACCTGGCAATGCCCAGCTGAAAGGTAAACAAGAATATTATTACAGGGAGGGCTGAAACATGGCCGTCACGGGGGATACACCCGGCATGATGACAAGGCGCATGCTGTCTTGATCATGCTGTGTATTTAATATCTGTTCTAAATGTTCTACTATGTACGGATATGAATTTGGATATCATCACATGCTACAAGATTGAACAGCCTTCTGCTCGCACAGGTAACATAAAATACTTACCTAGGTAGGCTTCTTATCATAATGATAACATCTATCAATTAATGAGACAGGATAAAAAATACAAAGCCCATTTGGCCACGTGAATATGACACGCCTACTCTAAACTCCAAAAACACATTGAACTGTTCCAACCAGCCTTGCCATTACTCCCGCCATAGCACAAGCAACATCCTCCATTCCAGTAGCTCCAATATGCGCAACGCAAGTAGCCAGAATCTAGTATCGCAGTGGAAAAAGATCTAACTCGCTTATGGCCTTTCCAGGCTCAACCCAACATGCGCACGCCTTTCCCGGAGTAATCTCATCATTATTAAGAAAAACGCGAACCAGCAAACAGTCTCCGCCGACAGTATGCAAAACAGCGTGCCTCGTCACCAGCCGTAATAGTTGATGCGTCGGCGTTCATGTCGGTCGTATCTAAAAGGTAGTCCGGTCCGCCAGAAAGTTATAATATCATGAGTCTTCGTATAAAATATTGCTCCCCTTTGCCAATATAACAACCGAATTATTCGAACCAGTTCGCAAAATATGACACACGTGAAGCGGAATTCAATCCTTTTAGAGAACGGTTCATGTTGAGCTTAAGCATTGCCGCTCTTCTCTTCGGTGTCGATGTGCCAAACAACGTAGTTGGGAAGACCGTAGACTTCGTATCCGGCGCGCTTGGCCATTTTAGCAAATCCCTCTGTCTCGGCTTGGTTCTCAAAGGCATAGCAGGGGAAGTTGATGCCTAATTAGAAAAAGAAAAAGAAAAAGAAAGTATTAGTAGATGCCCGTTTCAAAGAGAGAATGGGGTCTAGCGGCATACCAGAGCGATGCACATCCGCTTTCACAAGAATATTGACGCCCCCGATGCCGTCGAGCTCAAGCTCCACATCCTTATTCTCACGCCAGTCGCCCATTCTTGCCATATAAGTTCTGCCAGTGTCGTATTGCTTGTAGCCTGTTGACCCAGTAAGCACTATCCATGCTAACGTCTAGTTTAGGCGGTATACCTTCAGCAAGGACAATGTCCTTATCGAGGCTATTCGCCAGCTTGCGGCCCTGGTCTGACTCGACCCAGGAGTTGTAGTCGACTATTTGTATGGTGTAAGTGACGACATTCTGCATATGTTTTGTAGTTTAAAAAGCCACTTACATCGACCCTCAATATCGACGCCATCGCGGTAACGGTGGAACCAAATGTCTTGGCATCGGAGATTAGCAAGTCTTTCATCTTTATAGTACCTTGACTGATTATTCCTTACTTGGAACCAAAATGTCCCTGTCATGGGCAATAAAGTCCTCGAGAATGCCAGTAGGGCTGTCCACAATGTCGACATCGCGCCAGTAAACCCAGGAGTGCTCAGCCTTTAGAGCGGTATAAAGCAGATAGTTTCTTGCCTTGCCCATGGCCTTTCGTCGGGGGCCTTGGGCCTCGAAAGAGTGCCTCTCCTCGACATTTTGGCTGAGCTTGAAACCAAAATCTTTTTCGACGACGGTTGCGCTGTGGAAAGGAATCTGGTCGGGTCGTTTCTGGATACGGTCGAGTTCGGACGCAAGAACGGCGAGGGTGTCGTCGGTAGAGTCTGAGACGAGAAACGCCAGATCGATCAAGCGATGGGGATATGTCAATTCTGCGAGGAGCTCAAAGTATTTGGACAGGTACGGGGCGGCGTCCTTGAGCGGCGTCAGGATGAGTATCCTCTCTTCTTTGCTAACGGCTTGTTTGGTCGACTCGATGGGGTTAAGGTCAACGTGTTCAATTGTACTAGAATTGACCTCTATCGGGGCGTGGTGGTTGAAGATGACGGGCGTCTGGAGGTGCCCGTTCCACCTATTGTGATCGTTTGGCGACATTTCCATGGGTGGTTGGGCCGGACCCCAGCAGTAGAAGCTATGCGGCGTCGATGATGATCAGTGACTGCGTATAGGTGGCCAGCAAACCAGCGCATAGCCACTTACCTCTGCATATCCGACGCCGAATGGGACAGGCCGCGCCATAGTAACAGAATAATTCCCGTAACGCCAACTAGCAGTATAAATCGTGTTCGCGTCACGGCGTTCCATAGCGCCCTGGTTGGAGGTATCTGCGCCTTTGCAGACTTCCAGTTCAATCCACCCTTGGGAAACAGCATGATGACGTCTCGAGGCGCGCCTCGGGTCGCAAAGGACGTTTAAACGGTTGCGACGTCGATCACAATGGGCACCCAGAACCGGGACTTTGGTGTTTGTCGCGCAACGATTCCAGCGTCCTCGGGTATGGCACAAGAGGGCTGGAGATGATAGGCGGGCTTAGGAGAGACGGGCCAAAAGGAAGAGAGGGTCTTTGAAAACGAGAGTGGAGGCGGCGACGCCTAGATTGGGCCAAGGGTCGCAGACGGACAGAGCCAGCGTTGTAATGAGAGGCTGCTGGAGATATGGCCAGCGAAGGAAGAGAAGGGGGAGCAAGTCGAGATAGGGCGCTCCGTATCTTAGCGTGCCTATCAGACAGATTGTTGCTGTCAAGTCCTCTTGAAAAAGTCTAACCGTTGGGCAGTGCAAGGCAATACGCTCTGGATACTTTCATATGCTTGCCGGGGCCGGCAGAAAAGTGGTTCCTATTAGGTAGTCCCTAGGCCGTTGCGTTTTATTAGCGACATCCGTCTCAAAACATTTGCTTGTGCCAATTGAGACGCGCTACTTCAAATCAGGAGGTCTAGAATGCACGATAGAGGCAATGCTACCCTATAAATTGCAGAATACGAGTCGCAACAGGCGCAGCAGCAATGGTGTGGAATAGTAATGTCTACAGGCGGCGGAGATTTGAGTATTAAACAAAAATATAAAGTCGGCAGAGCACCAACATGTGAGATGAATTGGATTGACAGGTCACAATGGAACCGATCGAAGAAAGAGTTTTTTTTTCCAATGCGCATGGGCGCTCCTGGGGCTGCGATCTAGAAGGAGCCTGGAAAAAAGATCAAGCCGCGGTGGCAACCTTCAACGCCGCAAACTCCATATAATCTTATAGCTAGGGACAAATCAGCAAATCGGATGCCGGCGACCGAATCTTGGACATGGAGAACAAACTAGGCAAGTTTATTCAAGATTATCTTGCCTAGTTTAGATGTTCTTACCCCAGTTTACGCAGCATTGGCTATCGCCCTCCCCCAGCGCTGACTTGGCTGGTCGCTGTAGCGGCCATTCGCTGGCTGGCCTTTATCTGGAGGGATGTCACTCTGTTTATTCCCACATGCAATTGTGGCGTTGCTATGCATGTTCGGTACCTGAGCCATGATGACAAACGGCTTTTCCATACCGCAAATCTTGTAACAGGTCGTAGGTGACACGAGTCTGGTTTAATTCTGAAGTCTGAATCTTCATAAGCCAGCTGGAAACAAACCTACAGTGTCTGCCCACTAGCCAATGCCAATTCTGCACCATCTACGCACACAGCAACGGACGAAATTGCTCAGCTACGCGAGATCTCTGGCCATTGCATACAGACCACTTACAACAACATCCAGGTCCAGCACATCCTCGCACGCAGCAATGGCAGCCACACGGCGTTCTGCGCGTATCAGCAGCAAGGCGAGCGCTCAAGAAGCAGCTGAGAATACAAAACCTGCTGCTGCTGCTCCACCTCCACCTCCAAAGGAGAACAAGAGGAAGAGAAAGGCAATTCCCAACCCCGAGCCAGCAGAGCCCAAGACACCCACCAAGAAGCAGCGACCAGTTGCTCCCCCCTTAACACCCACCACCAGCGCCGTAGGTCTCAATGGCGAAGACAAGGGCGCGGCTCCCAAGGCCGTCACTCGCCTCGCAGACCCCAGATTCTCCAATGCGACGCTGCTGTCGCCCCAGACGTCGCGGATAATTGCTTCGCGCAACGCGGAGCCCGAGTCGCCTTCAAAAGCGGCTTCTATCGGCGGTAAGACGACAACGACGACGACGGCTACATTGCTGCGCGAGGCGTGCGATCATTTGATCAAGGTGGATGAGCGTATGAGGCTTCTGATTGAGAAGCACCACTGCCATGTGTTCTCACCCGAGGGACTGGCTGAGAAGATTGACCCGTTTGAGAGCCTGGTGAGCTCCATCATATCGCAGCAGGTATCCGGCGCCGCAGCTCGGTCAATCAAAGCAAAATTCATCGCCCTCTTTTTCCCACAAGACGAGGCTTCTCAACCTACCAATTACGAGTCCGCCGTAGACAGATTCCCGGCGCCATCCGACGTTGCTGCATGCTCCATCGAGAAGCTGCGCACCGCCGGCCTGTCGCAGCGCAAGGCAGAATACGTACAGGGTCTTGCTGAGAAGTTTGCGAGCGGCGAGATTACGGCGCAAATGCTTCACGATGCGCCAGACGAGGAACTCATGGAGAAGCTCGTCGCTGTGCGTGGGCTGGGCAAGTGGACCGTCGAGATGTTTGCCTTTTTCGCCCTGAAGAGGATGAACGTCTTCTCCCTGGGCGATCTCGGCATTCAGAGGGGCATGGCTGCCTTTGTCGGTCGAGATGTGGCCAAGCTCAAGAACAAGGGAGGCAAGTGGAAGTATATGTCGGAGCAAGACATGGTGGAACTGTCAGACAAGTTCAGACCGTATCGGAGTTTGTTTATGTGGTACATGTGGAAGGTGGAGGAGGTTGATGTCAGCACAATGGGGTAAATGTTGAATGTTTATGCCGCACTTGTGTGCAGCTTGTATTATAGAATGTTGCAGGAGGAAGCTCTCTACAGTTTCGAGGTTCGTGTTTGACGTCAGTTGCTGCGACCCTGCTTTCAAATGTGCGAAAGGAGATATGTTGTCGTCTTATAGTTATACACATATATGCATGCAGCTCGAGCATGGAATCAGCTAATCTTCGCAATCTATCGCCATCGGATTGGCCTGCCAGGGGATGGTTTCCTAATTTTAGGTTTACGATAGGATTTTGAATCATGCAAATTTCTCGCGTTTGAATCTTTTGCATATGTCAGGTGGGTTGTGTAAGACGTCGTTCCAGGCCTAGAAGCAAGCTTGTTTGCACGGCTCGGCGCGGATGACACGTGCAGCGGCTACCTATGTACTAGGTATAGATAAAAAGGGTGGCCACATGTGAAGTTAGTTTGGAGACGGGACTGTGTATTACCCATCACCCCATGCGGGCGGTATACTGCAAGTACATATATTGGATTGTTGATGTTTGTTTAAGCTTTCCTCGTTACCAACGCAGGGAGATGGTGAAGAAAATGGGCACTAATCTCTGCAAGGCAATGGGAATATGTTACAGAGCAATCAGGGAAGCGATGAGCCTTCATGTTGGTATACTAATTAAACAGTTTCAAACTGTGACCGATAAGGCAGCTGTGCTTGTAATACGGACCTGAAATCATTGGTTAATATGACTCGTATGGTTTCCGCGTACGGATAGCGGAGCAATTACATGTACGATAGGTAGTATGCCGACCTCCTTTGTATACGAAGTACATGTCGAGTGATCCTTACACCTGCATTGCTTCGTGTTTTCGTATCACTGCCGTGGAATACCCAAAAGAGATGCCGGTTACAAGAGCCTATAGCAAATTATCTCCATATCTGGAAGCGAGCAATAGGCTCTTCATGGTGGAGCAGTGTCTTATACGAATACTAGTACCTGGGCGTAGAGCTGCTGTCCCTATTGTTCCAAATCGAAAGTGTAACAGCGAACAGTGGCAAGCTATTTTTTTCTTAATTGTTTGGTGGCACAGTTACCTACCCATTGGTAGGTCGAGAGGGGTGATTGCATCAATGAAGACGGCTTTCTGCGTCATATCGCGATGCACTGTATGGAGTACCAGTAGGTACTGCGCATTTGGTTGATGACGAGGAGTCGTGTCCCACTTGAGGCGCACTCCGCGGACGTGTAGTCAACTTCATGTTGATAGACAGGCGCATACTAAACCCATCGCTAATTCATCTTGTGACCACTCGGCCATCCAGATGCTCTCCATTGCCGGCATTGGTCAGTGCCGCCAAACTCTACGCGTACGGAAATCACCATTAGCATTGATGCCACAGTCCAAAATAGAGTAGTAGTAGCAGTGCTACTGCTAATAACAGCTCGTATCGCAACGGTCGGGTCGGAGACTATTGGAGCTTCGGGAGACAAAGTGTGGCACACCCGCTGTGCCAAGCAGCCACCAATCGACGTCGTCTTCACGGGCACTCAATGCAGATACGTCAGCGCGGCGCGTCTTGAGTGGTTTGCCGGACTTCGAGGTCGTCATCGCCGGCATCGTGGACCGGACGGCGTTGCCGCAATGCCGGGTGCAGCAGAGGGAAACATTAAGCGGCAGATGGACCATGAAACGATGAAACGCTTGGGTTCAATATGAGCTGTGCGAGACAACATGGCATTTCAGGTGATGTGCAGCCCTGCGCTGGCGAAAGGAGTGCAGCGCCGTCTGCCAACGGAGGAGGCGCTCCGTATTCATTATGGAGTCGCCTATTCGTAGCTGTCGAGACTAGGCGCGCCTCCTGGGAGTAGCGCATGTATCGTTGGCCAAGCAAACCGGCCTAGACATTGATGCTGTGCCGGGCCTCCTTGCGCTGACCCTCTTGCCGGTGCTCGTGATTGCGAAAGGATTGAATAGAAAAAAAGGAGACGATTCTGGGTTGTGGCCGAAAATTCCGCGCAGGCTTCGGTCAGTGGCTAACAGGCACCAGGGGCAGGCGTTATTTGCGGCATTCCCAGCTCGCATTGTTACAGAGCGCCATGGCTGCGCAAGTGGCTCTAGAAGGACGCAGGGGCGCTAGCAAATTCAATTGAACCTTTCAATTCCAACATCCCTGCCTAGCGCACACATGGTCGCTGGGTCGGTCCTTTGGCGAAATGCCCTACTGGCGGGTTTAGCAGCGTTAGCAGGCGTGTGGCCTTTGGTGTGTGGCGGTAGCTGGCGCATGCGATACGATCTGCATCGGCCGACGACGTCGTGGTGATGCTGGCAGCGTTTGCATGCAGATCGGATGCCTCCCACTGTGAATATCGAGTAGCACCAGTGCGGAGAAGCAAATTAGATAAGAAAAAAAAAATTGTCCAAGTGACGATGCGACATACCAAACAAGCAGCAGCAGAGCGTCGGCCCACGCGTTGTTCGATTGCGGCCCTGTGCCAAGGGCCTCGCGCCGGGATAAGATGGATTGATGAGATTCGTGTTTATTCTGCGCTGTATTGAAGGATCCAGGTACATGGACGCATGCGGGCTTGCCGTGCCTCCATCTGGTACTGCCCGGAACAGCCAAGTCCAGGCACGGGCTGTCTCTGAATTATTACCTGCCCAGGTTGGATCAGGTTTTTTCTTGCTTGTCAGCCCTTGCGGGGGGAGAGCTACAGCGAGTCAACAACAGCAGAGCTGTCTAAGCTGCTTGCCTGCACTGTACAACGGACTGTGTTTATACACGTATTGCGGTGTGGCCTTCATTTTAGCATCTGAGAGTCAGTATCGAACATATAATTCATGTTTACATGTTGATCTGCAGCAGCTCTGAAGCTCGCAGTGCCCACAGATACAGACGCCGGAGCATGCAGGAGTGATATCACAAGCCTAGCCTAGACACAGATACTTACGCACTCTGCACTGTGCCATCGGGCCATCAAACGCGCCAAAGGTGCGCATCGCACTCCTCATATGTGCCGCCAGCCGAGGCCACTGCGTGAAATGGCTTGCGCGCTCGTCCCAATACAGTACGGGGGCAGCAAATTTCGCGGCAAATTATGGACGTGAGGCCGGTGGGCCCCCGCTGCCCTTTTCAGCGGCTCATGTCCCTGCCCGCGCCCCACCCACACCCCCTAGAAGCTCCATTCCCAGGGGAGATTTGGACGGCTTCACCCCCTGGCAAGGCCCGCGTCGCAGCCTGTGGTTGGTGCACAGTCGCGGCAGGGGGTGTCGCTTGGTTTCGTCCAAGAACCAAGTTCTTCACGTCCAAATCCTTTTTCTCCCCTTCTTCCTCGCCTTCTCTCGCTCCTTCGTTTTGCGATTGCCGTCGTCTCGTCGTCCTGCTTCACTTCCTGCCACTCGTTATCAGGCCAAGCATCTTGCGCTATAGCTTTTTTATTCCAACTACCTCTTTCTTGCCCTTCTCCATTCCATCCAACTACAGTCTTCACGGCCATCCAGTAGCCCTTAACTTCGACACCATCTTTTTAAGACATTTCTAGCCCGTTGCCGAGGAACGTTTCCCAATTTTCGCGTCCGGAAAAAGATCGACTTTTTGCTACAAGGTGTGTGAGCTCTCCTGGTTTCGCTTGCGCCGTGCACGTTGCCTCGCCGTTGCTGCTCCCCCCAAAACCTCGTTTCACCTGGCTTTTCTGCAACCTTTCACCTGCTCTCCTCCTTCCATACACAATCTTGCAACACCAATTCGGCCTCGATTTGCCTCTCAAGCCCGTTGCTGCGCCTCAGTTGCGACTGCGCTGCTCTGCCTCTTCAAGCTTGACGCTCCCTCTTTCTTCGGCCCAACCGACAGACAATATTTCCTTCCTGGATTCGCCTGGTGCAAAATCGAGTGAGAATAACTAGAGAACTGCGTCATCATCTGGGCGCCCAAGAACTAGATTCTGTCAACATCTTTTGGTCTTGCGTCGTGCCTTTTGGACCGGTTGCATAGTTTAAACGCCAGAGTCAGACAACGCCCCCCTATTCACACAAGCATCGAGCCCCGAATCGCGACCCGAACCTCTCTTCAGTTTTTTTGTTCCAACAGCACCGTGACGCATGGTTGCTGACTTTTCATCCTTCATTAGATCATAATGCATTCCAAGCTTTTGTCAGCCTTGTTGGTTGCTGGCTCTGCCAGCGTGGTTTCTGGTAAGCCCTTTCTCATGCTCGTGTGTGGCTACCTATGCAGTTGCTAACTCAGCCGTAGCCGCCACCACCTGTACCAAGGATATCAAGGTTACCCAGCCTACTCCCATCATCTCTTGCGATGTTGTCGATGCCAGCATCACCGTTGACGCATCCGTGGCCGGCGGCCTGAGCATCGAGGGACCCAAGACGATCACCGGTGATCTCATCATCACCAACGCCTCTCAGCTCATCTCCATCTCCAGCTCTACCCTCCAGTCCATTGAGGGCAACTTCGAGCTTTCAGGCCTCGATCTCTTGAGCTCTCTTAACATGGCCGCGCTCAAGTCTCTGAACAAGCTCAACATGCAAAGCCTCCGCCAGCTGAGCACCTTCACCTTTGGCACTTCTGGTGTCTCCAAGGCCTCCACCATCGTCATTGCCGACACCGTCCTCACTGATTTGAGCGGCCTCAACATCAACAGTGTTGACAGCCTGACCATCACCAACAACAAGAGGCTGACTGCCTACAACTCCGATCTCGCCAACATTACCAGTCTTCTCAGTGTTACTAGCAACGGAAACAACATGGAAATCAACATGACCAAGCTCACCACTGCTGCTGAGATCCAGCTCTCCAATGTCAAGAGCTTCGTCGTCCCTAAACTCAAGACCATCACTGAGTCTCTCAAATTCGACACCAACCCCGAGCTTACCACCTTCACTGCCAAGAACATCACCAGCATCAAGGACAGCGTCACCTTCATCAACAACAACAAGCTCACCAACGTCTCTTTCCCCTTGTTGACTTCCATCGGTGATATGACTATCCAGAACAACACCAAGATGCTGGCAGTTGAGGGTTTCCCCAAGCTGTCAACGGTTGCCGGCGGTATTATCCTCCGTGGTAACTTCGAAAAGTGAGTATCTACCCATTCTGGATAGAGTTATGAATCGCTTTCTTACTAACTCTTGATTTTGTACAGTGTTGAGCTTCCTGCTCTCAAGGAAGTCGATGGTGGCTGCACTGTCTTGTCTACTACCGATATCTCTGCTTTCTGCGGATTCTTCAATGACGCTCACTCCAAGAAGATCATCAAGGGCACGGAATCCTGCAAGAGCAACGTTAAGGCCGCCAACGAGGGAGGTAGCGACGGTGACTCCAGCACTTCCAGCAGCGGCAGCGGCAGCAGTGGTAACGGCACTGACAACGCTGTCGCCGCTCTTAGTGTCAACAACGTCCTCTTGGGTGTGTCAGTCATTGCTGGCATGGCTCAGCTGTGGTAAAAAGTCAAAGGGGATGATAGTTGGGAATTTGGCGTCAATCTCTGTTCTCTCAGATGTTTTCTGTTTTCTCTTAGCCAACACGTTGTGGTTTTATCAACCTCTCCCAGGCCTGGCTGCACAACTCATGTCCGCGGCACTAACGCTAGAACTTAATAATGGAAATGTACTTCAAAAAAATTGGTCGCCACGTTCCTTTATCCTTCGGCAAGCTCGACATGACGCATGGCGCGCATGCTATATAATCCCTGTCGCGTTGGAACGTTTGTCAGTGCGTGTATGCCTGGACGGCCCTGCTTTCTCTGCTCGTGTGAAGGAGGGATTCAATTTCAGGTACCACTGTGTACGGCGTGATGAGCACATTGTATCGGCGACAATTGGTTAGCACCGGCGTGCTGCAGACTTGAAAAGGATGTTACGTGTGTACGGTTACTGGTGATTATTCTATCACGATTTGTTCCTCTCTTTAGACTTTTTTCTTTATCGGTGTTGGTGTATGTTTAGACTTAGGGTACTTTATACCACTTTTCGCCTCGTTTTCTATTATGAATTCAACTTTACTTAATTATTTGAATCTAATTCGCTCTTGATCGTGAGAATGAAGTATAGTTCTTTGCTGTAATGCAAATATTGCTTCGTGCTTGATACTGTGATAGCCCTACGTTGACTTATATTTAGCTGTGTAGATACCCCTTTCAAAAGTTTCCGTGTCATAGAACTTTGGCATGATGTTGTTGCCGTTGAAAACGCGGCCGTCTAATTCATTTACCGCCTGTTGTCATGGAGTTAGCTCAGCTCTTACTGCCCTGCTATCATTTGATTTTTCTGTGTATGAGAGAGCACATGACTTACTCGTAGAGCAGACACCTGGTCTGTGAATTTGATAAAGACTTGGCGGGTCTCGACGTCGATGTACAGCCTCTCGACGCGTCCGTACTATGAGCAGGTATTAGCTTAGCTGCCTAAACTCCTTGAGATGCCCAATGGATGAATGGCAACAAAGAGGGACGAAATGTATAAACCCTAACCTTTTCACCGCATTCTCCGCCAATTTCCTGGCCTAACCCATCTGCAATCTCCGCCTCGAGGTCGGGCATGTTTTCCAGCATGTTTTGAAGCACAATGACCTCGCTCATGGTGCCAAACTTGCCGCCGGCCTCGTCCTTGCGCTTGCCGCCGATGATCTTGCCTTTGCCTCCCGGTTCGGCCCATCCACCACCGTCGGCGTCGGCCTTTTTGCGCCTCTTTTCGACTTGCACGCGCAAGGGGTTGAGGAGGCCTGATTCGTTGGCGCCGAGGGCGGAGCCCTTTGTCCAGCCGTATTTGCTCATGAGGCGCTGGGCGAAGCCGACTTGGCCGGGGCGGTTTGATCGTGGTTGGGAGGAATCTTGAGGTGTATCGTCGTTATCGTTGTCGTCTTGGTTGGCGTGGCTGAAGCTGGGCGGTGGAGAGTAGCCTTCGTCTTCGCCGTCTGCGGCATTGTTGAGTGATTGGGTGGGTTGGGTATAACGGACGGGGGCTTTGGATATCGAGACGGCATCTGAAGGTGGTGGTGGTGGTGGTGGAGGAGGCGGATTGAGGCTCGTATTAGGCGGGGGAGGCGGGAGAGGTGTTGATGAGTTGGAAGGCTGTGGCGGAGGAGGAGGAGGAGGCGGAGGTTGTTCTGTTGATGAGAGGGCTAGGCGGCGGGCATAAGCCTCATCTGCAGTTTCATCTTGTGGTGGAGCGGCTGGAGGAGATCTTGGAGGAGGCGCAAAATTGTAAGAAGTAGGCGGAGCAAACTGGTCTGTATTGGAAACATATCCTGTTAGACAGATTCTTCGAGGCGGTGATATAAGTTGACTTACTGGGAGGTGCCGCGCGCGTTGCCTCATCCTCGGAGTCAGATATGTCGCTTTCATCTGGTCTCTTTCGGTGCCGATATAGCAGACCCTTCCACTCCTGCACCTCTGCTACTTTCTCGTCGCTCTTGAGGAATTCATCGACGTTTGTTGGCCTTGACGGATCGTACATTTCGTCCCAGTCCGTCTCGAACTGCTCGTCCTGCTTCCTCTTCTTCTTCTTGCGGCCGCCGCGCTGGCGCTTCTCCCCAACGCCATACATCCACTCATCTTCCTCTGTCGCTACCCAATCGGCAAGGGTGCTCTGATGCGGTGCTGACTGCGGCGCCCCAGTGGCAGTGGCAGTGGCAGTGGCGGTGGCAGTTGTGGTCGTCACTGGGTCTGTAGTAGGTTTGGGAATGGCTTTTGGGAATGAGGATTTGGCTTTCGGCTGCTTCACCTGTGGTCGTCGAATGGGTTGGAATTGGAGAGCCGCATTGATGGCTTTCTTCGGCGCCTGATCGTCAGCGGCAGCTCCGCCCTGTTTGTAGGTCACTGGCGCGGAGGATATCGTGGCCGACGCGGGCGGGTCATTGGGATCGTGGAGGTTGTCATAGAGGGAGAGTCCTCGAGGCGGAGGAGCCGCCATGTTACTGGTACGTACAGTAACAGGGCGCGTTTGGCTATTATGAGGCTTTCTGAAACTTTCAATAAATGTAAATAAAAGTCTGGTAATAAGTGTAGTAGAAGAATTTTAAAGCTTGAAACGCTACAAAGGTATAATGATTTGTAGATCTGAGTTGACGATACGGCCGATAAGCTGTAAGCTATGGCGCGCTTCGGAATAATATCGGCGTTATTCGTGCAACCTTACATGTAACTGAAGGAACTTGGAAGCCTTGAGCTGCAGCTTCGCCCCTCCAACCAGGAACCCCACCAAAATTTCCCCCGTCCAGGCTTTGCCGTAGGTCACTTTAACTTCACAATAGACTTCGGTGTAGGTTTTGGGGAGCACGCCCAGGCGACGTATTTCCTTTCTTCCATTGCGTTATTTTCTACGGCCGGACATCGTCTGAGACAGTTGCAGGCAAACTGTCCCTCAGCATCCTTCTTTGATCTGTACATCAGTCCTCGATACTACATACCACTTTACGAATCCCGATTATCCATCTCGATCAGTCACCGTTTCCAAAAATGTCTGACCTCGCGAGCCGTATTACGAAGCCTGATGAGGCGCCAAAGAAGGTTGATTGGGCTGAGTCTGTCGAGGCAGACGAGAACAAGCAGCAGGCGGAAGCTGAAGCTGCTGCTGGTGCTGCTGAGACCCAGGTTGACGGTGCTGTTGAAGAGCTCGGTGGCTCTGGTCTGCATGAACCTGAATGGGATGTCGAAGTCTCTCTCAGCGAACTCCAGGCAAACGAAGCAACTCCTTTCCACTCTGCTACACAATGGCAAGACATGGGACTGTAAGTATCGGTTGATCATACCACCTGAACCGAGTGTTTACTGACCGTTCCCCCTCAAAAGATCGGAGGACCTTCTCAAGGGTCTTCTGGCCCTCAAGTTTCTGAAACCCTCGAAAGTCCAGGGGAAATCTCTTCCTCTGATGCTTAGCGATCCTCCGAGAAATATGATGGCCCAATCTCAATCTGGTACTGGAAAGACGGCGGCGTTTGTTACTGCCATTCTATCGCGTGTCGACTTTACCAAGCCGGATCAGCCTCAAGCTCTTGCCTTGGCCCCCAGTCGAGAATTGGCTCGTCAGATTGAAGGTGTTGTAAACGCTATTGGTCGCTTTATTGAACCTCTCAAGGTTGCTGCGGCTATCCCTGGAGCTCTGCCTCGCGACCAGCCGGTTCGATCTGCCGTTATTGTTGGTACCCCTGGTACTGTCCAGGACGTCATCAAACGAAGGCAGCTAGATGTTTCTCAACTCAAGGTTCTCGTCTTGGACGAAGCCGACAACATGCTGGATCAGCAAGGAATGGGTGACCAGTGCCTGAGAGTGAAGAAGTAAGTCTACTTTACACAAAAAAAAAAAAAAAAAAAAAAAAAAACCAATGGGGCGAAGAAGATAGCTAACCCTTGAATGTAGCATGCTACCAAAGTCTGTGCAAATCCTGCTCTTCTCAGCCACTTTCCCCGACAAAGTCGGTTCATACGCCATGAAGTTTGCGCCCAATGCCCATTCTCTCAAGCTGCAGCGAAGCGAGCTTACCGTCAAGGGCATTTCACAAATGTTCATCGACTGCGCGGACGACAACATCAAGTACGACGTTCTTTGCAAGCTCTACGGTCTGATGACTATTGGACAGTCGGTCATTTTCGTCAAGGTATGCTGCACATGAAATTTCGAGACGGACTTGGAGCAAATTTTCTGATATCAAAATAGACCCGTGAAAGCGCCAACGAGATCCAGAGACGTATGGTGGCTGATGGGCACAAAGTATCTGCTCTGCACGCTGCGTTTGATGGTAACGAGAGAGACGAGCTGCTGAGTAAATTCCGACAAGGCGAGAACAAGGTTCTCATCACCACTAATGTCCTTGCCCGTGGTATTGACGTGTCTACCGTGTCCATGGTCATCAACTACGATATCCCTATGAAAGGCCGAGGCGATAGTGAGCCCGACGCCGAGACTTATCTCCACCGTATTGGCCGAACTGGACGTTTTGGACGTGTTGGTGTCAGTATCAGCTTCGTCTACGATAAGAAGAGCTACGATGCCCTCCTCGGCATTGCCAACACATACGGCATTGATCTTGTACGCCTTGATACCGATGACTGGGATGAGGCGGAAGAGCGAGTCAAGGAAGTCATCAAGAAGAACAGAGCTCAGGCTGCTTATGCCCCGAGCGCTACGGATAACGCCAAGGCATCCTAGAAAGATGGTTTTGACTCATGGATGACGATGTAATTTGGTGGAGGGCCTATGTTTATTGCTTTTCTCTTTTTCTTTGGTTTGGTGAGATTGCTACAGTTTCAACAAGTTCACAATGAATGGTACGATAATAAGGGGATTATACAAATGGATCTGTAGAATGTGGCACAATGAGATACCAAAAATTCACACCTTGCAAGACGATATGAAATTACGAGATTCGTAGACATTTGGCCGCTTTCGTGATCGTCCCTTTGTATCTACGTATTTACCACGGTGACGAGTAGAACAAGCCAACTCCAACGCGTAATCTTCTGGGTATTTCGCAGCTGATCACCACCACTCAGTAATCAGAGGTCATCAGTGGTGATTCAAAAGTTTCACTGAGACTGGCATGGCTCATGCAACTCAAAGTGGATATCGGCTTGTAAAAGGTGCATGAAAGACTGCCAAGCTGCGTAGCAGCAGCATTGTAACGGAACCCGCGGTTCATGGATCCGTCTCTCATCTTTTTCGGCACATGACTGACTCTCACAAGCCAAAAGATACTACAGTACGGAGTGCTAACTCGGTGGCGAAAAGGAACTCTGTGTGTTTCTTTCCGCTGATTTTTTTTTTTTCACAAAGAATTTCGTTTGCCGCAGCGCTTTCTGCGGCCTTTTTTTTTTTTTCTTAAACCCCCCCATGTCAGGCTAACACTACAACGGAGGAGGTTGGAGACACCCGTAATCGGAAGATATCTGGTGGTTGGAGAGTGCTTCTTTAGCCTGGCCGACCACCTCTTTTTTTTTCGACCATTCTTCTCCGGGGTGGCTCACAATATGCAGTGCTAATATAGATGCATGCATACCGGATGTATGTCTGCATGTACAGAACTTACTCGCACGCGAATGAGAAGATTCAGAGCGTAGATACACGTGAAGAGTGTTGGGAGGGGTTGGCTGATGGTACCACCATGGGCGCTGGACTCTGTAGGATGTGAGGGGCTTGGGCTTACAAGAGGGCTGGACATTATGCACGCAATTAAGTCAGTGGTCGGAGGAGATGCTACTCTGCAGTTGTGAATCAGACGCTGGCGGCGTACAGGTGAGCAAACCGGATATCTGATGCATGGCTAGCTGTACGAGTAAGCAGCATATTGGTGTCTCTGGCGGACTTGAAGCTGTTAGTGCTTCGATGCCGTACCATAGCTCGCTCGCCATCACCGACAAAATAGAGCTGCCTAGGTATTTTCTCCTCATCACGGCCAGGATCCACCATTATGTCACTGCAGCGCCAAGAGTGAAGAAATCAAGGACAACAACAAAAACAACAGCAAGCCGCAGACGACCACAGAAAGGAAACCCCGCCAGAAATCTACGCGGTGAAGCATCTCACGTGTGGTTCCCAAAACTACATCGAGGATTGGCGCTACAGCTAACCCCCACTCTTTTCTCTCTTCTCTCCCGTCCAGCCACCGCACACCGCCAACTACTAGACACCACTAATCTTGCTCGCATTTCCCGTTATTGGCACGCCTTGCATGATAGCGCAGTTCTGGTTGAAACAGATTCGACAAGGTAAGGAAACAAAGAGGAAAGAGGCAAAGGCCAGGTGGAAGCAACAGTCTGCTTTCCTGGTGAGGTCGGTGGCAATAATTGCGATGGATGGTTTTTGATCCCCACGCCGTGTGCTTGTAATAACTGTCGGCTGATAGGTATTTTTGAGCAGCACCGTCGACAAGATCCCCAGCCGCCATATTTTCCTTGAGAATTTCTCCCGCGGAACAATCCCTGTCAAGTGTCGGCTGTGGCTCCATCGCCGTAGCACTGGTTAGCCAAAAAAGAACCAGCCTCTCCGAGAGTGGCAGCCATACGAGTAGCTCGAGGTGGCTTAACGGTTAGTTTGTGGTGCGATTTTATTTTCCCCCTATATGCGTCGAGAGAATAAGGGACCCCTTCTGCAAGTCATGCCATGTCCCCAAGCAAGTCATCTACTATGCTCGCCATAGGAGATGAAGAGATTTGATCCAGCAAGGAACCGTCCTCAGGTAATTGCCGCAATTGCTCAGCCGATAGATTCCGGGGTCGAGCTGCATGAGAACGACCGCGGGGCATCAAGAGGCGAGCCACGTAGCACGCCGGGGGAGAGAAACCAGTCACAACATGCATGTTCATCCAGCCAGCCTTCGCGGACGCATCCTCAGGCGCTAGGTCTTTTCGTGGTGGGCGCTCGTTGATATCGCTCAGAAAGCTGGAGCCACTCGGCCCACAGCTAGCCAGCTCATCTGGCCGCCTGCTCATGATTGCATCTTGCCTGTGTGTCTGATTTGCCCGGCGCGGTCCAATCCCACTTTTCGTTGGTTGATCATGCATGTTCCAATGCTGTTGCGTCGGGCAGCTTTCCTGTCAGCCCGTGCGGGTTCAAGTCATGTCTCAACCCGCAAATGCGGCCGGCTGGCGACAAGGCCGCTTGCTGAGCCCAATCGTAGTGCAGTGCGGCGGGCGAAATCACCTTCTTCTCCAATTGGGTCTTCGCCTGATGCTATCAGGTCGTGGTGTGGATATTGATCTTTGGAGCAAGGGGGGTCTGGGTCGGAACTGTGCTTTCTGGATTTGCTAGGCTCCGCATCGTCAATCTTCTGTGGTTCGCTTGTGATCGGTCATGGGTGTTTTTTTCTGACATGGGACGTGCCTTTTTTTTTTTTTTTTTTTTTTTTTTTTTTTGTATGGGCCCATGCAGCTCGAGGAAACAAGGCTCCAAGTGGTGTCATCTCAGAAGACTTTACTGACTCCCACCTGTTCGCAGGCTTTTAGAGAGGGAAAAAAAACCACCTCCTGCATCGTACATTCAAACTAAACGTTTGAATCCCGTCATCAACCCTATCCAATAGGCTGCTGCGTTCGCTTTAGCAGCCACAAACAGTCGTGTCCTGAAGCGTCAAGGCCCAAGAGACCGGCTGTTTCGTTATTGGCGTCTTCCACCTGCATTGCCGGATAACTTCATCGCAGTGCAGCTTGTATGGAGGTCGATAATCAAGCCGTGCTCTCAGAGGTCGAGAGGGCACAGGATGTATGAGTGCCGCCCAAGAAGTTGAATACTATCCAGTTGGGGCTAACAGATAATTTTTTCAATATGCAGCATTTCGAACAGAATGACTCCGAGCTTGGTTCAAAATTGTCATTAGACAACAAAGGTAGCTAGCAACAATTCTACAGGGCATTGATCTAACAACATCCAATGCTAATGCTCGAACAGAGACCGAAACCTCTCAAGATGCGGGTGCCGAAGATCACCCAGAGGCCGAGGTAGAGGGAGACGCTGCGGCCGAACCGACTTCTTCTAAGAGCAAGAAGAAGAAAAAGAAGAAGAAGAACAAGAGCGAGAGCCAAATTACCTCACCCATTGAGTCCGCCGACAGCATCGCCGCTGTTGACATCAAGGCTGAGGGAGGCGAAACAGTCGAGGCGGCGGAGCAAGACAGAACAGTTACCCCTCCTCCAGAGGAATCGAATCTGGTAGTCGAAGACGAGGCCAAGAAGGATAAGAAGAAGAAAAAGAAGAAGAAGAAGAATGGCCCCAAGAATTCCGAAACAGATGTGACCTCTGATGGCGGTCTTGACCCTGCCCAGCCCCCATCACCTCCGGACACAGACGAGGCGCGAGGCGACGATGAGGCCACGCCAGCAGTGGAAGAGGAGGCCGTGACTGCGGCTCCCGAATCCGAGGCTGCTCTTGAAACCGTGAAGGAGGAGAGCTCTGCTGATGTTGAGCAGTCCAATGACGCTGTTTCCGTTCCCGAAGAAGCCAAGGCTGTTGAAGATGAGGCTAAACCCGCCGACGAAGCTGCCGTTGCCTCTGAAGAGCCTGAGCACGTGGAACCAGAACCAGAAGTCACCAAGGAACACGAGCACGAGCATGAACAGGAGCAGACACACCAGGAGGAGCACGACCACGCTCAAGAGGAGGCTGAGCCTGTCAAGGAGTCAGAATCTGTGCCTGCTGTGCATGAAGATGCCCCTGTTGAAGAGTCTCATGATGCTGCTGAGGCACACGATGAGAAGCCTATCGAAGAGGCTGCTCACACAGAAGATACCCAAGCACCAGTGACAGTTGAGGAACCCGCTGAGCACCAGGAGGAACCCGCTGAGCACAAGGAAGAGCACGATGAGCACCAGGAAGAGCACGCCGAACACCAGGAGGAGCCTGCTGAGCACAAGGAGGAGCCTGCTGAGCACAAGGAGGAGCCTGCTGAGCACAAGGAGGAGCCTGTTGAGCACAAGGAAGAGCACACTGAGCATCAAGAGGAGCCCGCTGAGCATCAAGAAGAGCACAAGGAAGAGCATATCGAACATCAGGAGGAGCCTGTCGAGCACAAGGAAGAGCACACTGAGCACCAAGACGAGCACAAGGAGGTTCCTGAACCAGTTGAACCCGACAACAACGAGGTAGAGCATCACTCGGAAGAGGAAAAGCATGTCGAGGAGGCGAATATCTCTGATAAGCCTGCGGAAGAAGAGAAACTCGACACCGAAAAGGACACCGCTGAATCTGAGATCAAGGAGGAGTCGGTTGTTGAGCCTGCGATTGAAGCTGAAGAGACTGCCGAAGTCTCTGAAGAACATGTCACCGAAACAGCTACCAAAGACGCACTAGCTGCTGAGCTTGTTGAAAAAGCTAAGAATTCACTTGTAGAGGACGCTGCTACTCCTGAAGAGGAGAAAGCACTGGAGACTACCGAAACCGAGGTCAAGCACGATGACTCTGAGAAGCATGAAGAGCTTGCCGCTGAACACGAACCCGTAGTTGAGGAGGCTGAAACCAAGGCTGAGGAAGCCCATGAAGAAGCTCCCAAGGAGGAAATCATCGAAGAAACTCCTAGAGACAACGTGACTGAGTCTCATGTGTCTGCCGAAGAAGCTCATCACGAGGAGGCCAAGGTCGAAGAGGCTGAGCCTGTTGCTGAGCCCGAGACCGGCTCGGAAGTGAAGGCTGCTGATGAAAACAACGAGGAAGTTGGTAAAGAAGAGACTCACGAAGAGCATGTCGAAGTTCAGGAGAGCGAGCCTGTTGTTGATACCCATGAAGAGCAAAAGGATGAGGTTGTTGCCGAGGCCGAAACTACTCATGAGCCAGAGGCGACACATTCTGAAGTAGAGCACACCTCTCACGAAGAAATTCCTGCCGAGGATTCTGTGGTGTCCGAGGAACGTTCTGTCCCCGCTGAAGATGTCACCGAGTCGGAGGTCTCCAAGCACGAGTCAGAGGTTGCTCAGACCACTCACTCCGAGATCGAGGCAGCTGCCGAAGATGCTACTGAAAGCACCGAGGCTAAGCCCGACGTTACTGAGGTTGCATCGGAAGTCTCAGAGGTGAAGCCTGAAACCACTGAGAGTGAATCTACTCACGATGAGCACATTACGGCCGCTGAGACCGAAAGTGACATCCACAAGGATGTTGCCGAGCCTGAAACTGTCGTCAAATCCGATACTGCTGCTGATTCTGAGGTTGCTATTGAGTCTGAGCCCGTTGCTCAGCACGAATCCGCCGTTGGATCCGAGCTTGTTGCCGAGTCTGAGGCTGCTGCTGATTCTGAGGTTGCTGCTAAATCCGAAGTTACTACCGATTCTGAGCCTGTTGCTCAACACGAAACTGCTGCTGAGTCTGAGGTTGCCACCGAATCTGAAGTTGCTGCTAAATCCGAAGTCACCAACGATTCCGAGCCTGTTGCTCAACACGAGACCGCTGTTGAGTCTGAAATTGCTACTGAATCTGAGGTTGCTGCTGAGTCCGAGGTTGCTGCTAAATCCGAAGTTGCTACCGATTTTGAACCTGTTGCTCAACACGAAACCGCTGTTGAGTCCGAGGTTGCTACTGAATCCGAAGTTGCCGCTGAGCCAGAGGTCGCTGCTAACGTTACGGACTCTGAAGTCGCTACTGAATCCGAAGTTGCCGCTGAGCCAGAGGTCGCTGCTAACGTTACGGACTCTGAAGTCGCTACTGAGTCTGAGGTTGCCGCTGAGCCAGAGATCACTGCTAACGTTACGGAGTCTGAGGTTGCTACTGAATCTGAGGCTGCTGCTGAGCGTGAAATTGCCGCAGAGAAGGAGCTTTCTCACGATGCAACCCCTGCTGAATCTGCTCTTGAAGAGGCTCAGCACTTGGATGAAGTGGTCGAAGTCATTGCTCCTGCTGAAGCTGAGAAGGCCATCGACCCCGAGACCCTTCACGAGGCCGACAAGGAGGAGACATCAGAGATCCAAGCTACTTCTGAGCTAACTGAAGACTCCAAGGCCTCTCATGTTGAGGAAGCTGTGGCTGAAGCTGACAAGGAGGTAGAAGCCAAGCTTGAAGAGTCGCACACTCCGGTTCCTGTGGCTGAGGAGACTTCTGTTCATGAAACTCCCGTCGTCCCAGCAGAGGAACCTGCGGTGGTCGAACCGGAGGCAACGCCTGCCGTTGTAGAAGTTGAAAAGGCAATTGTGCCAGAGCCAGTGGAAGAGGTCAAGCAGCCATTGGCTGCTGAGGTGGAAGCACCCACAACTAGAGAGGAGGAGGTCAAGGACACTGTGGTAGAGAGAGTTAGGAAAGGTGAGGAGCAGCATTCATTACATGATACCCCTGTTGATATTTCGGGACGGTTTGGTGACTCCACATCGGGTGAGGAGTCGAAGGACCACGGCGTTTTGGAGTTACATTCGGAAGACATTTCGGAAATTCAGAGTCAGTCCTTGGGAGAGGAGCAGAAAGTAGATCTCAAGCGAGATGAGCTTGAACGGGCTGAAACCCCGGCTGTGGAGGTGCCTGTTGTTTCTACCAAACCTGATGTGGAGGCCGTCTCAGAGCCATTGATTTCTCAAAAGGAAGATGCTGAGACAACATTACCAGATGAGGAGGAGTCGGACAAGGTTGCTCTCATTGCTGGCGCAGCTGCAGTTGCCACGGCTGCTACTGCCGCCGTGGCGACCGCTGCCGTCATTCACCAGGAGCCTGTTGTTGCTCCTGAAGCGCCCAAGTCTGAGAACAAAACCCCTGAGCCAGAAGAGTCACATAGAGAGATTGCCCCCGAAGTGACGAAGCCTACTGAGGAGCCTGTTGCCGCTCGAGAGGCTGAACCGGCAGTTGTTGCCGAGACAGCTGAGCCTTCGACGTCTAAAGCGCCAGTTGCTGCAAAGTCCACTCCGGAAACCTCGTCACAACGACCAACCAACGAGGTGGACACTACCAAAGCAGTAATAGTCATGGACCCCGAACAGGCAAGTAAAGAGATCACGAAAAGGGCGGAGCCTATTCAAGAGAACACAAACTTACAGGATGTAGCCCAAGTCGAGTATTCTGGAGGCGCTTACAATTTGGCTATTGGCGCCCTTCGTGTGGCTGCGCACCCAGTTCTTCGGCGGGAAGAAGACGGACGAATAAGTGCATACACCATGCCCGGATTGAGCCCTAGCATCGACAGGGAAGTGCTTGATGGGCCTCCGTTTGCAACAGTGGTCGCTCAATCCGAAGATGGAGACCGGGCGGAAGTTATGACGAAGAGAGAAATAATGCCATCACATGAATTGGATCGAACTATGATCCCCTTAGAAATCGCTGCCGCAACTAGCCACGTGCCCCCTTTACGATACCCTGCTCGCAACGCCGACGGTCAATACCTCCCGAAATGGATGAATCTGGTCTCTCCCGTTGATTATGATCGAATGGTTCAAGATACTCCGCCTCCGCTGTCTCTTTCCGTGTTATTGGATGATGAGTTCAAAGTGCCGACTCCTGCTGCTGTGGTTCCCGATAAGGCAATGACTGTGACTGACAGGCGGAGGGCTCGAATGCTGCGTCACAAGAAGATTCCACTTCATGAAGCTGATGATGACGCAGCTGCAGCTGCTGTGGCCACCAACACCACTGCAGAGGCATTGAGACCTGTTGCCGGTCCTTCGATTGCCGGCCTCCGCAGCGGCGGGGCCCATCCTCATCTGGGACATCAGATGATGTTGGATTCGGAGGAACTTCAATCTCTAGCCGTCCCTACTACACGCAGGAGTATTAGTGATGTTGAGGAGGATCTTCATAAAACCATTGCTGACATTTTCACAGAGGATAGATCAAAGGGTTACATCTCGTCGAGCAGTGACCGTGACCGAGATCGAGAAAGACGCCACAAGTACCGTCATTCTCGCCATTCTTCTCATTCTAGCAGAAATCGTGGTGAGGAAGAGGGCAGAGAATATAGAGAGAACAGAGAGAGTAAACGCCGCTCACACGAATCTCAGGGGTCAAACTACCGTCGTTCTACCCAGGACAATGGTGGTTCAAGGCCTGGATCTGGGTCATCTAAGCTGGACACCCCGCCTCGGACTCCTCGACGACGCCATAGCGGAGTTGTCGGCGAAGCTCCTGTACCTTCAAGCCGGAGATACAAAATCCCTGATGAGCAGGAAGCTCAGGAACAACGTGAGCAACGTGAGCAACGCAGAGCGCAGCGCCGTGCTGCTCGGCAACCTGAGCGTTACGACATGAACGAGGTACAGCAAACAGGGCGTGAGATGTACGAAGGGCACGAACGATATGATCGGCCTGAACGACATAGCGAGCGCCGCGAAAGAGGTGAACACCGTGACCGTCGTGAACGCTCGGATCGCCGTGAACTTTCAGCTCGCCATGAACGTGCTGAGCGCCCAGAGCGTATGGAGCGTCCAGAACGTGTCGAGCGTTTGGAACATGCTGAACGGCCAGAGCGTGCTGAACGCCAAGAACGTGCCGAACAACCAGAACGCGCTGAACGCCAAGAGCGTGTCGAATATCAAGATCGAGTTGAACGACAAGAACGTGCCGAGCGACTAGAACGCGCTGATCGGCAAGAGCGTGTTGAACGACAAGAACGCGCTGAGCGCTCAGATCATGCTGAACGCTCAGATCGTGCTGAACGCTCAGATCGCCCGGAACGCACTCGGCGCTCGGAGCGCATTGAACGTTCTGAGCAGCTTGAGGGACCCGAACCACCTCAGCTGCTCGATGATCGTGACTTACAAGACGACGGCTATGACCGCTCTGAGAAATACGAACGACGTGAGCGACAGCGCCATGAGCGTCGAGAACGCCGCGAACGCGAACGCCGAGATCGTGAACTCTACGAAAAGCCTGTTGAGCCTCAGACTGAGAAATTCCCAGCTACCGACGATAGCCAAGAAATGCCATCAGAGCCTACCTTTGCAGCTACACTTGCATCTGCACCTACAGAGCGCAAGGGCAAAGAGGTGGGATTCGACCTGCCACCAGAAGAGATCAAGCGCCATCGTAGCCGCTCCTTTCGCCAGCGTGCCAATAACTCTCATTACTCCCGAGATGACTTCTTGCGGCGGTCGCAATCTCCTGAGAAAGACTCTGGAGTCCCCGCTCCTGAAAAGAGATTTTTCGAAATGAAGAATGCCCAGGGGGTTGTTCGCAGATCATCGTCGCCACCGCTTCCAGACAAGTCTATCTACGTACCAATACGGGAGTCTTCACTTCCAGAAGGAGCGAGGCCCAGAACACGAGACCGGGATGTTCACCGACCTCGTGAGCGTCGGTTATCCGAGGCCACCTACGATAGACCTCGCGCAAGTCGGACCGAACACCTTCCTAGGCAATCAGCGCCACTGGACGAAGGTGACGATTCTGCTCGACGAGCCCGCAATGAACGCAGGCGTCAGAGAGATGCCAGAGAGGCTAGAGAGCAAGAGAAGAAGTCTGGAGGATTCAGGGGCGTCTTTAAGAGACTGTTTAATTGATGGGTAGAGAAATGGGGCATATGACAGAAGCAGCAGCGATGGATTAAAGGGGATGATTTGTTGAAATGATCTAATGAATTATGTGTGAATGGCCTGTTTATTCTTCTTCATGACTACCACCTGGCCATTAGGCTGGTTTATGATAGCTACGTTCGATTACGGTTAAAATGAACTATATTGATTCTGGGACACTATGAAGTGGGGCGCGATGTTTTCTTTGAATTGACTGGAATACCAGAATTCCTTCTGCTTCCAGCCTTCTATTGTATTGACTTTTAACTCTTGGCCCTACAACGAGTAACACTGGCGGCAGGTGTATGTAAGTCGTTCAGGAGGCCAGGAGGCTACCAACCTGCGACGTCACGTGATGGCTCATCGCAAGGCGACCCGGTCCATTCGGAGCCTCGGCGCTACTTGATCCGCTCCAGCCCTAATTCGGCAGTTTGGCCCCATTTCGAGCAGCCCACCAAAAAATTTCGCGAGGGAGCAGAAGCGCATTAGCATTCAACTCCAGCAAAAAAAAAATTCATATCCAAAAAGGCGCAGGATTCGATCTCTTTGCGTTCTTCACGTCCACTCACAAAGACTCCACCGATCTCAACAATGGCTCCCATCACTGTATGTATTGCTTGGAATGACATTTGAAAAAGTCGCTTTGCTGTAGGCGGACATGATTTCCCCCTCCTCATTCTTGTCTTGGATTTAGATGGAAGATTGAGGGATGGGAATCGCCGCCGTCGAAAAAAAAAAAACAGTAGGCTGATTGAGAATGTCATGAATATAGAAGAAGTCGGGCAAGGCCCAGAAGCAGACCAAGAAGGTGAGTAACCAATCCAAACGGATTTCATCCTCCCCCCCCTGACGGAAGGATGCTAATAATTCCTGCTCTTATAGTTCATCATCAACGCTACCCAGCCTGCCAGCGACAAGATCTTCGACGTCTCCGCCTTCGAGAAGTTCCTCCAGGACCACATCAAGGTTGACGGCCGCACCAACAACCTGGGTGACAACATTGTCATCTCCTCCTCTGCTGACGGCAAGGTCGAGATTGTTGCCCACAACGAGCTCTCTGGCCGCTACCTCAAGTACCTGTACGTGGATAATCTATATCAAACCTCTTTTGCACATGGGACATGTCACTAACGCTTTTGTAAACAGGACCAAGAAGTTCCTCAAGAAGCAGCAGCTCCGTGACTGGCTCCGTGTCGTCTCCACCTCCCGCGGTGTTTACGAGCTCAAGTTCTTCAACGTCGTCAACGACGAGGCTGATGAGGATGACGAGTAAATGGTTTTCTTCTCTGATAACTGGGATAACAAAAGAAAGCCATTTTGGGAAAATGATGGAATGAGCTATGGGAAAACTTGGGATAATTTGAACGGCAATCTGGAAAATGTTCTTTTCTGATGGGAAAGATTATATATACTCACGTGCGGGCTTGTGAAAAAAGCCTGTCGCCAGCGTGTGGGTGCTGATGGATTTTTCCCAAGTCGTGGAATAAACTGACCGGCCATTTCGAGTGGACCTACATTAAACACTTTTGCTTGCCCCCCTTTTAACATTGCTATGTGATGATTTCAATCGTCGTTTCCAATTGTCATCAATCGGGGTGCCGGTGTAAACTATCAAATGTGATGTCTATGGATACATGTATATATGTTCATATGCAATCATTCATGAGTTGCAAGACGTTACGTAAACGAGGTATCATCAATGCCAAGTCAAAGGGGCATCAAGTAGGTATATATATACATGTCAAAAGGCAAACAGCCTCTCCCCTCTCACGCTTCACGGCAAAGTCCTCATGACACCCTCAAAAGCCACCAACGCCATCGCATTAGCCGGGAATGCCCTCAAAAAGCACGGCAAGAATCCCCTCCAGTACCCCCTCCACCCAGACTCGCGATACACCGTCACCGCAGCATCGCGCCACCTGGGGAAGCGCCGCTCGCCATCGCCCAGCCCGCCGCCAAGGGGATCCGTCATGATGCGCTGCTTGACCAGATCGCTCGGGTAGCTCGTCAGCCAAAAGACCTGCGCGCTCAGGCCGCCGGCCCAGAAGTTGATGGCCGGGTTGCTCAGGCCCGTGTTGTTGCGCAGGGCCCGCGACAGCACGTCGTAGCTGCCCCACCAGAAGAAGAAGAAGCCCCGGAAGAGCAGCGTGGCGGACAGGCCGTGGTAGACGCCGCGCACGCCGTGGTGGCCGTAGATCTTGCGCACGCAGTCGAGCGGCCCCGAGTACAGGCGCTCGGCCTTGCGCGCGGCGTACTGGATCTGCAGCCGCGCCTTGATGTGCTCCACGGGCGCGGCGATGAAGCTGACGGTCGCGCCGGCCATGATGCCCGCGATGCCGTGTCCGACCGGCGGCAGATACGACGGCCCTGATGATGCCGAGGCAGATCCAGATGTCCGTCCTGCGCCCAATGACTTGAGCGATGACGACAGGCTTCCAAGCCCGAATCCAGATCCAGATCCAGCCCCTGGCGTCCACGAATCCGCATGAAAGACATGCTGCGCCATGAGTCGCCTGTAGACATTTAAAGATCCCAGCATCACCGAGTCCATGAACATCCACCCGACCAAAGGCGGCGTGGCGCCCTTGTACAGGCCCGTCACGCCCTCATTGCGGATGGTCTGCAGCACGCATTGGAGAGGGCCGCTGAAGCGCGAGGCCTGAGTTGTTTGAAGCCGGACTTTGACAGTGTCGAAAGGATGGCCGACTGGTAAAGCATTGAAACGAGTTAGTAACAAGTCATCATCAACGTAAAAAAAGCTGAGAACCAGCCGACGCTCATTGCTGATGCGTATAGAGGCTACTCTCTCAACCAAAAAAAGACAGAAAGAAAATTCCGTATTCTGTTATACACAGAACAGAACAAAAACAACATACCCGTCAGCTTTGCAATCCCGCTAAACACTCCCGCCACGAATCCCTTGTAATCGCGCCTGGCCGATGTCGCTGGCTTCTTCTCTCCAGCAACCACCTCCACCGGACTCGACGCCAGCCCCGTCGAGGTCCCAGAAGCAGCCGTCGCCTCTGCCATTTGCAGCAGGGAAATTAAGATGCAGACGCTTCACTCCAGCGCTTATGAATTGAAATCAAGAAAGAAAAGAAAGGGAAGAAAAAAGACAGAAAAAAAAAAGAGGGAGGGTGAGAAATTCACATGTGTAAGAGCAAAAAAAGGCCCTAAGTTGAGGCGACAAGGTCAGCTAGGCGATTACCTATTATTCAGAAAAAAATGGGAAACGCTCACCCCCTTGCAGAACGGCTCTTTAAATAGAAAAATTGCTCGCAGTTCACCCAAATGCTTAATAAAAGACAAGAATTGATACTGCTTCCGCCGCAATGCAGTAGATCAAACATGCGATGAGCATGAGATGCTCTTGTTAAAAATCAAAGAATAAGAAAGAAAGTGGGGTGGGAAAAGATCCCCCCATCCGCAAAGCAATTCTTCTGCTGGGACATTATCCGACTTGCTACGGTATTTAGCGGCCGCCACAGACATCCTACCGGCTGCAGATCAGTAAGATGGTACAAGTGCATGTGCAGTAATACCGGTGTAGAAGGAAGGGAGATACAAACGAAACTCATGATTGGTCTGCGAATCCCGTCACAGTGATACACGCTGGCTTCAAAATCTACTTACTATACTCCGTACTAAGTAGTGATTAACAACGTGTCTACTGTTGCATGGATGGCGGACTTGAGACCGCTGTCTCACAACTTCATGAGACACAGGCTCACACATGCATATACGATTCACCACACAGCACGAATAGGAGGCCAGATAGAAACAGCATGGCAACATTTCCACTGCCGATTATGCATCATTTGTGCCATTGAGAGAAAACACACACTATGCTACGCCTCTTGTCCACTTCCCGCCATCGCATCGCACAGGCCGAGAGAGCGTCATCCCCTAGTCTCATCTCCTTTTATCTCGTCTTAAGGCCAGCAGCGCATCGTCCAGATCAAGGCCAGCACAAATAATGCCTTTGCTCCGCTCTAGAATCAAAATAATCATGTCATGTCGTCGTCAAAGAACGAAGAAAGAAAGTACAAAAATATCAAGAAGGAGAAGGGAAAAAAAGCCAAAACGGCGCTGGCTAAAACAGGCCATCGCAGATATAATCTCGCAAAGCAAAAGTCCATCTTCAAGATCCCTTCGTGTCCCATATATCCTTCCCGCCAGCTTCTCTCGAAGCGATTCCTGTGGCATTACGTAATATTCTCGCAAGTTGCCTTGCATAATAGCCAGGCAAATGCGATTTTCTTCTCACCCCCTTCATCCCACTATCCTCCCCCCCTTGGTCTCCCCTTTTGCTGGAGTATTTTTTTATGCGCCTTTTGCTTTTTTTTTTTTCCAAGTACGAAAAACCATTTTACGGGTATTGTGTAGCATGTATCCCACGTATACAGCCATGGTGTATGTAATAATAACAATAAAAAGAAAATCACAATCATCGCTCCTTTCTCCGAGCTGCGTTGTCAAATTGCGGAAGAGGTCGAGGCCCAAAACAACGGCACGATTTCGCCTAGAACGTGTCCGTTTCTTCGCTGACCTGACTGATGTGGCTGTTAATGCTGCCAAACGTGTCTGTAAAATTAGAAAATATTAGCAAACTCTCTTCATTTCCGAGTCAACAGCAGTAATTATGTGGACCATCACAACGCACCTCTCTTTCGCCGTCTCTCCTCTCTTGCCACATCATCTGGACTCTTGGGAGTCATTGCTCGCGGGCCACTAGGCCTACGCGATGGGATGCCAAGGGCAGCATTCAAGTTCTTATTCTCTGGCTTGGGGCTGGTGCTGTTGTATTGGCTAGGATGAGTGCCGGTGCCACTGGCATAGCCGCTTTCGTAGCCCTGAGGACCCGAGGGGCTGCCCTTCTGCAGCGCTGAAACTCGTGCACCTCGTGGCGATGTCTGCTGAGTCGAGCCGTTCATGGGCTCCTTGGGCGGCCGGGCTGGGGCAGAGCCCTGTTGTTGCAAGGCAGCAGGCCAGTAATCACCGCCCTCGTTTCCATATCGCTCATTAGCGTTGCCATTGAGGCGGTTCAGGCTGTTCATTGAGCCTCCCCAATCAGCAGATCTGGGTGTCGCCGGGGCATCGAAGTCTTGAGCAGAATGCTCCAGGGCGGTTCGGAATCGCTCTGTCTGGCCTGTTCTTGGCTGAGGGTGCATGAGGTTGAGCGAGTTACGGTGCGCCTTGTACTTTGGATCCTCTGGCGTGGTGAAATTGGGCACAATTGGTGCTGACGATTCGTGATGAATCTCGTGTGGCGGTGCCAGGCGTGCTTCGGGGAATCCGCCCGGAAGTCTTTCGTCACCATAGGTGTCGAGAGGATAGAGATCATCACGCGAGGCCATGCTTGACCCTGATCGAGATTGCAGCATTTCGTCATTCTTGGCATCCTTCTTGCCGCTGCCACGAAGCGCCTTGCTTACGGTAGATGCTGTCGTTCCAGACCAGCGGGAAATCTTAGGCAACCAGCTGGTGCTGCTCGACTTGCCCTTTCGTCCCTTGTCACTCCGAGGGGGGGTGTTGTCAGCGCTGTGCGGCTGGTTGTAGCCCTGGTCAGAGACGTGCTGTGCGCCGTCTGGAGGGACAGAGCCGCTACGGTGAATCTCGCGATCCATGGGGCTCAGGCTCACCGGAGGGATGATCTGAGTTCGCTCCGCGGTCGGAGTAGGGTGATCATACTCATACTCATCCTCGTGCTCGGGCACCGTGTCGATGCGGTGATCAGAGAACTTACGCTGCCCCTGAGATTGAGACTGGCTACCATGACTAGTGGTTGAGTTGCCTTCAGGTTCATAGCCCTTGTCGTGCTCGTACTGCCCCTCCGGCTGCAGGTTGTCAAATGACTGCCCTGCACCGCTGGTAGAGACCCTAGCAGACATGGGCGGGGCTGTTTGAGTCTTGAGAACGTCAACCTCTCCGAGAAGCTGCATCAGCATGTCTTCGATGCGAGTGAGATCATTGGTGCCCTTGGCACTGAGGCCCTGGAGAGCGCGTTTCCACAAGTTCTTCTTCTTCACTGCAATCTCATCCACAGTGGCAATGGACGCGCTTTGGACAGAGCGAGAGCCAGGGTAAGGTCTTGGTCCGTTGATGGCTTTTTGGAGCTTTTCAGTGTTTTCAGAGTTGGCAAAGATCACGTCATCGCTGGTCTCTTCAACAAGCTCCTTCAAGTCACGGAAGGAATTGCGCATCTCAATGGCAGCGTTCATAAGGAGAGCAACGATTTCCGTGTCACGAGCGCTTCGCTGGGCATCGCGGACCATGAGCTACAAGGGAATAATCATGTTAGCAATTCCGTTGCACAGAGTTTAGACTCTTGTTTGTTGATGAAACTTACGTGTTGCATCAAGGCAACGATATCCTTGTTTTCAATGCGATCGATTCCTCCACCCGTGGAAGCATCGTAGAATGGAGAGGCCATGCCTTGGGACATGCCGCTAAGAGCGCGGTTGCCCTGAGATGCGTAGAATGGATCTTCGCCTCCCATAAACTTGGACGGCCCCGCGAGATTGATAGCTTTGCCCTTGGGTTCAGCATCGGGAGTTCGGTTAGGTCCATTGGACATGTATCCTTCATCATATTTGAAGCCCGGGCTACCGGTGCTGAAACCCAGACCACGAGAGCCAAGAAGGTTGTCGTTGAGCTCGGGGTTCACAATGGGGCTGGCATCCTCATACGGGTTGGTGAGCAGAGTGTCACGCTTCCGCTCCGCAGACGTTCTCCGCCACTCGTCAACTTCTCCGCTTGGCTCTCGGCTGAGACGGGCAGCATCGTCGAGGTGGGTATCTCTCATTGTCTCATCAGACCTGGACCTGGGGATGACTTGGCCATACTCTGTAGGTGTTGCCTTGCCAGACCACATGCCAGGAACAATGTCTTCGTTCAGAATCGAAGGGTTGGTTTGCAACTCTGAGTCAATGTAGCCAATCTCAGGCATGGGGTTGTCTTGATCGGGAATACTGCTGGCGTCCAACTGGGGCGCAGCCTCATAATCAAGTCTGTCCAAGCTATGAGTGGGAGTGTTTCGCGGCTTCCAGCCTTCCATAGCACGCTCTTTGAATGACTTGTTGCGGAACACGCCGGCCGGCTCATAGTTGTCGTCGGTAACATCCTCAACGGTGGCCTGCTTTCTCTCCTGAGCGGCTTTGAGAGCAGCAGCGGCAGCGCCGACGGCGCCTGCAGTAATGGCGGCTTCAGATGATGTGGGGGACTGGAGGTATTTTGTGCGAGGGACCTTGCGTCCATTCTCATCAAGTTCATACTCCATGTATCCATGAGACTGTCCAGGAGTTGGTTGACGGTCGTCCTCATAATCTTGATGATCAAGGCCAGAATGCTTATCTGGACTGACACCCCGGCTGCTTTGAAGCTTGAGTCGATCATCGTATGAGAGATTGGAATCTCCCGCACCGCTGTAGACGCCAGTTAGGACAGACTGGTCAAGCATTGACCCATCAATCAGGGATGCGACGGCAGATTCAGCCGCAATGGCTGGATGAAAGATGTTTGGGGTAGCAGCAATCGGCCGGACAGCCTTTCCTGCAGCCGTCTGTCCCATCTGAGAATTGTCAGAGTAGACGGTGCCTCTTTGACTCGCATCGATGTTGCCAGGGACAGAGTCAAGAGACTGCAGCGAGCGATGAGACTTGATGGATCCATACGCGTCACCCCGTGAGTTCCTATTTGGCGTTTCTCCATCAGCTTCTGTGAAGCCAGACACGCTGGGAATTGGGCTCAAGCCACGCAGGCCCGCCTGGTACGGGACATATCTCAGAGGCGGGGGAACGTCTTGCGTATTGTAATAGCCATCGTCGTAGCCATCGTCTGGATCTTCGCCTTGGTCAATGTCGCGAGGATCTCCATCGTAGGTGAAATTTCCGATGGGGATCTTATTACCGAATTCGTCCGTCTCATATTCCACGCCTTGACCGTATTCCTTCTTGCCACGTGGTAGAGCAGTCAGGTCGCCTTGTGACACATTGGCATGGGTCCTGCCGAGCACCTGGGGTATATCTGCAGACGCTCTAGAAGGAGTGGGCGTTGACGA